CCAATGGCATACCAAATGCCTCCCATGGTCGCATCTTCAGCTCTCCAGTACCCCAGCCGATCAAACCACCTCTCGCGCAATTGGCTTTTAAACACCTTGGCGTTCTCGGCAAGATCGTTTCGTCTATAGCTATGCATGACGTTGCTGCGGTTCAGCAATGGCAAAAGATCTCCAATCGACCGAATGTCCCAGGCAAGGCCGGTCCATTGAAGCAGCCAATAAGCCATCAAAATCACTGTCGCAATGCACAGAACGCCATACAGGCCGACAAGGACCCAAACGACAATCTGAACTGGTGCCCAAACCCACTTGTCATTGACAAATATGCACGTAAAAGCTGAGCTTTGCAGAGGAATCGTAAAGATAGCCAGCCATGTTGCAATGTCGAAAATCTTAAACTGCCAGGGTCCAGTGAACTGAGGCAGTAGAAATGAAGCAGGGTAAAGTCTCTGAAACAGACCAAGATATCTGACTCGGGGGTCCTCACTGGCCATTGCTGTAAAGGGTAGGACCCGTAGACAGGCTGTCACTATGCTTTGAGCATATATGAAAATAATGCTGGCCAATAGCTGTGGCAATATCCGGAACACAAAATACTGGCCCGAGTATATGCTGCCCGTATACGGAGTCAACCCTGAATGAAAGGTCGAGTATCTATCGCAGAAAGCGAGGGCAGCCATCATGAGTAAGATTAGTACAACCAAGAGCAACATTGAGAATGCCCGTAAAATTTGCGGTTTGGCAGCGAGTGGCAGATGCGTTCTGCCCTGGGGGTCAAGATCCAGTAGCATATTGCTTGAAACGGGAATCCATCGTGATGAGGTTGCTCCGGTTGGGTCAAAGGAAGCTGTGCTGCGTCGAGGGAGCTGGAGAGGGGGAGAAGGGCCCCTGAGGGGGGCTGAGGGGGCGGCTTCACTCGTTATGCGATCCTGACGGGTTGGCGAAGAGTATCCCGCGGACTCATCAAATCCTCGCATCGGCTCATAGCGTTCGGAATACCCGTCAGATGAATTAGACACGAGATGCGACGGTATCGATGTGCTCTGACCGCCTACCAGAGCTTGCAAAGCATATTGAATGTACGGTGTATCGTCGACTCCGGGAGTGACCTTTCCCGCCGCTAAAGCCAACTCATCTTTAATGTTGGGCATGCGGGAAGCGTTATCGGCGGCGAACATTGCTAATTGAGCCTCGTCAAAGCGCACTGTTGGGTCTTCTTCTGGCTCGATGGCATGGTATCCCGCAGGATGCGTGGATTGATTTGCGGACGGCTGATCCGTCGCCTGCAGCTCGGAAGACCGTGATTTTATGATTCTTAGCGGGGCTACCATGCCGTCGGACGCATCGCTGGCTTGAGAATCGGGTCGGCGAGAGGAGCGTCGATTCGATGTCGCGGCACGCTTTGTACGGCTGCTCTGTTGTCGCTTATGGCGTGTCGAAGGGGAGGCCTCGCTGTCGGGGACGGCTTGATATCGAGAGTTGTTTGACGGCCGCCAACCTATAAAGAGGGGAATTGTTAGCAGCTGCGCGCAGCACGTCTATGATGCAGCTGATGACCTGCGCTAACATACGAGAAGGCTCTTCATCGTCACGGGCGATACTTTGGTAACTCATTCTTGCAGCGCTCGACGCAGGCCAACTGCACTAGGAGGAGTGTGGCCAATTGCTTCTGCAGGACGTAATGCAAGAGAGAGGGAAAGGTGTATGGTGTATGGATGAGTTTTAAACAGGGCTGGGCAAAGTCGATGCAGGAGACCTGGGTGGGTGTCCCAGCCACCGAAGATCCACGAAGCTCCGTAGTGCACGGGAGCTGTCAGATAGATGGGGCCGAATCAGGAGGCCTGTAGGCCGAAATCACTGACACTATTCACACCACACACTGACCTTGAGGACGACACCGGGGCAGAGTTGTTGATGCTGAAAATCAATTTCAATGGCAATGCGAAGAAGTCTACCAAGGTGTTTGCTGTGCGCTAAAGATACCGCAGAACAGTCATAGCTTTCTGCCGGCTGTCCGTGAGGCTGCCGTTGGGCTTCGTCGATCTTCGGCTTCGGGTGCTGAAACTCTGGCAGACGGGTGGCGCATACAGCGGCCGGGGGCCCGCTAAATCGGGTGGCTGGGGGAGCAGGGGTCGGCGGCTTGGTCAGGCCAAAGCTGAGGCTGCCGAGTTGAGAGATTGGGCTGCCGGTGACGGTTTTGTGTGAGGCTGAAGAATAGCAGGAGAGGAGATGAGCATAATTTGTGAAGCTGAAGAGGATTCCTTTCACGCAACACAGCATAGGGACGTCCAAGTATAGCAGAAGCGAGGGGATCTGCTCCTGCCATGCTGGCGATGAGTTGTCCACGGCCCACTTTGATGCAGTATCGGGCCAATAATCGTCGAGTTGGCTAGCCGCCTTGGCATCTCATTGGATGCTTCTTCAAAGTTTCGTCCAAGGCATTTTGGACGCTGAGATGGTTGCATGAATGCAGTAGATCGACACCAAGGGACAAGTATGCCTATAATGACATGGAATTGTTCTCAAATGCGCCGTGATTTCAAGCATATTGGTTGAAATATCGTGTCGCGTCCCATGTATTGAATCGTACCCTGTAGCTATTTGATATGAGTCTGCACAAACTGTCTCATATTGGCCGTTTGTCGAATGCACATTGAAAAGCATGTGGGTAATTCGATTCGAGCTGAGACATGGAGACTGAGCCCCGCGGAAGCTGTTCCTGGCTGCAAAGTGCATGCGTTTAATATTTAGTCAGCCCTTTTCAACGCCACGAAAATCTCGTAAAGAAATAACAAAAGCATAAAATATGCCAAGCAGAACATACCTAGGTGCGAATTGCCATCTGCCTTACTAGTTTATAGCTAGTTACTTATTGCAATATTGCCAATATCAACCTGTAGCAAGCTTCTATTCCATTGTCTGTATCATTTGGTGCAGTATAAATTCAGTTGCGCTTGATCTGGCAAGAGCATTTGTCAGTGCGCCACTTTCGTCCGATTCTGTGGGGGTGAACTGCAAAGCTTAAAACAGTACGTACCGTGAAGAAACGATTAGCAAAGCTAGCGTAATCCTTGGTGATTGGTCTTAGCGCCCGGGAATTGTTGAACCTGCTGAGCAAAACCTTAGTAAGATGATGAAAGCGAAATTTTGCACTGCTTGACGGCATTGTCAGGCTTAGAAATTTGTTGTCAATTCGCGGATATATCTTGGGGTTTCTATATTTCTTTCTGAAGAATTCTTTAGCATTCGTTGTTTTAGCTGCATGATCTTGTAGAAACAAACATAAATGAGTCGCTTTGCTTTGCTTTTCGCAATTCTTGCTGCTTCAATTTCCATACTCATCTACATCCTACCAATTGAGAATTACACGCAAATCTACAACTACAGAAACATATTCAATAGAAACACCACTACGGACGCATCAACTTCTCCCAATCTGTCTATACCCAGCAACATCACAGCCATGTCGAAATCAATTCTCCGACAGGCCAAGATCACGCCTCACCTGTCGTCAAGCAGGGGGCACAACAATATCGGCTGGCTGGACACCTACCACAGCTTCTCCTTTGCCGACTGGCACGACAACAGATACACCCAGTTTGGGGCTCTGCGGGTTTTGAACGAGGATAGAGTGAAGCCGCTCTCTGGATTCCCCACACACCCTCATCGCGATTTTGAAATCTTCAGCTACATTCTGTCCGGAGAACTGACCCATCGGGACTCCATGCTCGCCAAGGGCAGTGAGGGGGAACAATCGGACAAGTTCTACCGGATGCGACGCGGAGATGTACAGTTCACTACAGGAGGTTCGGGCATAGCCCACTCTGAATTCAACGAGCACAACAAGGAAACGGTCCACTTTCTACAGATCTGGGCGTTCCCGTGGAAGAGAGGCCTGATTCCCCGGTACCACACCCGCACCTTTTCAGAAGACGACAAGCGGGAGGGTTTTGTCAAGATCCTCAGCCCCCTCAAAGCAGGCGAGGAGGCCACCGCGAAAGAGGAGGCAGAGGCAGAGCCCACCATTCCAAACACAATCCCCATTCACGCAGATTTTGTCATGGGCGCAGGAATCATTGCGCCAGAGGGCAAATTTGAGTGGACAGTGGGAGGCGGTGCAGGCATCAAGACGCAGCGCAAAGTATACGTCCACTTACCGATGCTGAAAGGAGGAAAGGCCAAGATCAGACTCGACGGCCGGGAGAATGCAGAGCTGTCTGAAGGAGACGGCGCATTCATCGAAGGAGTTTTTATTGGCGACAAGTTGACAGTGGAGAGCATCGGAGAGGCGGAAGCCGAGGTGATTGTGCTGGACACGGCTTAAGCGGACACGTATGCTGTATAATAGAGACTGATTGGCTTAGACTTCTGTAATAATTTAACATGACACGATGAAAACAAAAGGCCCGTATGTGAGTCAAACCAACAAGCGGCAGAGACGTCGTTAGTAATTTCAGCGTGATCAAAGAGGCAACGGCCGAAAGGCGAGATGTCAAAGATGACGCGAGATATTTGTCGACTGAGGAGGGCGGGGCTAAGATAGTCCGAGCGTTTGCAGCCGACGCCCCTGTAAGTTGGCGGCAGTAGCTGGCTAGATCCAATGGTGCGCCTTGGCGACGCAGGCACAAATGGACCTCTTGATGGGCCTATTTGGGCAAATTTCCAGGGTCGTGGCAAAGCGTTTGCACCTCGACCTCATTGATAGAGCCGCTGAGCCTTGAGAATTGCGTGATACTGAGGATTGTAAAAGCAATGGCATTGCATCAAAGAGGCGACAAAAAAAGAACCTTGATTTATACAGTTATTTAGTGCATAGACATTGTAGACGCCGTTTTCTCGGAGGCTCCGTGTGCAAGGAGATGCTACTCTTTCTGGCTTGGCGCCCCCGATAAGAAAGATACTGTAGGTTAAGCTTGAACCGCAGCAAACAAAGCGTTTCTCGTTTTGAACACCACTTTCTCCGCCTCGCCTCCGTACTCCGCATCTGCTGTCAACAAGACCCAAAGGGGAAGTGGCCGACTAAAATGAAGCCCACTCCAAGGTGCCATGATAACGTTTCATTCTGTTGCTTTTCACGGCCATTGCCTCTCGCAGCAGCAGAGCAGGGACCTGGAGCCCTGGTACCTGCAGCGTCGCCGGCGATCCAGGCACAGCAACGACAGCATCTCCCGCGGCCACTGAGGCACCCGTTCTGCCTTCTCGACCTCAGCTCTCTGATCGACCCTCGCGCACGTGGGATTGTCTGCTCACAATGGGCAAATCCTACGACAATCCGGCTGGAATCCGAAATACGCTCCCCCTGCCCTAAAGATCTAAGCGCCTTGGTCCTTCAGGTACGAGACCTCGAGAACGGCTCATGGCCTTCCTAATTGGAGGGTTCGCCTTAGCCCTACAAGAAAAAACCTTTTCAACAGCCGCTACCAGGTGCCTACTGGTGCGCCACGCGCTAATCAAGGATGCAAATGCAGGGGATGCAACCACTTGCAAACGAGGACGGGCCATTCTCCGTACGCCTGGCGCTCGTGATTCGTGGCTTTACGCCGCTGATGGAGACGTCTATGCCATGAATCCTTCGACGTTTTCACTGGTGGGGCCTACACGCGGGATCCAAGTAGGCGAGACGAGCCTCATACCATTCCTGTCGCACTGTTCACCCTCGACCCTGGGGGCAAGAACCTTATTTTCATCGTGAATTTGGCCATGTTTATGCGATGACGATGGCTTCCCGTGAACGTGGTATCCTCCGGCGACTCTGCTTTGTTATATGCGCGTTTGATGGAGTATGGATAGTCTGAAAACGCTCGGTTTCCAGCTGTGGTGAGGTCGAACTATTGTTGCCGCTGTAAGCACCACAACACTTGAAGTGGCCAATCAGGCTAACAATCGACCTTAGTTTGACGGCTGCTAGTGCTCGCACTTAAATGACTTGTACCTGAATGGTCACAATTGTTGGCTGCAGGACCAACACTGCGTAGCATTTCGCCGTGATCATGCGTGCGAAAAAGACCGCATACTCCAAGGACGGATACCACGGGTATACAACCCCAAACTACTACCAATTCCTGGACAAGGAACCCTAGATTTGGCCAATGGTATGTGATCCATGTGTCTGGCACCAGATACCACTAGACCTGTTCCTAGATTCTGCAGCGTTAGTTGGGTTACGCTGCCCATGGTCTCTATGCAGTCTGCCCACCTTCTTGCCGTTGCAAAGGCCTTGTCTTGACAAATCGGGCTTCACGGGTCCCTCCATCCGTCATAGCTCATGACGGGGAGATTGGGCCAAGGCCGAGATTCGCGTATGAGCCCAGCTCTGCGCTGAAATCGGATGGGCCTTAGGCAGTGAGGCCGCAGGGGGGGCCGAGAAGGGAAATCGCCGAGTCCACGATGGAGGCACTCTCGGCGGCAGTAGTTTACAGTAGGGCCCGAATAAGCGTGGGCAAGTAAAAAAACTAGATAGTCGGCTCTCAGCTATCCTTTTGTGTTTTCCTTTCCTTCTCTCTGTACAACTCTCATCTCTGTCAGCTCCAGAGAAGGCTTGGTTCCTCAGCCAAACGGCAGACGGTTTCGTTTGCGTCCTTTCGTTGATCTTGTATCATCACCACACTCATTCTTCTGGCCTCGGCCACCTTGCAGTCTTTTTCTTGTTCAAACTAGTCAGTCATTAATATGGTTTCTCTCGCTGCTACTGCTGGTCTGGCGGCCACTGGCCTCCTTAATGGTTACTGGGTATGTTAACGGCTGGCCCTTTGTGTTCCCCAAACCGCCGAGAATCTGGCTAACAACTGGTGTGTAGGGACAATACAGCACCCTAGAGGGCATTCGAACACACTGTGACAGCGGTGTTGATTCAATCACGCTGGGCTTTGTCAACAATGCCCCCGATGCCATCGATGCCTCTGGTTATCCTGGTACTAACTTTGGACCCAACTGCTGGGGAGTCTATCTTGGCGATAACGATGTGCCCTCAAACCTGTTGAGCCACTGCACATCTCTTCAAAACGATATCCCCTACTGCAGGGCCAAAGGCGTCAAGGTCATTCTGAGTATTGGAGGAGTCTACAACTCGTTGACCTCCAACTATTATGTTCCGGATAATTCCACTGGTACCGAATTTGCCACGTTCCTTTACAATGCTTTTGGTCCCTACAACTCTACCTGGACGGGCCCTCGCCCTTTTGACGCGAGTCCCGACGATCATACCTCTGTGGATGGCTTTGATTTTGATATCGAGGTCAATTTTCGTGAGTTTCCTCCCCCCCTTTTGGCTCTTTGCTGGCGCTGGATACTAAGACGAATTATCCGTCAGCAAATGCACCCTATATCGAAATGGTCAATACGTTCCGTTCTCTTGACTCTTCATTGATCATTACCGCTGCCCCTCAATGCCCTACTGATCCTCAGTACTTTTACCTGAAGGACCTGATCACGCAGGCTGCCTTTGACAAGCTCTTCATCCAATTCTACAACAACCCGGCGTGTGATGCTATCGCTGGTAACTCCCCCGGCGACAAGTTCAACTATGACGACTGGGAAACCGTGATTGCCAACAGCGCCAAGAGCAAGTCGGCTAAGCTGTACATTGGTCTTCCTGCCATCCAGGAGCCCAACGAAAGTGGCTACATTGACCCTAATGCGCTGAAGAACCTGGTCTGTCAGTACCAGGGCAGAACGCACTTTGGTGGTATTTCTCTGTGGGATCTGTCTCGTGGTCTTGTCAACAATGTCAATGGAACGTCCTATAACCAGTGGGCTTTGGAGGCGCTCCAGGCTGGATGCAACCCCTATCCTGGCTCCACTACCTCGTCAACCACGGTTGTGAGCACCACTACTTCCAAGGCCTCGTCCACGACTTCCAAGGCATCCACCACGACTTCTAGCGCATCGTCAACAACCTCCAAGGCATCGTCAACAACCTCCAAGGCATCGTCTACGACCTCCAAGGCATCGTCTACGACCTCCAAGGCATCGTCTACGACCTCCAAGGCATCGTCTACGACCTCCAAGGCATCGTCTACGACCTCCAAGGCTTCGTCTACGACCTCCAAGGCTTCGTCTACGACTTCTAAGGCCTCAACTACCTCCAAGGCTTCGACTACTTCTAAGGCGAGCTCTACTTCCAAGGCAAGCTCTACTTCCAAGGCAGGCTCTACTTCCAAAGTGAGCACGACTTCCAAAGCGTCTACAACCTCAAAGGCATCGACCACTTCCAAGGCTTCGACCACTTCCAAGGCGAGCTCTACTTCCAAAGTGAGCACAACTTCCAAGGCGTCTACTACGTCAAAGGCCTCTACAACCTCAAAGGCATCGACCACTTCCAAGGCGTCGACCACTTCCAAGGCATCGACCACTTCCAAGGCATCGACCACTTCCAAGGCATCGACTACTTCCAAGGCTTCAACTACTTCCAAGGCTTCAACTACTTCTAAGGCATCAACCACTTCAAAGGCAAGCACTACTTCCAAGGCATCTACAACTTCGAAGGCATCCACAACCTCGAAGGCGAGCACTACCTCGAAAGTAAGCACTACGTCTAAAGTATCTTCAACTTCAAAAGCCAGCACTACTTCCAAGGTTAGTACGACGTCAAAGGCGTCTACTACATCAAAGGCTAGCACTACTTCGAAAGCGAGCACGACTTCCAAGGCCAGCACCACGTCGAAAGCCAGCACCACATCTAAGCCAAGCACGACCTTGAAGACAAGCACGACTTCGAAAGCGAGCACAACCTCGAAAGCAAGCACTACTTCGAAAGCGTCTACGACGTCAAAGGCTTCGACTACGTCAAAAGCAAGCAGCACGTCAAAGGCAAGCAGCACGACGAAGGCCAGCACTACAAAGGTGAGCTCCACTTCAAAGGCCAGCGCCACTTCAAAGGCCAGCGTCACCTCCAAAATAAGCACCACCTCTAAGACGAGTTCCACTTCCAAAGCGAGCTCTACGTCGAAACCGAGCACCTCGTCAAAAGTAAGCACCACGTCAAAAGTAAGCACCACGTCAAAAGCAAGCACTACATCCAAGGCCTCAACCTCGACCTCGAAGGCCTCGACAATCTCAAAGCCAAGCACGACGTCTAAGCCCGCTACTTCCACAAAGCCTTCAACTTCCGCAAAGCCTTCAACTTCAACCTCAGCCAAGCCTTCAACTTCAGCAAAGCCCACCTCTTCCATTACATCTGCGAGGCCAACAACATCCTCGGCGTCGGCTTCGAGTCTGCCCCCGTTGTCGAACGTGGACAAAGGCGTGACCACCTCGAGCGCAATCCCGAGCTCTTCTAGTTCGGTCGTTGTTTTGCATCCCACAACAACCAACCGATGGTCTAACTCATCGATTGCCTTGACATCTGCTCGCAACCCTGCCACAACGACTTCTGACTCTGCATCCGTTTCATTGACGACAAGTGTTGTATATACTACATCTGTGCACACTGTTACAAAGTGCCCACCCTACGTTGTCAACTGCCCGGCGGGAGGCTACGTAACTACAGAGACGATTGCACTATACACCACCGTCTGCCCTGTTAGCGATGCAACCAAGACTCCCGAGGCTACGGCAACCAAGGAGGGTTCCCAACCTGAGGCAACTAGCAGTCCCGTTGGACTCGGTGGTGCTGGCGACTTCCCACAAGTCACAGCAATTGGACAGCCTTCCGGACCAGTTGTTGAGGCTGCCGTTCCTACTGGTGCCGCTAGTTCCAGCGGTCTTCAAACGCTTGTCAGGCCCGTCACCTCCGCTGGGGCTCCTCAGGGCTCTTTCGGCGAGAGCAGTGCTTTCTCCAGCTCCCTAAGCCAGCCAACCATTCCCGTTGGCGCGGGCTCGCCTTACCCTAGCGGTGGCTCTGGCAGCGGCTCTGGCGGCGCATCGCCCTCTGGAAGCTGGAGCGGCGTTCCCTCTGGACCTTCTTCGATCCCTAGCATTCCCGGAGCGAACAGTGCTTCTATGATGAGTGCTAGCTTGGTTGGTCTGGCAATAGTTTTGGCGGTGCAGATTGTTTTGTAAGGTACAGGCTCATGGAAGTTTGAGGCCTTTTGGTTTATGCGTCTTTTATGGGAGCCAACTTTTCTTCTTTTTACAAAGATTTGTCATTCTCTGCCTTGTCCAATTACAGGCTGGGGAGGCAATTACTATTTACTGTCTACTTTTTCTTTTTTATGTCGATACGGTCTTGGATAAATGTAGGGCTTGCTGTGTACTTTAGCTTATGACGATAATTTTGCAAGCCACTCACGGAGCATATCCGGGTTGAAAATGTTAGTATATTAATATTCATTCTGATGGCTCTAGAGTATGACTGCCTAGCAAGAGTACGCAGTGTGTAGTCTGGTATTGAACCGTGTTACTATTCCTAAAAGCAGTTGATTATGAGAGACGTGATATAGATGGCTATCTTGGTTGTTTATATCCGGAGGCGAGTTTGGGAGTCAGTTGAGACTTTAGTCACCGAAACATTTCCTTATATAGCATAGTCTATGCTTTTTACCCGGCCATGGAATCTAGCAATAGATACGCTGTGCTCGATCTATTTGAACTAAATCACGTCTAAGCCTCGATCAAGTCGTATTCAAAGAGAGTTGACAACCCCCAGTGTTTCAACTCACGACGCATCCAGGCCCACTGAAACTAGTATATAGAGCTAACCAAAAGCCCTCCCCGCTTTATCCTCAATCGTCAACCTGTTCAGTTTCCAAAACCACCCTTTCAGACTTTTATGATTTGACGTTTTCATTGTGAATACTAGTAGTAAAAGAAAAACACATAAACCCCCAATTCACAACCCATGGCAGCTCAAACCCCCGACGGCGCGCCCATAGACCTGGCAGAAAACAAAAAGCGCATGCTCCGCGGCGACTTGTACTATGCCTTTACGCCGGATCTCGCCCAGGATCGAAAGGAGTGCGTGAGGGCGTGTAGGAAGCTGAATACGGCGGTGGAACCTTCGAGGAGAGAGCAGGTTGAGATTTGGAGAGAGTATGCGTTGATCCTTTTCACTTCAATTTATAGCATGATTTAGTTATTGTGTTTATTGTCATGAGATTTACATCTCTTTTACTTACCTTTTGTGTCGCGTGTAGAATCACCAGAGATGAAACTCCGCTACCACCCAAGGCAGCAACCGAAGAAGAAGACGAAGCACTCCTAGACGACTATCCAATCGTCGAAATCGGTATAAGAGCAGACTACGGGTACAACGTCCGGTGCGTTCGCCTCTCCGTCATCCCCCCTTCCATTTTCCTCTGGTAGCCCAATCAAAAACTAACACCTGGGGTTTCCCCAAGCCTCGGCAAAAACGTCTACGTCAACGCAAACAGCACCTGGATCGACACCTGCCCCATCACCATCGGCGCGCGCACCATCATGGGCCCCGGCTGCAGCTTCTACTCGGGCACGCACCCGCTGGACCACCGCGTGCGCAACGGAACTCGCGGCCCGGAGACGGGGAAGCCCATCGTCGTGGGCGAGGACTGCTGGCTGGGCGGTGGCGTGACGGTGTTGGCGGGCGTGACGATTGGCAAGGGGTCGGTGGTTGGGGCGGGAAGTGTTGTGACCAAGGATGTGCCTGAGGGAGTTGTCGTGGTGGGAAACCCGGCGAGGGTGTTGAAGACGATTGTCAAGGAGGAAGTTAATGGTGCGGCGTGAGAGAGAGAAGAGGCTGTTTTGGTAGACACTTGCTATAGACTGAGCGTGCAAGGTTGAGTTGAAACTTGTTTGGTTGATAGAAATGATATTAGTTGATAGTCTTGAAACTTGTATACAAAATCTAAGCATCTTGGTTCCTCCACGCCCGCTTTGCTCTCATTGAATTGACCCTTCTTTCATATAATCCTTTTCAGGTGTCAACGTTCCGCTGTCTTCGCTTTCCATGACCATCGTAACAGCCGTGGGTCTCTTGCCCGTAAGAATGCCTCCAAGGACCCTCGTCAGCGTCGCTCTGCTCTCCCAGATCGGATACAGCCCCACGCAGATGAATGAGCAGAAGATCCAAATGATGCCCACGGTTACCCAGCCGGTGAAGAAGGGCTTGGAGAAGATGTACCCGGTGCCGTACATGGGCATTGGCCAAAGGACGAGGAATGCGATGGCCCTATTTGTTATGTAAGCGACAAGAAATGAAAATATTTAGCTAAGAAAAAAGGGACTTACATGAAAACAGTAACAATGGAGGCAATCTTGAATGCCTTGTTTAGTTTTCGTCGCTCCTCTTCGGATTCAGTTCGTTCCTGATTTCTCTCCAGCTCTCGCTGCGCCTCACGGTCAAGCCCCGATGCCTGGATGATGTCGTGATCATCCACCTTTCGAATCTCCATCATGGACTGCCAATCGTACTTGTCGAAGCCAAAGATGAGGCAGAGCAGCGGCACAAAGATGACTGGTGCCAGCAGCGCAGTCACGTTGCCGGCCAGCATTGGGTCGTTTGATCCCGTGCAGTCGACGTCCAGCTTGCCGCACGTCTTCTTTGCTGTTACTAGCCAGGCGACAATGGAGCAGATGGTGCCGAGAATAGGCGAGAGGATTGCTGCCCAGCGGTTTTGGCCCTTCCACAGCAAAGTCAATGTGGCTGGGATCACGGCAGCCGAGATTAACACACCCATGAGGAGGTAGAGGTAGCCCATGGAGATGCCGTTGTACCACAGACCGGTGGAGATGCAGCAGACTACAATCATGTAGCCGACCATGCACATGTGAGACATCCAGACGAGGCTTTTGCTGCTGGCGTTGGGGCGGAAGTACGTCTTGTAAATATCATATGTAAAGATGGTAGACGTGGCCACCAGCTCAGCACTAAAGGCCGAAGTGACGGCCAAAAACAGCATGATGAGAGTTGCAATTGCGCCGCCCTTGCCCATGAGAGCCACTGCGGCATAAGGAAGCGCCAGTCCAGCAGAAACCTGAGAGTCTGTCAGGCGGTTGGGATATGTCGGAAACTGAGGGCTGGACTCGAGTGCCAGAGCTGCGAGGCCGAGTGTTGTGGCCGTCAACCACGGAATGGCAAACCACGCCGCACCGCCCATGATGTATCCAGGCAGCGCATGGATTGGAGATGCCGCTATAGACTTGTTATAGTAGCCGTTATCCAAGAATACGGTTCCAAAGTTTCCAACAATGTTGATGACGAAGAAGATGGCACCGCCCTGGGATCTCATGGTGAGGTAGCTGCCGTCGCGGTTGCCGGAGACGGGATGGGCCTGGGCAGCTTTGACGAGGAGATCGTATACGGCTGACGGGCTACCAAGAACATCTGAAGTAGCATAGGTCTTTAGTGCAAATATCATAATGATGATGAGCACGGCAAAGGTGTGGATATAGTCTGTGATAAAGGTTGCTTTCAGACCGCCAGAGACGGTGTAGGCCACCACAGGGATGGGGATGAGAAAGATTGCGGCTACGCCATGCATTCCCGTCAAGGCATTTACTGTTGCGGCTCCTCCTGTAATCAGCATGAGGGAAACCAGCATGTTGGTCATGAGGCCAAAGACGATGAAAGTGAAGTGCGCTGCTTTGCCGTATCTCGCCTTGATGACTTCCAAGAATGTATGGGCGTTCGGAGCTCGCTTCTTGAGCGTGATGGCGATGGTCGCGAAGAGCAGAATCTGGACGGTAGCTCCAGAGGCATACCAGAAGGGGCCAGAGACTCCGTAACGATAGCACACGCCAGAGCTCTGCAATAGGGTCGCGGCCCAGGTCCAGGAGGAGACGACGGCAGAGGCGACCAGGCCAGACTTGACGGTACGGCCAGCCGTGTTGAACATTTCCGATGTTTGGACTTCATTGTTGAATCGTTTGAGGATGTGAGTAACGGTAATCTGCAGGCGACGTATTAGGATGTATCTGGGCAAAGTTTATGGTACACGTATCCAAACTCACCATGAAGATGGCAAACGCAAAGCCCAGGCCCAGGACAATGCCATAGCCATAGCCCTGGCCCAATGGGGTGGAGGCTACGTCAGACATGGTGCTTCCACGCAAGGGGCTGTGATGCTTCAGCAGGAAGGGCTGGCTGGAATGCTCGAAGCTGAAGATGCCTCGCCTCGTTTAGAATGCCTCACTTATAAAACTGTCCAAATGCGGCAGCAAAGGGAGCGTAGCAGAGTTATGTAGCACCCCATATCGCACGGCGTGTTATCTTGGTGCTCTGCATTCGATCATGGAGTTTGCCGATTCCATCTCAAAGCATGGATAATGGCGCAAGGCTCTCTTGTTTCTGTTCTAAACAACCCGTCTTCATCATACAGGGCATCCAACCCCCAAATCTTCAACCCGCAGTAGTGATATTCCATTTTGCTGATTGCGATATTTTAGCTTGGAAAACGATAAGATTCAAAGACACAGATTCTATTAGTTATAGAAAGAACAGGGAAGCTGAATTTCCGCGCTCATCAACTGCTGCGGCAAACCGAGCATCAGGCTCGCAGGGCTGATCTGCAATCAAGTAGGTGCTAGGCTTAGCATCATCATCAATTCAGAAGATACGGCTTCTGGGTAGGCATTGATTTTGCCTGCATGGGAGCCGATATGAGATCGATGCCGTATCACAAGCAAATGCCGGCTAAATGCAAGATAGCTGCAGATGCATCGCTTATCAGGAACGCTGCCGACGTTGTAGGGATCTGGTTGGCTCAAGCTGTCAGATTGTTGCGGGCTAAGAGCGTAGAGATAAGGGCCGTGATACTGTAGCAATCGCTGTCCCAAATTGCCCCCGCAAAGTTACCCCATACTCCAGCCGGTACCCAGCAAATAGACAGAGCGGCCCGTTGAGATCCGGCAACGGCAAAGATAAGGCCGAGTGTCAATGTCAATGATTCACCAGATAACAGTCATCAAGCAATTAATCGCTTTGTTTTCCTATCTGTATGGGTGTGACGATAAAGCAGATGGCAATGACAGTTGATGTTTGGGGTAGCCCCACTCTTTTCTCCCGGCACAAAGACAGATACTCTTATCTGCTACGTACTGTATATACAGACGACAAGGGCGTTGATCAGCCTACTCGGGCATTACCGGCTGCTTTCTTTCTTTATTTTGATTTCCGTGTTATCCAGATAAGCCCGATCGGCATTGATGACGCTGGAAGATGAAACAAAGACGTAAACGTGAATCTGCAAAACATCATAGGCTCATATATCCGTGGAGATGTCTATCTCCTCGAATAGATTACACGTAAAGAAATGCTCGTATGATGGTAAAAAAAGGAATATTTGCATGACATAAAGATATTATTTGATATCATCTGCCATTACGGCTATATCTGCTTCTCCGTGGACTGCACTCCCGTGGGGGTTGGCTAGAGCTGAAGCAGTCTCATTTCCATGTTCTTTGCTGTACGTAAAGCTTTCCATAGTGTTGATAACCGATAGCGGCAGCTTCGGTATCGTGGTGAGTTTCGCTCTCTTGCCTTGCGTATCTTCCAAGGCGGCGATCGGTATCTCGTAGCAATCATGCGAGTGAACGTAATAGTTTTTTACTTACGCGGAGTGATTGAATCATCACTCTGTATTCCTTGCCTATCATCAAAGCGGCAGTTCATCGCCCCAGATCGACACCTCGCTTTGACGCGTCTTTCAACCCTTCTTCAAATATACTAGCCCAGCGCTGTGCCAATTCGATAAAGTCAAAGGACATGCCTTGGGCAGCACTACCAAGCTCAGCTACCACAGACGTCGCCAGCTTTCCCTCGAGCCCGCATGGAACGAACCGAGCCCACGGATTCAAACGTTCTAATCCCTTGACGGAGACATCGATGTTGATGGCCGTGCCAAGTGCCGTGATATAGCGCCGGTGATGGACCCCGAGGGCTGCAATCTTACGAGGCGGGCCTGACGATTCTTGAACCCAGACGCCGGGCTCATCGCGGTTGGTATATGTTTGAATATCAAACATGTCAGAAAGAAACCGCTGCGTGGTTGTCTCTAGATGGCTAGCAAACGAGGAGACGCTATACTTGGGATACAGAGAAGAATGCATGTCCAATACGGGCCAGAGAACAAGCTGGCCAGGGCCATGGTAAGTCGTGAGGCCTCCGCGGTTCGTCTTCTTCACCTGAGGATAAAAGAGCCCCTCGATGGGCTGGGGTCGCTGGAGGAGATGGACGTCCAGTGGCCGTTCTAGATGGAACATTTGCTCCGGAATTAGATCGTCTTGTCGACGGCCAAGAGTAAACGTCGGCGTAGACTCGAACGTTATGAGCTGTGGCCGAGGGCAATCCTCTTCTGTTCTCGACCTCTCGGGGAGTCCTTTCCAGGTCAGGAATCTGGCTCGATGCTCCTCCTGGACATCTTCAGCGGCTTCATAGCTCGTCAGCCCAGTAGAGTTATCTCCTATGAGATGCTGGTGCTGCAGTAAGGAGAGTTTTGCAAAGGTAGTCTGATATCGTCGACCAGCAACTGACACGCCAACTCTGTGAGATGCCGATGCCGCTGCTGCTGCTGCTCTGAGCTGCAAACGGGGCACGTGCCACATCTTGTGACTTGGCTGCGCTACTGCAGCGGCCGCTGAATTGAGTTGCTCTTGAAAAGCAAAATAGCCCCAAAGGGAATGAAGAAACTTGGACAAGGTTGGTGATGTGATGTTGCAGCTAGCATCCGGCAGTGATTCGACAGGCCGCTGCTAGCGTTCGACTCAGTGAAATCCTGTCGTAGCACGCGCTACCAAGCGCTAACATGGCGGATAGCGCCGGTGGACGCTAAAGGCAGCGTTGTGGATGCTGCTGACGTGACGCTGCTGGCGACAGCTGGACGGTGACAGCCTCCAAATTCCCAGCGAGATGGAAGAACGATCAACGAGGACGCAAATCGGAATGTCACCTGCGCTGGTGGGCGTGGAGATGATGCAATACTGCCGTCTCTCGTTGACGCCTCGTCCACAGCGTTCACAGCGTCCGCCTCATCCAGCTTCTGCATCCCCCAGGCCCGCCGCGCTCCTTTCATGACATCAAAGCTTCACTCCCGCTGTGGAAACTGCTCTAATAAGGTTTGCGCAAGCGTCGGCCAATAGTGCAGGTGATGGCGTGCAATAGCAGTTGTCGTCGTATGCTTGCAATTGCGTGGAATGCGCTTGAAGCTTCGTCTCTAGTGGTGGTGAACCGTGGGTGGCACTTTAAGGTGCTGAGCTCGTCCCGGCGTCGTCTCGTACTGCTCACATGCTGATGATTCAAGCTTCCGATGTCGTCTTCCTATGTAAACATTGTAGAAGAAGCAGTCTCCCACTCTCAATGCATCGTCAACTGGGGCTTCTTCTCGCCTGCTATTCGCCAGTCTCTGTGTCGTCATCGCCTCTCCACGATGGCATCTCGTCGACTCAATTGAGTGCAGCGCCACGGCCACACGGCAGGCACTTCCCAGCGCTAGCCCGCTGAAAAAAGCTTCTTGGCGCTAGTATTTTGGAGCAGCTGCATCTTGGCCGATCGCCTGATTGCGAGTGCCTGGATTACTGCGAGCTGTACACGATACGAAGTGGCTTTGGGCACTTTCCCGCTTGACATCCATTGACATCCATCACTGTAGAATGTATCGGGTACCTGCTCGAGTAACGTCGGCCCTCTGTGGCTCAGGAAACTGCATCATCAGCCCCGCCGCCTTTTGCCCCTAGGAGCTTCCCATCCAGCTCTTTCTCTCCTCCCAGGCTCAGCCATTGCGTTGCGTATTTCTTTCCCTCGCTCGTATACTCCAACACCACTTATTTCCATCTCTGTCACTAACGAGCGTATCTTTTAATCTTCTTCACATCACTTCCGCTGCTTTCGTATTTTTAAAGCGGCACATCTCCGCCGAAGCTCTCCCCTGTCCACCAAGCAGCTCCAGATCTAGCTATATCCTAGCTCAAGCAGGGTTCCCTGCACCCGCATGGCCTTAGCTGGATCTGTCACGACGTCATAACATCTCGCATCAACATCACTATCAATATCCATATTGATACTACTACAGTTATAGCAACCGACCACTATAATTAATTGGAATACAGAGGGCTTCGCGAAGGCTTCTACTCTACTTTCTCTTTCATCTATCCATCTTTCTTCGCCTTCTTACTTGCCACTTATACGAGGACTACGCATTATCACAGCTGATTCAAAATGCCCAAGAGTGAGTGAATCAATTTTCATTTCAGATCCTTGTCAACCGCGCGGCCAATGGTAAAAGCAGCAATAAGAAACATCAGTATCAACGTGTAAATTAAACAACATCAACTTCAGCTCATGCTAACCAATTCGCATTCCACAGACGCTCTTTTAGCCTCCATCGGCTTCATACTTCTCTGCGTCTCCCAGCTATTCATCTGGTTCATCATCCTGCCCGGCGTCACGCATGATACGCCCTTCCGCCATACGTACTACCTTCGTGCCGACACCAGCGGCATCACAGGAGCCCGTGACGTTTCCCAGTGGACTTACTTCTTCATCTGCGGCCCTGACAACAGAGATTGCGGCCCTTCTCATCCTGCCATTCCTTTCGGCTTTGCCTGGGACAGCAATGCGCGGAATGTGCCACCGGGACTTGGTGGTAGCCATGGCAGTCACACGACGTCGTTCCATTACTTCTACATGTGGCGCTTCGGATGGGTGTTTTTGCTCATGACGCTCTTCTTTGAGGTGCTGGCCTTCTTCACTTCGATACTAGCTTGCTGCGGCCGTCTCGGCGCAGCATTGGCCTTTGTCGTCTCCAGCATTGCTCTCTTCTTCTATACGCTCGCCGTGTCCATCATCACGTAAGCCAACTGCCATATTTCATGTAATGGTTCAAAAAGAGTCACTTTGCTAACTGTTTATCGTACGCAGTGCCACATTCTGCGAAGCCCGCAATCGTTTCCACGACGTTGGCCGCTCTGCTAAGATTGGACCGTGGGCATTCGGTTTCCTCTGGGGTTCGTATGTGGCACTTCTCATTGCTGTCATTCTTTTCGCGCTCGGCATACGTTCGAATCCCACTTTTGACTTTAAACGCCGGCAAAGCTCTCGCGAACCTACCGGAAGCCGAGGCCGCTCCTATGATGGTCGCCGGGTCAAGGAAGAGTATTCGTAAAGAAAGAGCATATCGTTGTTCAGCAAGAAACGTATGTGGAAATGAAAGAGGTAATGGCAGTATTCGGGCCAATGGAGCGACAGAGTTTCGGTGTAAAGCAGACAAAGACTTGCCTATGCTGTCTCCCGAGCGTATGATATACCTGCTTTGAGTACCTAATGGCCTAATTCTCGTTAAAGGCGTTACGTTCTGAGGAATAATTAATAATTGGAGGAAAGGAAGGTCAAGGGAGCTATACTGATGTGCTTTACTTCTTGATTATAGCTTATGGATTTATTCTTATTAATGGTTACAATTACTCTCACCCCTTGGTCGTAAACATGTGATTCTGGTGCCATTGGAACAAGACAACACCCATATCTCATTCATTATAAGACGAAAGTCACTTACTATGCCTCTCAGTCATGCCCAATCTTGTATATGAATGATTCTTAATTATGGTACAGGCTGCCCTCGTGTTCTTGGCCATGCGTGTGCGTTATCTGATATACGTACAACACAATAAAAAAAGAGAAAAATCCTCCCAAGATAATCCTTCCCGCCGTATATACCATAACATCCCCCCCTTCTCCCCAACTCCCTTAAAATCTTTCAAGAACCACAAAGTTCTTGCCTACAAAGGGGAAAAAAAGAAATTTGGAAAAAAAAAAGACAAGACAATAGAAATTGATTTCCGTGCCAATAGGTAGTTATGAGTAAGCAAAAAAGTGATTAAACAGGAACAACAGAGAAAGAAGAAAGAAAAAAACACCATCCGCTTGTAGCTCCCTTTGAATATATGAAAGCCCACGTCTAAAAAAAAAGGGAAAAAAAAAAGGAGGTCCAAATGCGTGTGTATATATATGCGTGTTCGTTATGTGAATGTAGGATGCTTTTTTTTTTCGGGGTGTATGTGTATGTGCGCATGCTTGTGCAATTGGATGGAGGCAGGATAGCTAATTCTTTTGTTTTTGTGGGAAAAGAAAAGACATTTTGCTTATTTTTGTGTACAGAGGAAGTGCCAGTTTTCATGTCTCCTCCGCCATCAGTTTGCCCTTCCGCTCTATGCTTTTCTTCTGCTTGATGCTGATGGATTGAGCCAACTCAGATACCGGCTCTTGTTGGCATGTGCGTAGCGCAGATTCCTTTTTTTTTTTTTTTTTTTTTTTGGTAGGTTCGCCTAATCAGATAGTAGTCATGTACATATTGGTGCCCCTCACTGGCTGAGAACAGGGCTTCCTAGAGGGCTGATGCTATCCAGAGGTGCAGCATGAAGCGCAGGTCTGTTGGGGCCAGCGCCGTTTTGGCCCTCTGCATGCTTTTTCAGGACAGACTGGACCCATTCAGCAACTTCGGCGTCTTCCGTGCCCGAGCTCAGCTCCATGTGTCCTACCGCCTCGGCTACCTTGTCTGTGGCCTCGTCATCTTCGGCAACTTCATCAATCGTTTCCGGCTTAGATAGAGACTGGATCCAGGGATGTTTAAGTAGCATGGCATATGTCGGGCGCTGCTTTGGTATCTTATGAAGACAGCTCTTGACAAAGTCCTTTGCCAAATCGGAGTAGCCATCCTCTGGCATAGCCGGCGGCTCGCCTTCAACAATGGCCTATGATGAAGTTAGTCAAGTGGTACATTTAATCAACAAGTCAGTGACAGCTCACATTCAGTTGGCTGAAAATAGTGGACGATGCTTCAGGGGGGTATGGATATTGACCCATAGCGCACTCGATGACTGTCAGACCCAAACTCCAGACATCACTTTGAACACTGTAAGTGCCATCCGAGTTGCCCGCCTGTGCCATACCACCTCCAGAGATTCTTTCGGGCGCCATGTAGCTCTGGCATCCAATGTTTGTCTTGGCAATGCTGGCCACAAGGTTGCCACTGACGCCAAAGTCGCAGATTTTGACCTGACCCCGCGTGTTGGCCAGGATATTCGTCGGCTTGACGTCTCGATGGATAATGTTATGCTCGTCCTTTAATGATTTGAGACCCATCACGGCTGAATAAGTAATCTTTCTCAGGATGTTTTCGGGAATACCTCCAGCGTAGATCTTATCAATGGAGCCACCATCCATGTATTCAATGCACATGTATACAGCGCCTTCCTGGAAAAAGGCTCCGTAAAAGTCAATGATGAATGGAGACACACACTCGTGAAGGATGACCAGCTCTTTGAGGATAGTGGTAAACTTGGCATCGTCGAGCTCGAGTCGGATTTCCTTCATGGCCATGACTTTGCCGGCTTGAGTTTCCAGCGCGTTTGTGGCATCATGCACCGCCGAGTCTGATTGACTTCGGTGCGGTTGTGGATGCGGCAACTTGGCCCCAGACAACCCTGGCCCAAATCGTGGTACACTCGGCTTCGCATGCCTGACCTTGTACACTGTTCCGTAGTTGCCTTTGCCCAACTCGTCTATTATTTCCACCTCATCTAGGGATATCTTGAAGGTCTGGCCATTGGAAAAGTTTACTCCAGTACGAGTGATTGTGGCTGCGCCGTCAAACGTAATCCAGCCCTTTTCTGTATCGATATACTTCTTGAAGTCGTCTAGTTTTGACCCCAAGGACGATTTGCCATTGGGTGCGCTTGGTTGGGGCAATCCCGAGAGAGATGGAGCTCCCGGTCGGCGCATGCTACCAGTAGGAGGGCCACCACCGCCACCCATGTCTGATAGCTTCATTCCTCCCATCATATTGGCTCTTCGCTCGCTGAGAGACTTTGGTATGACAGGTGCTGATCTGGGGTGCGGTACGGGGCCGGGACGCTGCATGGCTGGGGGCATGCGCAGAGCAGTGAAGCCACCAGCTATAGGTCCTCCAGCTGTGGGCATCGGTGAGACGGGAGAGCTGCCCGCCGCTGACATTCCTTTCTGCATTCGTTGTTGGTGAAGCGCGCGCGCCTTGGCCATGACGCTGTTTTCCATGGCTCCAGCACCGGCAGCAAAGGATGACCCAGTCGAGGAAGGATTTCTTGCCTTGCCCAGCATTCCCAGCGGAGTTGAATTAGGGTTCATGTTTTGGGGATCGGCAAAGGTGTTGAGGAACGGTAGTCTCTTGGGGGAGCTGGGTGATTCGCCCAGCTCATCGCCGTTGGGGGTTCCTGCTATGGACGAGTCCTCAGAGAACGGCGATGCCTGCATAGAGAGATCTCGATCATCGGATATGCTGTCCGGCGTGGCCGGGATGGAATCGGTGCCGCTCATCGTGACGGTTGGAGAGATGTAACTGCGTGAGGATTTGCTCCGCGCGGAGGTAGGAGAGAATGGTGATGGAGATGGAGTCGCAGGAGGGAGAGAGATGGAGAGATCTCCCCAGTTTTTACAGACAGAAGCCACACAGCGGAGCTACTGGGTATGCTCGATCGATCGACGATGCGCGGCGTCGCAGAGGCGGAGGCCCAGCGACCCGGCAACTATGAGGAGGACGAGAGGAGTGTTATCCTTGTTGGTTTTTTTTTTTTTCCCAGCGGTGGACGTTGACGATGCTGGTGGTCCGAGGTCGAGGCTTTGAAGCTTAACCAAGGTGGGGTTTTCGGATGCTTCGTCGCTGACAATTCCCTTTGATGACGGCCGATTCGCGGGAGGCGGACGGCGGACGGTTTGGTCCTGGCGGACTACGCTCCTCAAAGACTAGGCCGGTCTAGACTTTTTGCACGACGCAGGGAAGAAGCAGAGCAATCGAAGAGATGCTCGGCTATCGCTCGGTTTATACGTGTACCTTCTGACACGATGCGTTTTTCGTTCGTGGGGCGACGCGAAAGAGGGGGGAAATGGAAGTTAGATAAGACAGAGCGACAAAGCTGCAGACAACGGTTAGCTCAGCGCCGGCTGGATCATCGCGGGCTTGAGAATTTGCGACGCCACTTGCAGAGCGGATTTCGACTTTTATGTATGAAACGGCGCTTGCCTCGTCCATGCGCCCGGAGCTACTGAAGAGATGGAGCGTACCTGAAATGAGCCCGGATCCGCCAGGCTTGTTTGCTGAGGGCTTTGCAGGGCTGCGTCCGCACCGGTAGTTGCGAAGAAGGCTTGAAGAGATTTTCTTGTCTTTTCAACCGGTAAGTTGTGGCGGGTCGTCTGTCTTATACGAATCCAGGCACAACTTTTTTGGGGAGGTCCTGTTTTGGGCAATGTAGTTGAAGCAGCGCAAAGAGGCTTACTAAGTCGTCGAAAGTATATTGACACTGCGTACTGCTAGGTACCAGGTAGAGACTGTGGCAGTGTCAGGTATCGATCGGGAAACAAGGCCAGGAACGCTCGTTGGCCAATTCCCAGAGCCGTCGACGTACCTGCTGGCTGTTTTTGGCCCAGTGAAGAAACCTGAACGGCGCTGCGGCACAGACAGCTGGAACCAATTGCTGCTCTACCAAGGCACAAGCTTGCAGAGCCTTGCAGTGGATGCTAGCCTGCGATAGGGCAAGCGAATGCCAAAAGATGCAGAGCCGTGCGGGGTTGGAGGTTGGAGATTCTGGCGCTTTCTGTCGCGGCAGTGACGATGACGATGCGAAGGCCCGATGTGCGTCAAATGCAGGATCCTGGATAATCGTCAGGCGGCGTCTCTGAGCCGGCACGTCATATAAAGCAGGCCGCCCGTCAATTGGCGCGCCGGGATTGGTGGCAAGACTCGTCTGTCGTGACCCAAAAGTGGGCATCAGCGCTGTGTCCATCCATGCCGCCGGGTAAAAGATGCTGGAGCCAGCGCACTGCACTGGTTAATAACCTACCTATCAACGATCCAATGCTGTTCTTTGTCTCGCGAAAACGGCGCCGACAGGGGACGCAGCAGAACAGACCCTGCTATACGGCAGCGAATGGGCAGTCAGAAGACCAGAAACACAGGTGCCTAAACTCGCAGTCTATGCCGGGCGTGAGGTGTGACGTGATTCAGTCAGCTTCGGGCTGGGCGAGGGAATGAGTGTACTCGGTATCAATGCAGAAATAACAGGACAGACACAGGGGGTCCAGCGTTGGGCTTGGGAGAGAGAGAAAAACGCCCACAGGCAGGGCGGAAGTGGAACAAAAGGGCAAAGATGGAGAATCGAAAGAAGAGTGATGGAAGGAAAGGGAAGGGGGATATGGCTGCAGTTGATGATTTATATCACCGCCGTCTCCTGGGTACAATCCAAAGCACGATATCAGCTAGGAACGCTGAACAAGAGCCCGCCGGGCGCTACAGGCAGCTGCTAATATTTGTCAGGGCACAGATCAGAGGCGGCAGCGGCGTCTCTCGTCGCTGCATGTTTGATATGGCCCTGTGACTGGGACGGGTCTTGATAGTGACTCTGAGGCCTCTTGCGCGGAATATCCCACCAAAATCCGCTGTGATGGTTGGCAGACCCCACACGCGGGTACTCTTTTGTTTCGTATTTTCGCCCCGACGACTACACGATGATGACGCCAGTTGCTCCCGGGTTTGGAGGTACTGGCGGATAGGAGGGTACAAGCTGCGGCGGGATCCAGGCCGACGATCCATATCAGACAGATCTCATTATGAAACCGCCTCTGGTCCCCGAGCCGTGCCTTGAAGCAATAGCGGCCTATCACGGGCCAAGGCTATGACAAGCCAGTTCGCCTAGAGGCGACGAGTCCTCTCTCTTTCACCTCCTAATATGAAGCCACCGAAAAGAAAAAGGGCTGGGGACCCGTTCCATCCTACGGGAGCCGGGCTACCCCAGAATCCATCTGGTGTGTTTTCTGTTTGCTTCTCACGACCCTGCATTCGATTGGGCTTTTGGCGCCTCGTTATTGGGCTGCCGCGGAGAGGCTACCGCAGGTCCTTGGTGGCCATGGCGGTGGCTGCCCGACAAGCTGCGTTGCAAGCGCAAGAATCGCCGCCCTTGCATCGGCTGGTGTCTCTGCTGAGGTGCCTCTGCCGTGTTTGCCAATCTCGTTTCATGATGGCCTCCCGATGCTGATTGCTACAAGTATTTGTGGATAAGTTACATGTTTACTACATACAGCCCACCAGCATGCAGGCAGCACCGGGTGCTTGGTCTTATGCACAAACACCAATTTGTATCGATACTCAAGGCTCACGCAGCCCAATCGTCTGCTCAAGGTCCCCACATCGATGCTACCCTCAGCCCAGCATGGATGACTTAATGAACTAATCAAACGGGACCCTGGCGGTTCGGATGCATCATATTTCGTAGCTATGAAGCTTTTTTCTTTGTGCATTGTGTAACCCAGCTGGGGAGGGATCGGCGCCTTGCTCGTTTCAAACAACTGATGCGCATTTTCCCCTCCATCGCGTTTATCATGACGTACTCTATATTTACAATCTCGATTGTGAGTTTTTGGTCGCGATGGAGGCGATTATTGAAATGGCTATGAGCACAATGACATTGTGCGCATCCACGTTGACGATAAGCTGCCAGTTGTTTGTTTTTCCATTGGTTACACGTTGCGCTTTTATCTTGACTCTCGGTGTGGCTGGTGTCTCTATCTATGATGTGCCATACTTTCTACGTAGTGGAGCTAGCTACCCGTGCGAGGCTGAGAGCTATCAAAAATAATCCAATGTTGGCATTATTGCGCATCTTGTGTATAACATGCTGTATAAGATGCACAGGTAAAAGTGACAGCATCCGAAAGCCTGGCGCCCGAGACATGGACTACCCTAGAGTCACGCCGTAGGATTATTTTCTCCCTTGCAGGACGGGAAAAAGTGAGGCTGTCAAGGGAGACGGGCATCGAGGGTCATCAAATGCAGCGCTGGCAGTCTATTACTGGTAGCTTCTTTCTCTTTCTAAAAGGGATGAGACAATCTCATTTCCTGCCAGCCGTCATATCAAGTTACGGTGCATATACGAGTTTGCTAGAGGCCCAAATGTCTTGGAGATACGGTGTGATGCGGCCGTGGCATGGTTGAAGCCGTGTGAATCTGTTTGCGCTGGCATCTCTTGCCAGGATGCTGGGCTTATACGCCACAGTAAGAACCTATGGCTGAAGCAACAAGGCGCCCGGCCTTATCTCTGCTCTCCCACACAGGCGCGCAAGACTAAGCCGTATGCAAGGATATCAGGTTCGGAAGGGTTCTATTTACCGCTTGCTCGCCAGCGCCAAGCCTGCCAAGGTAAATAAGCTCATTACGAATCCTTCACAGCCATAACAAGCCTCCGCAACGTACCTACGATGGTGGCTGGTTTGTGTAATGTGTAATGTCCACCAAAACCATCTCTCCGCTGCAGGTCCACTTCGCAGGCGACGAGATAAAGGCTGCAAAAAGCAGGTCAACAGCAGAGCATGAAGCCACACGTGATCGCAGCCAATGCAGCCAGACAGCTGGTTCCCTCATCGCTGCGCTGCCTGATAGCCCTACCCCTACGGTGCTGCTCTCCCCTGGCCAGGCCTCTTTTGGAGGGCTCATGGGCGCATCCAGGGATGCCATTGGCCAGCAGCCACAAGTACCTGACAGCGCAGTCCTCCACCCAGAGTGACATCAGCCGCGCCGTGACGCCCCAAAGCAGCGCCAAGAGGGCACTTGGATGGCACCCAGAGCGCTAGAGAGGCCGCTAAGCTGCAGCCCGGCAGCCCGGCCAGAGCTTGTTTGGCCCAGCTCTTCCGCTCGTCCTCATGTCACTGTTGCGTGTTGCGCGACCATTCGCCTCCCTTATCGCTGAGTCGTGCTATCTGCGCCCATACGCCAGTCCCGGTCGCACCACAGCATCATAGAGTGCCGGCGAAATAGCGCCCTATTGGAGGCCCATTCAGCGGCATCTTCAGGTTTTCTGGCCCTTTGCCTGGCAGCATGGCCCCGTTGCGCAGCCACTCTAAACGTCGTCACTTCACATTGCCTGCAGCATCTCATTTGACACGCATCACATCCTCGTTGCTTTTATTCCCCCCAATCTCACGGCCTGCGCAAGAGGCCAATCTTGTGGCTGTTTTGACATCGCCTGCCGAACAAAACTCCCCTGAACCTGGACAACGCTCAGCACTCCCCGGTGACCTCATCCCAGCTCCATTGCCATTTTGTCCCAGACAAGCGGCTAGCTGACGACGCTTTGAACTTTCTGTGAACCACCCCAAGGGCTTAGGCTTCAGCAAAGGATTTCTGCCTTCTTTTCTTTCTTCTTTTACTCTTCTTTTGACCCTTGCATATCGCCCTTTTCTACCCCATCGTCGCAAAGTCTGTTCTTGGACAATTTGATACAACAGCGCCGATCCACAACGACCTCTACTCGATTCGACGCGCTTCAATTCCACTCAACATTGCCACTCCTCGAGCGAACCATCATTTCGAGCCTCTGGGTCACATTTGATGGATCCTGCCGCCTCTCTCACGCCGCCGACTTCGTTTCGGCTGGCCGTGCTGGCCCAAAAGGCCTACGACATGCCGCTCAAGGTCTTTGAGTCCGCTGCGCCTGCGCCGTCGCATCCCTCCTTGTCGCATCTCTGCTTGCTCGTCTTCGAAGCTGTTCTGGAAGTAGTCTGCGTGAGCTTGCCGGGATACATTGTCGCGCGCCTTGGCCACTTCGATGCCGATAAGCAAAAGTTTCTGGCCAATCTCAATGTGATGCTCTTCACGCCCTGCCTGAGTATGCTGCTCCCTCTGGTGATGTCTCCTGTTCCCCTTTGAACGCCCACCTGACATATTATTCCATAGTCTTCACTAAGCTTGCATCCCAGCTCAATGCCGAAAAACTATCCGATCTTGCCATCATCCCCGCCATTTTTGTCGTACAAACCCTCGTATCATGGGTAGTCTCGATCTTGGTTGCCAAAGCATTCCGATTCAATAAACGAGCGTCCAACTTCGTCACGGCCATGGGCGTCTTTGGCAATTCCAACTCACTGCCCATTTCTCTAGTTCTGTCTCTCTCGCAGACAATCAAGGGCCTTCACTGGGACAGGATACCTGGCGATAACGATGACGAAGTCGGCGCTCGCGGCATCTTATATCTACTTATATTCCAGCAACTCGGTCAACTTGTCAGATGGAGCTGGGGATACCACGTCTTGCTAGCCCCCAAGGATAAATATGCCGAATATCAAGATGAAATTGCCGAAGAGGGCCAGTATAGATATACGGACGAAGAGCCAACCGAACAGGAGCCGGAGATTCTCATTACTGGCCTGGACGGTGATACCGAAGATGATGGCGATAGCAATGCTTCTCAAGTCTACATACCTGCTGGACGCACACCCCTTGCGAACAATTCCCGGGCTTCACTGGCTGCCTCCTCGGTCGATAATGACGATGTGCTGAATTTCAAAAAGGGCAATTACCCTCATGCAAGCGCGCTCGCCAATACAGACTTGGAAGATGATATTCTTTCATTCCCTCGCATCCGTCTTCGAGATGAGACTGAAACCGAGCACGGAACTGCTGCTCGTATCAAGAAATCACTGCATTCTCTCAAAGACAAAGCGTCTGCGGCCATGACTCGCCAACATCAGCGTCTTCCTCAGCCGGTAAAGACCTGCCTTTCTTTCATCCACATGTCAATCACAAAGATTTACGCATTTATCTGGGGCTTCATGAATCCACCTTTGTGGGCCATGCTCATTGCGGTCGTCGTTGCGTCTATCCCGAATCTCCAACAGCTCTTCTTTGAGGATGGTTCTTTCGTCAAGAATAGCGTCACCAACGCCGTTTCGTCTAGTGGAGGTGTTGCCGTGCCTTTAATCTTGGTTGTTCTCGGCGCCAACTTGGCGCGCAACACTGCCGCTCACGATTTCCCCATTGACCCGGAAGAGGAAAAGATTGGCACCAAGCTCTTGGTTGCCTCGCTGCTGAGCAGAATGGTTCTGCCCACTCTGATTATGGCGCCCATCCTGGCCCTTACAGCAAAATACTTGCCCATCAGCATTCTAGATGATCCCATCTTCATCGTCGTATGCTTCCTTCTTACCGGTGCACCTAGTGCGCTTCAGCTTGCGCAAATATGCCAAATCAACAATGTGTATGAGCAGACCATGGGAAGAATCCTGTTTCAGAGCTATGTTATCTGGTAAGCATTCCCATACGCTTGAACCTTTGTTTAGTATTGTACCTTTCACTAACACATGCATTAGGATCCTTCCCTCTACACTGTTCCTTGTCATGATGGCACTCGAGGTCATCGAGTGGGCAACATTGAATTAAACATTGTCACCTCAGCTGAGGGACCATCATGAGACACGAGATTGCTTTTTCTTTTCTTTCTTACCCATCCTCTGCTTCCTCTTCTCTTTGCTTTTTTACTGAGATATATACCTATAATTTGGCGTTTAGGGTACGGACTGGCGAGGTAGAAGCGACATTTTTTTTCTAATATAGATTGGTATGGACGAGCGATGTTCGATTATGCATCAACCAAATTGTATTACTATGGCAGAAATTAGTGGATTGGTTCGGTTATTCGGATTGGAGAAGACTTATACACGAGAGGCTGGCAGGTTATTGTCTGTGCAACAAGTTTTGTATTTTTAAAAAGTAAGAAGAGATGCCCTCGTAAGCTTGAGGCCATGACAGAAACCTCGCGTGCTGAATAGCGCTTTACAGAATGGGGCTAGGATTGTTTCTGCCCGGAAAGAATAACAATTTTTTTTTTTTTTTTGGCTTTCACTGCTTCTATTTGCTTCAACTGTCATGGGAATGATGATGCCTATAAATGAGGATTTACTCCTTTATGGATAACTAGTTGGGATGAATACAAATACTCTTTTTCTTTCCCTCATATACTATCAATGTTTGTTATGCCCATTTTGGATGCCAAGCCGCGCCTCTAATAACAAATAAAAACATATAAAATACAACCTTGACAAAACACCCTCATGCCAACCAGCCTACCTATCAAGCACCTCCGTTAAGCAGCGGCGCATCCGCCGTCAACTCCCAATCCCTCACCGTGCCCTTCCAATCGCTAATCCTCACATTCCGGATATCGACCACAATGACACGCACCTCCTCCCCAGCCACGAAATGCCCGCTCGGATCATTCTCGCCGCGGTTGCTGTTATCCGGGGTGTTGGACACCGGCTGGAACAGCGGCGTGCCCTCCTCCTCAAAAGTGTTGTTCTCGAGGTGCTGCGCGACGTAAAACTTTTCCTCCTCGGAGCCGATGGGGGCTATCCGCGCGGCGCCTCCTATCGTTGCGCTGATGCTGGACACGGCCGAGGTGTTTAGGTTGAGGAGGAGGGTGGCGAGGCTGGAGCGGGTTTCGGGGGTGGGGGAGCCGCCGGACATGCGACGGCCTTGGGTTGGAGGGCGGTGGGAGACCCCTTGTGAAGAATTCATTGTCAGTAAATGGGAGGGGGTCGTATATAGTGTGTGCTTGGAAGAGAGCCTTACAGTCGTGAACGAGGAGAGAAACGTTTGGGTTGGCAATGATGTTGGTCGTCTTGCGAGAGGCCGGGTTGGTGGTCATGATGATGACGGGAGAGTCGGAGTAGGGCGACGAGGGCAGGTAGGTGTAGTTCATGAGGGACACGTTGGGCACGTTATCCGTGCACGTGGCCAGGTGAAGCTATTCGCAGAACGTGGTCAGCCTCCATTCCCTCAATGGTAGTTGCGATTGGGGGCTCGTACAAATCGGGCATTCTCGAGGCATTGAACCACCTCGGTGGGCAAAGTGCTCGTCTGGCGCTTGTGCGTGTCGCCCTCGGACGCCTCGTAGTTGAGCGGGATCTTGTCCATGGCGGGTTTTGCGTTGTCTATCTATCAATCGAGCCGTGTTCCAACACAAAAAGTGTGACGTCGAAGAAGCAACTTTCAGATCTTCCCGACAATCCGATCAGCCGATGGTCTCAAGGCTGGGAAGCTAACGCTGTAGCACGTATAGTCCAAGGCTCTTGAGCTAACAGCAGCATTTGGGCTCCAAACGTGGGGGAGGGGAACAGGAGCCGGACCGCGCTTAGTCATGGCCAGCTCCCCGTTAGAGGAGTACCAGCTCCAGTATGGAGCCTCTCCGCAAAAGCGCAGGTACCGCCAAACGCAAACGGTTCTGCGGCCGAGGGTGACGTCGGCGCTTCCAGCTGGAGGTGCTTCTCAGCTGCCGCGGCTACAAACGGCTGCTGGCGGTCGGCTCTATCCAGCTTCTAACCGATTGAGCCTGTGCAAGGCGAAGCAGCATCTCTTGGCCCGCGCCGGAGGCACAAATTGGTTTCTTTCTGGATTTAATTAATTGCATTCCTGGGCCTCGCGAACCTCTTTTCTTTTTTCTGCTTCTCCTCCTCCCAGATAGAATTGGATCCCACCGCTAGATCTTGCAGCAGTTCCGTCGCCATGCGTTCCCTCCGCGCCAATCGCCTCTCCCTGAGGCCCGTCCCGCGACTGCTCTCCACGGCATCGACCGCAAAGACGGCGGCGCTGAGCTCGGTGCTCATTGCCAACCGAGGCGAGATCGCCATCCGAATCAACCGCACGGCAGAGCGCATGGGCATCAAGGCCACCACCGTGTACACCGACGTCGACGCAAACTCATGGCACGCCAACTCGGGCTTCCAGTCGCTGGGCCTGGGCCCGGCCAACGGCTACCTGGACGGCGAGAAGATCATTGCGCTGGCCAAGAAACACGGCATCCAGGCGCTGCACCCGGGCTACGGCTTCCTGTCGGAGAACTACAAGTTCGCGGAGCGCTGCGAGGAGGAGGGCATCGTCTTCGTGGGGCCGCCGGCAACCGCCATGGCCGACATGGGAAACAAGGCGCGGAGTAAGGAGATTATGAACGCGGCCAACGTGCCCTGCGTGCCGGGATACCACGGCGCGGAGCAGGGCGAGGAGCAGTTGCTGGCCTACGCCAAGGACATCACCTTCCCGGTCCTGCTCAAGAGCGTGCGCGGCGGCGGCGGCAAGGGCATGCGCATCGTCATGAAGGAGGACGAGTTCATGGCGCAGCTCAAGAGCGCCAGGGCCGAGGCCAAGGCGTCCTTTGGCGAGGGCGGCGAGGTGATGCTCGTCGAGAAGTACATTGTGCGCCCGCGCCACGTCGAGGTGCAGGTCTTTGCCGACAAGTACGGCAACACCGTCGCCCTGGGAGAGCGAGACTGCAGCGTCCAGCGCAGACACCAAAAGGTCCTTGAGGAGTCCCCCGCGCCTGATCTCGACGACGTCACCAGACACGACCTCTGGGACAAGGCCCGCAAGGCCGCCGAGGCCGTGGGCTACGTCGGTGCCGGCACTGTCGAGTTCATCCTGGACAAGGACAGCGGCAAATTCTACTTTATGGAGATGAACACCCGCTTGCAGGTCGAGCATCCCGTCACCGAGATGGTCACGGGCCTGGATCTTGTTGAGTGGCAGTTCCGCATTGCCGCCGGCGAGAAGCTGCCCCTTTCCCAGGCCGAGGTCGAGGAGCAGATGAACCAGCGGGGAGCTGCAATTGAGGCGCGTATCTATGCTGAGAACCCCGAAAAGGGCTTCATGCCAGATTCGGGCAAGCTCATCCACGCCGTCCTACTGGATTCTGCCAAAGCCGACCCGGATATTCGTCTGGACTGGGGCTTCGGCTCCGGCAGCGTCGTCTCGGAAGCATACGACGGCATGATTGCCAAGCTCATCGTCCGAGGCGATGACCGCGAGACAGCCATTGCTAAGCTCGCCACCGCTCTGCGTGCCTTTGAAATCGTCGGTTTGAGCACAAATGTCGAGTTTCTCAAGCGACTCTGCGCCTCCGAGGCCTTCATCGCCGGAGACGTCGAAACGGGCTTCATCGACAAGTGGAGGCAAGAGCTCTTCAAGCCCAGGCATATTAGCAACGAGGTCTTTGCCCAGGCTGCTCTCGGCGTTTTGAGCAACCAGCTACAACAGGCCACTGGCTCCTCCAGCCCGCACGGCCAGTCACTCGGCTTCGGCAACACAAACTCCACCAGCCAACGCAAGCTCGCATTCAAGGTCCTCGACGGCTACAGCGAAAAGGAAGGCGAGGTCGTCGAGGCCTTTGTCTCACAAACCGGCCACAACCTCTACAACGTGACCATCTCCCGTAAGGGCGAAGAGCCCGAGCTCTTCAGCAACGTCATCAGCGAGCCTACTATCGAAGACGCCGTCACCAAGCTGAACTCGCGATTCCCCGGCGAGAGGATCAACTCAACCGTTGTACCTCAAGAGAACGGCACCGAAACCAAGCTGGCCATCTTCCAGCACGGCGTCAAGACCGACCTGGCACTGCTGCCTCCATCATGGTACGAAAAGGCTCTGGGCCTGAAGGAAGTGACCGCCTCCGTGGCGGCGCCTATGCCCTGTAAGATTCTGAAGAACGAGGTTGAGGAGGGACAGGTTGTGAAGAAGGGCACACCACTTGTTGTGTAAGTGATTTCGAATTGTTCGATACAAAGTTTTTGCACACACGCTAACAAAAGTTGATGCAGCATCGAATCAATGAAGATGGAGACTGTCATCCGCTCCCCACAGGACGGTGTTATCAAGAAGCTTGCTCACAAGGAAGGCGTAAGTATCATTCGAACCCCGTTTTTAAAAACTACCCGCTCATCTAACCGTCTTTCATAGGATATCTGCAAGGCTGGTACTATTCTTGTCCTATTCGAGGAGGAGCCTAGCACGGAGTCATCATAACGGGATAATGAAGGCGTTTTTGATTTACGGAAGATTTTTTTTATGAATCATGTATATAAATATATATAATTTTTCTTTTGGGCAAGATACACGTCGTTTGATCATCAATGACATACTATCAAATGAGAAGAAAATCATCATCTGACCTTACTTTTACTTATGCCCCTTCCTTTTCCACCCTTTTTTTTTTTGTTTTTTTTTTTTTTTTTTTTTGCTATGTAGTGAGGTATCATCCGTTTGCATATTTTCCTGGTTGTTTTTTTCTCCCCAATAATACCAATCCTTCTCAAGCAGTAAATAAACAAAACATAGGAAATTGTCGTCCTAAACTCCGCGTAATGCATAAAAAAACATATGTCATAAAACCATAATGGCATCCATCATGAATCTAATCAGGCCACCCTTGAAACTATCTGGCACAGCTCAGCGGATGTTAAGCATTCAGAAAGCCATGTCAAAATAACATCGATAAATTCAAGGTCGTTCGTCAAAAGAGGGATGGAGTTGAAGCAACCCCATCGTCACAAATTATGCACACAGCGCGTATTTTTCGTCACTTTGTTTGCATTTCTGCATATGTGTCGGGCAGATGCCTGCCCATCCGCGACTGCTTCGCCGCCTGTCGGATGCGCTTCCACCACTCTTTGGCGCGATGGGGCCAGCTGGGATCCGTGGGCGGTACGTAGGAATAGTAGTTGTTGAGAAGGTCCTGCGTTCAAGAAGCGTATCAATAAGCGAGATGACTTCAGGTGGGTGGGTTAATTGTGATTATTCTCCTCTTTCCACTCCCCCCCTTGGACCACCATCTCCATTCATGTTCACCGTGTTAAGAATTAGGGAGGGAACAAATATAGCTGAGGAAAACAAAGTTAAAAGGGGGCAACATAGGCTTACCTCTTCCTTCGCCAGAGTGATGAATCCCAGCACAAAGGCCACCCAGGCCAATGTCCCCTTGGTATTGAGAAATTGGTTCCCGCCTCGGAACTCAATGGTCCCTGTGCATCGCTTTGCCTTCCGACGTGGATAGATGTTCTGGAAATTCCATAGGACGTAGCGGTTGCCCTGCATGTAGTGGCACAAATCCGCCTTCTTGGTCTTGGATTTGATCTCGGCAGCCACTTTGCGAAGGGCGCCTGAGCTCTTTTTCCAGCCCAGAGTCTTGTTCAGTCCACACTCGAGGCTCTCGCTATTAAGACGGCAATAGTGGTTGTCGCGGCGAGTCGCGGGCAGAATCTCCGCAACGTAATCTTCGTATACGACCGTTGCAAAGGCAACCCTCTTTAGCGTTCTGAGAGAGAATTTGTTTTTGAGGTTGACTGGCGTCACATGCACATGCCCGCCGCATGAAATGTCCTCTTGAGGCTTGAAATGCACGCGCATGGCCTCCCAAAAGTCGGAGAAGATAGGGCTCACGCCATGCATGGTGTCAAGCTTTGGGGATACAACCTCCATGCATACTATCAGTTGCATCTCTGTCAGCGCATATTTCTCATGTGCATGATAGAAATCACCCATGTAGCATTCTGTACATGACTGTTATCATGCAGCGGAATGGAGGTGAAAAATCGGGAATTACCAACCATATGGCCGTGGCCGCTTCAGCGATCCGTCGCGGGTGACAAACCACTTCCCACCATAGTACTCTGGATGCTTGCTGTACTTTGAGCAATCATCATGGACTGCCTGAATGCCCCGGTTCCGTAGTTTCTGTGCCAACTGTCGATACCAATCCACGTTTGTGAAGCTGTCGCAATTCCCGTATGGCTTGGCAACAGCCTCAATCTCTACACCAAAGTTGTAATGCCTAACACCAGTTGGCATCTTGGGTAGGCTGTCGGGTGTAAGTCGACAACACGAGATGAAACCTGAATCCCAGAAGATGAGGCTGCACTTACAGCCTAAACAAAAGCAACTACAGGTCCGCCGAACAATCACCGACTTGGGCTGAGAAAAGGGTATGCTGGATGATAAAGCGAATGTGCTGGCTGTCGGATGGTGTAGGTAGTCGACATGGCTGATATCTGACTTCGGGTTCCTGCTTTCTTACTTGCTAAGCTCCGGGTGTTCGCTCCTCTCGCGATGCTAGACACATTGAACCACGCTCGCGCGGATTATTGGTTGATTCATTTCGAATTGGACGCATGCATGCTCACATGACATCCTCAATTGCTTGCCAGCTTCTCCATTTGTGAGAAGCATCCAATTATCGCACCCATACTTTCTGCAGAAAGAGTTATTAGACGTTACATACGTACCCCAGTAAATGGGCAGCCATGTTCGGCCGCTGAGCCATAACCGGCCGCTGTCCAGTCAGACAAAGCCAGCAGACTTTTAGCCGCCCAGCCACCGCTGCGCTGTCCACAAACTTCTTCATCCCTACCTTTTCGGATCTCCTCTCCAGCATATCCTTTGCGCGGGGCCGCAGGGAGGGACGACTGCTCCCCTATCACAATACGGTGGCCCTGAGTGGTGGAGGTTGTAGGGAACGTGGCACCGAGGAGCGGGCATGACGCTCCGAAGCCGGGCATCTCCGTGGCTCTCGTTGAAACAGAGTGAAGGTTGTCCAAATTTTATGCTCACTGCCACGAAAGAGGCTCTCGTGTGCCAAGAGCCAAAGACGTGGTGAGGTCCAATTGGTGCTTGCGCTCCCATGCCCTGCATCACCGTCGTCATCCCGTCTCTTTTGCTGCCCAACCTGTCGTATTGCATCATAGATCCACTATGAAGCAGCCGCACACCAACGGAGCATCCTGGCTGGCTGCTGAACAAACGAGTGACTCTCGTGCGATAAACATGTTTTCGCCTCATCGTATGGGTGACTAGCAATAATTAGCAATATGTAAGACAGCATACTGCACACAGTAAGAACAGACATTTCCAGCCCTCTTCAGCGTTTCCATCTCGTAGACCGAGTCTCATCTCAGAAACCCAACAGCCCGATATTCGGATATCCCCGCCAATTCCCCAATTTGACCATGGATGCCATCCGCAGCCAATCAGTGGGGGGTAAGAAATCCAAAATGCCGGTCCAGAAGGCAGCATCGGCGGTGTCTCTAGACCGCCGGCCGGCAAAGTTATACTTTGCTTATGGGAGCAACTTGCACGTCAAGCAAATGAACCGTCGATGTCCAAACAGCAAGTTCATCGGAAAGGCCCGTTTATCCAACTATCGATGGCAGATCAACGAACGCGGATATGCCAATGTCGTCGTCGCAGACGGACACTGGGTAGATGGTCTCGTATATGAGATTGACGATGTCGACGAAGCCAAGCTGGACATAAATGAAGGCGTCGCGAAGAATGCATACAATAAGCGATACATGACCGTTCTACTCCATCGAGCACAGAGTGCCCTGTACCGCCGCCCCGTCTCGTGGATAGTGGAAAAAGGCGGGCCCGCGGCCGTGGCCAGAGAAGCCAGGCTTATAGCTCAGGGGCGGCGAGAAAACTCTCTACTGCACTGGCAGGATGATGTTCTCATATACATCAATCCAAACTGCACTCTCGACAGCAGCCCCAAGGAAGAATATGTCAATCGAATCAACCTGGGCGTTGCGGATGCTAGGGCCCTAGGCGTTGACGAGGATTATATTCGGAACTGTATCCGCCCCTTTATCCCGGAATCCAGAGGCAGAGCCCCTTCAAGTCCAGCACTAGGAGCCCCCAAGCTCAAGGTGCTAACGGTTGTCCGGGGCAGGCATGAAAATTCTCCTGCGCGGTCTGACGGCCGCTCCCCGGCGCGCAAAGAACGATCGGTGAGCCGATCGAAGCAGCATTTTGAGCGACGATCTCGATCCTTGCAGCCTCCTAACAAAGGGAATGACCATAAGAAAGACTCGACAGCGAAATCGAATGTGCCACCCCTGCCCCCGCGGCCACAGTCAAACCAACCCCGTGATGTTCCTATCGTTTCAGTACAGGAAGTACACCTTTCGAGCTGGGGCTGGTGGCCAGCATTTTCATGAGAAGAGAAGAGACGAAATTGTCGGTATAGTTTCCTTGAAAATGATCGAATTTCGTAATTCATTGCGATGTAAGTGTCTATCTGTGGTGAAATCTATTGCTCGTTTGTCATTGCTTTTTTGGTCAGCACTGCTGACGCTTCTATATTCTAGGAACATCATCAAGATGTCAGGCTTTGCTTTTGTTCAACAAAGGAAAAAATAAATCAATAGCTCCAGTCGCCTTCGAGCCGTGTTCTAGAGGACCCTTGGGCCATGAATCAGAGCTTTGAGCGATGCCGCCTCAAGATCAGGGTCTTACTTTTGGGTGATACATTTCGCGATGGACCAAGAGATCGCCCCTTTGATCCGTTTGCAAAATCCCACAACAGTCTTGTCAACGTCATAGTCTTTTGTGGAATATCGCCATCCTTATCTCCTCCATACACCAAAACTGTTGGCTTGCAAATAGCTTTTGCTGTCGACTTCTTTGCTCCGGAGACTGTCTCGACAAAGAGACCTGGAGCAATATCGAATAGATACGATGCGTTTTTAAGAGCCTCGGTTGATTTGCCATTTTCGCCCGAGTTCATAATGGCTCCTCTATCGGCGAGGTTGATACATTCATAAGTATCCAGTTTTGATCTCGCGCTTCGTGCTGGCCACCTTAGAGAGAATATATTTGGAGAAAGCTGCAATCGATGTGTAAGGTCCACTGCCGGATCAATGATGCTTGTCCGAAGAGAGTTTTGCAGTTCTGCAGCAGTTACATATGGCACTGCAACTGTTAAGAGAGAGGCAAGATCTTCGGTAATGAGGTTGAGATATGCTGCTTTTCTGGATTTGAAAGATTTCTGGCTGGTCAAAGCCGTAAGTGTCTCAGATCTCCACTCTCTACAATGCTGTATATCTTTGGAAATGTTAGTTTTTGTTGGAAATGTATAATATCGCCATGAATTAGAGAGTGCAAACATACCTCGAGGCAGTTTGGATATCGCGCTCTCCAGCTCATCGATCCAAGCAACAGTAGTCTCACCATCCCCATCATCCAGAGGACAGTAGAATGATTTGGCGAAGAACACTAGCCACAAATATTGCATAATAATAGCCGTAAAATGATATTCATCGGAATGCCACACATTGAGACAGCTTGTTGCTGGCTCTCTCATCAGGGATACGAACCTTGTTGACTGAGCTGGAGTTGGCTGGCAGCGAAAGTGGCCGCTGGCTAGATCGTCCAAGACAGGTCGAATCCGATACTCAACCCAACGCTTGACACTCTCACACAAACTTTGATATGCTTCCTGCGCTTCAATCTCTGTAATGTCTCTCCTCCTTGGAGATGAGCGAATGCCCTGATTTTTGCTCTCTTCGGCTTTGTTGGACTGTGTGCGAGCTTGTGCGAGCTGGCTTTGCGCTTCTTTCAATTCTTGCTGCAACAGCTCCAGTTTCTTTGATAACGTGGAATTCTCTTTTTCTTGAACTTCAAGCTCCTCCTGCCGTGAGTCTAGGACTTCCTCGGTGAACTGGCGCAGCCGAAGTTCGTCCTCCAGTTTGCTCTTGTCGTCTTGCTTTCGTGGTGTCTCTGGCGACATTGCTTCTTTTCTTCTCTGAACACTGTGTTTTGGTATGCAGTATGCTGCTTTTGGTATGCTTTAGGTAGGTGGCGTGAATATGGAAAAGAACAGATGGGGCGACGTTGTTTTCTAGAAGTTTATGGAGCTGGAGACGTAAATGTCAACGATCGATTCTACCTGTCCTGCTTGCAGCGCGTACTGGTTTCCTTTTAGCCAATGGCCTACTCCTGATGCAATGACTTGGTGACCTGGCAAAAGCTCAAATGACCCCATGTAGCCTCAGTTGGATAGGATTGCCAGGCGATGAACTGTCGGTGCGTAGCCTGACCATGTCATACTGGTGGATATTCCCCTTTACTGGCTGGGCACCTCTTCATGCCCGAAGCAAGCATCCATTGGGCTCCACCACCTACCCGGCGACGGGATCGGCTGTCTGCATGCACGTCCGGGGTGCCCTGTCCCGCAAAAGCGCGCGTTTATGCTTCATGGTTGGCATCTCAGTGCTAGGCCAATAATTATGAGTATAACTGCTTAGAGGCTTACCTGGTCGGCATAAGAATCCCGTAGCTGGCTGGTCTTTTATCCTGACCTCCAGCGGAGCCCGAGCAAGGCTACTGGAAGCATCCCATTGGCACCACCAAGAAACAAGTGACAGCCCCCAGTCCATCACATACCTACTTGGAGACAATGACTCTCTCCTAAGGCATTGTGTCTAGCGCATCCGACTATCCAAACACGGGTCATCGCAAGCATATCGGTTACTTACAGGGACTTCCCAGAGGAGACATCTAATTCTCATTGAAAGGCTTGAGCATGAGCGAGGAGAGAAGAATTGTCGTCTCTATTGACTTTGGAACCACTTTTTCTGGCGTCGCTTGGGCAGATACGACTCAGGTAAGTTCAAGCAGTACGCCGCAAAAGTTTCATGCCGCGCTAAAACCATCCCAGCCGGATGTTCAGCACGTATTATCCGACTGGCCATCAGTTGGTTCGTCCCAAAATAGCCCCAAGGTTCCAACTGAGCTGCGAAAAGTAGCATCCGGCTGGCAGTGGGGGTTCCAGATCCCGAAATCGGCGAAGAGAAGTAGATTGTTCAAGTTGTGAGACAGCAGTCATGATTGGTAGATGTGGCTCTGGAGCTGATTCCATGTGTAACAGAAGACTGGATGAACCATCGGATACGAAAGCTGAAGGGGAATCTGCCCAGGAGCTAACAAGGATATATCTATCATGCCTCTATTCTCATTTCATCAGCGTCTTAGAGAGCAAGTTATCGCCAAGCGTAGTACAATCGACGCCGATGGACGTTGTTGTCACCGTTCCAGCAATATGGTCAAATAATGCAAAGCAAGAAACAGAAAAGGCGGCATCGCTGGCTGGCTTTGGCGGAGAGCAAAAAATTAAGCTTATATCAGAACCTGTTTGTCTTATCCTAGGTTGATGGGCATGTTGCAGCGCTAACAATATGAAAGGAAGCGGCAGCTCTCTATACTGTCAAATATTTGAGCCCATCTGTCCTACAGACTGGTCGAAGATTTGTCGTATGTGACGCCGGAGGAGGTACGGTAGATCTCATTACATATGAAGTTGCCAAAGTTCAGCCGCTCCAAATGAGAGAGGTCACGGAGGGCACTGGAGGAAAATGCGGGTCCTCAATGCTCAATATGAGATTTCGACGATTTTTGAAGCAAATACACGGAGATAAATATTGGACAGATGAGCGCCTTGTTGTTGCGTTGAGCGAGTTTGAAGCGGTACGTATGTGCCAGAATCTTTTGATATCTCTAGTCTAACCATGCTTCAGTTTAAAAGGGACTTTTCTCCAAAGGGTGAACCACTTACACTGAAAGTCGATCCCTCTCTCGGCCTCAAACGTGATCGATTCACGATACCGCAAGACGATATGGCCACTAAGATATGGGATCCGATCATGAAAGACATAATTTGTTTAATAAAGGAGCAAATATCCATGGCAGACGAAAAAGTTGCGGCAGTCGTACTAGTTGGCGGGTTCGGACAGAACGCATATCTCAGGACTCGGGTTCGCGAAGTCATCGTTTCTAGAGTGCGGGTGCTTCAACCAGAAAATGGTGTTACTGCAGTGGTAAAAGGGGCCGTCATCTATGGTCTAGGAAGTTATCAGCCTGCACTGGCTTTAGTAGGGATCGCATCTCGGGTCGCCAGGCGATCGTACGGTACCTGCCTTTTGACGAAATACGACCCGACAAAGCATAACCGTGATGAAGCGTGAGTAAACCAATTATTCGCATGCCAAGAATGATTGCTGACAGTTAGAGGACAGCTTCTGGTCGGAGAAGGAAGAAGACTGGGTCGTCGTTGAGATGTGCTGGTTCATCCGCAAGGTACGTCGAAAAGGGGTAAAGGAAGCTGATCTTGAAGTAACCCGCTCTAGGGTCAATCATACCCCGATGATAAGCCTTCAAAGATTGAATACCAATGCGATGTACCCGTATTTATGGGACATAAACCACAAGCAGATATCGAGATATTTAGCAACGACGATGATCTTGAGGCACCCATACACATCAGCGGCACAACGAAGAGAGTAGCCACGCTATTCCTTGACCTGCATAAAATAACAAAATCAGCAAAGTCATCGGCTAAAAAGAAAAAATTGGGATGGCATCGATATTATTGCTTGACAGGCGTGATTGAGGCAAGCTATGGATCAGCCATGATAACATATACCGTGAAACTTGGAGGTCTGTATACTCTCTGCTCTTCGTCAAAACACTTGTTTGGGCTCCAAAATGGATCTAACATTAACACAGGGGTGACACACGACGTCATTAGGATTCGATATGAATAAAGAGGAGAGTTGAAGGCCTCAAGAATCTGGGATTGGAGGCTGTCTGGTTGAAGCATTTGATGTGCCGGGTATCGGATGTGTTGGAGGGTGTTCTTTCTTGGAGGCGCAAAAGAGCAAAAATTCAATGGAAAAGATAGTATACCATAATTCAAATGAATGATGACAAATTGATTTGTATGACCTGCTCTTGATTTAGATATTCTTGAATCCAAGCCAAGTGTCAGTCTCGGGTAGATACGTTCAAGGTGGTAGCTGAGGCGGGTGTATCAGTCAATTAACATCTAGGCGTCATCACGTGACATCGCGCCGCCTTCTTGTCGCGTCTCTCAAAATCAGGCAGCATTTGCTCATTGATGCGATACCGCGGTACCAGTCGCCTTCAGTGGTAGATTGGCGATGAGTCAAGCTCTTCTCTATCGTTGTTACCATCAAGTGCGTGGATATGGCCGGCGATTCAGGCGAGCGCGGCCCTCCGCCGTCTACACTGGCGGCGCAATTGGTGGAAAACATTGCGTCGTCTACGAAAGTCTCTCGATCCGATGAGAATAGTGAGCTCAAGGGCCTCTTGGCCATCATTCAGCGCGTAAAAGATAATCCTGACCTCCTCAAAACACCAAATGATCGGATTGAGCACAATCACATGCTCATCTATGTATATTGCCGAGTGGTTCTTGAAAACATCAAACTCGATGACCCATTTCTTGATCGTGCGACTGTGCGAGCTGAATCCCAGAAAGCGATCAATTTTTTGCGATTTACAATCAAAGAAACGCCATCGGTACTGCTCCATCGGAACGGGAATCGAGGGCTACTATTTCGCAGCCAGGAACCCCTGTGGGTTTGGCTTCTGCCACAGCTGCTGAGGCTCTTAGGACACCCTCAGTGTCTTGATCTGGACAGCTCCATTGAAGGATTTTTACAGTATATCCTCCTTCTAGTTGCACGCACAGGGAGTCTTTGGAAAGTAGCTCCATACTTGGGACTGTATCTCCGTGCATCATTAGCCTGTATGTTATCCTATCCATTATAGCCATGGCTTGGAGCTAATAATTACCAATGGAAATAGCGCTCCTTGATCATCTCCAAAGCCCAACTCTCGCCACTTCTCATACAGAACTCAATACGAACCTGGAGCTTCCTCCACCTTTTGCCCTTGACCAAATTCTAGATAAGGATTGGGAGCACGCAAGTAAACGCATCTCTTACTCGATTCATATCGCATCGCAGGGATTGCGTCTGGCATCCAGCTTGGCGAGAGTGCTCGCCTACCCCTTGATATCCCCTGATCCGGCGTTCTCTAGCAGCGTATCATTGTTAGAGAATGGGCCCTGGCTTATAGATTCCTTTCTGGACTTGCGGCATATCCAAAAGCGATTGGAACTATCATCCCAATGCACACCGCTTCCTCTTATTGAACTGACCATGGATATAATCAAATCTGCGATTACCAATGACCATCCGAGTGCCTCACTCGTTGAAAAATCATGCGCTCTCCTTATACTACTCTGTAGCGAAATGATTTCTCCTCCCGACGAGCTCGTTCAATCGACTCCAGCAGGCGAGCAGGCGAGGTCCACCTATGGCATGGCCCTTCTGATTATCACCAGAGCATCGTTCAAGTGTTATACGATAGGCCGTTTTGCAGCCTCGAAGCTTGTTCAAGAACTCATCCTACTTTCATCGCAGTTTTTGGTTATCGGAGAGGATACTGATATTTGGGTCAGTTGCATGGCTGAAGAAAACTAACACACCTTACGCTAACTATAGTCAAGAGATGCGTGACTTTTCTTAGGCAAGCCATTGGATCTCTACCACAGGAGTCCATTCAAGACCATGTACACCCGTCGAAATTCCAAGACGACGAGCTTCGCAAATGCGTTCAAGATCTGAGTCTAGATTACAAGGCATCCAATGAAACAATACACGCGAAGAAACGGAGAAAATTGTCTGAAGAAAAGACAGATTCATTAGAAATTTTGACACATGGGATATTTGAGACTCTCCAAGTTGCTCAACCATCGGATGATGACGTTGTATTGTTGGAACAAATCTTTCTGTAAGTCTTTAAGATAATCTCGAATTGCTGGGTCTGACGCGCGTGTAGGGACGGATATGAGAAATGTAGTCAACCAAACCAATCACTAGCTTTGGACCTTCTATCCCGGATATGCTGCGTCGCCGATAATTCTGCTCGCGTAAGAAACTCCACGGAGTCTCTTGCACCACCCATAACATGCCCGGTTTGTGATGAAGGTTCTTCTAGCTCACCAACTATCTCGCCACACAATGCAAAGAGCGAAGCTAGACAAATATTTTCCAAATTGATTCGACTACCCGAGTTTTTAGAATCTAGGAAGCCCCGAGTTGCCGCCATGATTGCACTAAGAAGACTTGTATTGCATTGTGAGGACGCAGCTTTTCTAAATCTAGAGACCTCAGGGCCGGGTCAATGGTGCCTACAATCGCTCAACAGCTCTATACGAGAGCTTCGTATTTCAGCAGGAAGAACGCTGGCGCTTTTTATGCCATCCAAGCCGACTTACTACATGGAGGAGGCTTTACTTTCACGCAATAGAAAGAATTCAATCGCTCTTCTTAGATCAGCCTCTGAAGCAGACCAACCACTCATGAGAGAAACTCGAATCCTAGCCTGGGGTCAGTTGGGAAGAGTTGTGACAGAAGAAGAGTTGAATTTGGTCCTCATAAAGCTTTTGGAATACTTGGGAAGCAGTAATAACATCGAATCGGCATTTGCTTTCAATGAGCTGCTAAGTCTCGCTGAAGCGCGACGTACTACTCCTCGGCGCCTCTTTGAGCCTTTCTGGAAGAATCTTGCCTATATGGCGACCAAGGATATAGTCCAACGCCCACAACGAAGCCGAGCCATAGCAGAGCTGTTACAGATTTCTGTGAATGAGCTTCTGCTTTTAATCCAGTCGCATGCACTCCCATGGCTTGTCTTGGACAAACGCAAAGACGTGATTCAGAAAATTGCAGAGGCACGCCAGGAGACGGAGATATGGCGTCCCCTCATGGATAGCCACAATACAGCCTCAGTATTGTCGCTTTTACTATTACAGGAATCCGAAAATATTGAGGAGTTTGTCAAATCTAGTCTAGATGAGATATCTCCCCATTTTCATGCCCTCCGTCTTGCAGACATTGTCCAATCTGAGCCTGTGCTGACGGCTATAGAACTGCTAAAGGCTGCAGCGGGTGCTGATGAATCGCGTAAACGACAGGTTTGTTTTGAACCTTTCGTACTCCGTTTGCAGGCAAGGCTAATTGGGTTTAGATACAAAAAGCCTTGACAATGATGGCATCCATGGTTCTAGGCTCCGTCAAAGAAACAAGAAATCGGAAGACTGACTTAGTCGGCCGATTTCTACAATCACATATTCTTGGACTTATGGCTCGGTTTACGGATGTCATAAATGACTCGACGTCGATTCATCCACGAGTCATGGAGCAGATAAGCTGTATTCGTGCTTTGGAAGAAATGATTCGAATTTGCCAGTCATACGCAAGAATTGCACGTCCGCAGGTACGTCGAAAGAGAGCGATTTTACTGCGGGTTGACTAACGATGGTATAGATATCAGCTTGCCTTTTGTCAGCCGCATCTCAAGACTCATTACGCGAGCCAGCCCTCTCGTGCTGGGCAGCAATGCTCAAATACTTTGATGAAGAAGATGTTGAAGCTCAGCTCGAGGCCACCTTCTTCATCGTGAAGCGCTATGGACCCCAACTAGAGCCACCCGCAATGACCATACTAAAAGACATGCTTAAGAATCTATTACAGAAATATGAGCATGTTGTGGAAAAGTTCATTACACGCCTTCCATCACTATCTCATGTTGCAGCATTGAGCGATATAGAGGCTAAGCTGAACACCTTCCGGCCGTCTCTTGTCTTTGAAGAAAATCTGGATATCTTCTCACAAAGAATTAACCATGACTATTCCGGCGTTGTTCATCAAGCGCTGATTGACCTGGCACCGTACCTAAGAAGCAACCAAAACGCTCTCTATACATCGGCTATCAGTCAGCGACCGGATAACGTGATTGCTACACTGCTGAGGACTCTTCTGGATTGCGCAAGTAAATACAACGGAGCGCAAGCCGACATTACTCGACTTTGCGTTGAATGTGTTGGGCTTATTGGTTGTCTGGATTCGAACAGAATCGAAGCAGTACGGGAGCAACGTTCCATTATAGTGCTGGATAATTTTGAGGTGATGGAAGAAGCTACCGATTTCGTCCTTTTTCTACTTCAAGAAGTATTGGTGCCATCATTTTTGTCCACAACTGATATGAAGCTTCAAGGATTCTTATCATACGCCATGCAAGAGCTTCTTGAACGATGCGAAATCAGGTCAGCTTGCAGCAACCATGCAGCTGGACTAGCTGGTGGCAGCGACATATACCGCAAGTGGATGACCTTACCGGAATACGTGCGTGAGGTAGTGGCGCCATTTCTAAATTCAAGATATATGGTGGCGCCAATGAATCCTCAAGCTGTAGAGTATCCCATATTTCATCCGGGAAGACTTTATGGCAATTGGTTGCGAGCGTTTGTTGTAGATCTCTTACGAAAGGGGCAGCACCCATATGCTGATATGATCTTCGAACCTTTAACTCGGATTATCCGCGTCAAGGATTTATCTACCGCAGAGTTTCTGTTCCCATACCTAGTTCTGCATGTTCTTTTGGGTCCTAGGAGCAGCCAAACAGAGAAAGACCAAATTCTTGGAGAAATCTTGCACATATTGAATTACCAACCCTCGCCTGACGCGTCATACCAAGAAAGAGAGGACATGAAGCGTTTTTGCCATGTAAGTTTATTCTTGATGGACGGAAATGTGATACTTATCCTAATGTTGCATAGGTTGTTTTCCAGACTTTGGATTACGCTATGAGGTGGATACATGCTAAACGATCAAGCCGGTTGACCGAAGCTGCGAAACAGAATGTGTCAAGAATTCAAAGGCTTTTGGATAGTATTCCTGCTGAGTTGATAGCCCAACGTGCAATTGACTGTAACGAGTACGCTCGAGCTCTCTTTCATCTGGAGCAACATGCACAAAAAACCGAGCAAGCCAAGAGAGAGCCAGGAGACCGGACGCGCCTTTTGCAGCAGTTACAAGATATATATGCCAACATCGACGAGCCGGATGGCCTTGAAGGCATATCAGCTCATTTGCATGTTCTGGATATCAACCAGCAGATATTGAGTCACAAGAAGGCGGGACGATGGGCTGCAGCACAGACTTGGTATGAAATGCAGCTCGCCGAGAAGCCGGACAATGCAGAAGTGCAGATAGATTTGCTCAATTGCCTAAAACAGGCGGGCCAGCACGGTATGTCCCGTAGTCGCATTTTCCTCTATTCTGATAACCACAAACTAATGATAGTAGACGTTTTACTCAATCACGTTGAGGGAATGCGAACGGATTCGCTCAGCAATGACAATAGAATCATGCCTTTTGCAGTTGAAGCTGCTTGGGTCACGGGTCGCTGGGAAAATCTGGACAGATTCATTAACCGATTCCAAGGCAATGTCTTGCAGGACTTCAATATGTCTTTAGGAGTTCTCTTAGAAGCTCTATACAAGGGCGCTGCCAAAGAGACCTTCATCGAGACTGCTAAGATGATGAAGGAGAATATCGCCCTCTCGATGACTTCATCGACAACCGCATCACTCCAAGCCGCGCACGACATCATGTTAAAGTGTCATGTCCTGACTGATTTGGAAATCATCATTGGCACTAAACCAGAGAACGATGAAGAGCGTATGAAGACAATGTCCCTTCTCGAAGGCCGATGTGAGGTGATTGGAGCATACTTTAGTGATAGACAATATGTCTTGGGTATACAAAGAGCGGCTATGCAGCTCTTGCGGTAAGTTACGCTCGCTGAAGCCCAAAAGTACCTGTGCAGATCATCGCTAATACACCTTTGCCCTTTCTAGACCAACATTCTCCGATATTGATATATCTGGGCTATGGCTGGCTAGCTCTCGTCTAGCTCGAAAGGCAAATTCTTTGAACCAGTCGTTCAACGCAGTGTTGCATGCATCACAGCTCGGGGACGATGCAGCTACCATCGAAAACGCAAAACTACTGTTTAGAGATTCGCAACATCGCAAAGCAATCCAATTCCTCCAGGGAGCCATTGAGCAGAACAGATTCATGACCAAAACGAATTCATCGCTCAGCATGGGATCTGCTAGCAATTTAAACAACCATCAAAAGCTGCTCACAGCCCGTGCACAACTTTTATTAGCGAAATGGCTTGATGCAGCTGGCCAGACACACGCCGGTGCCCTTCGTGAAAAATACCAGCAACCACCCAAGACGTATTCTACATGGGAGAAGGGTCATTACTACCTTGGCCGCCATTACAAGAAAATATTGGAATCTGAACAGCCACTCAAGGTGGATGATCAAAGCGACAATTATGTCACTGGCGAGATTGCCAGGCTTGTCATTGAGAATTACGTGAGGTCTTTGAATTCGGGTACCAAATACCTGTACCAAACCCTCCCAAGGATACTCACGCTTTGGCTTGAACTTGGAGCGCAGGTTGATAAAGCCCCGGAAGGCAAAGTTTCGCTATCGCGGGAACTTCACAAGCGCAGGCTTGAGCAATTGGGCTTACTGCATTCGTTCCTGGACAAGTACATACATCGCCTACCGGCATACATTTTCTACACGGCCCTGTCGCAAATCGTTGCTCGAATAGCGCACCCCAACGCCAATGTCTTTGAGCGCCTAACGCACATCATTGTGAAGGTTGTGGAAGCCCATCCTCGCCAGGCGCTATGGAGCTTGATCGGTATCATGACGACTCGGCAAGCATCTGAAAGAAAGGCTCGCGGTTCCCAGGTTCTCCAGACGCTCAAAAGCGTGTCCAAAAAGGCCGACGGTGGCTCATACGATTTGAAATATTTGATTAGGGCGGGTGAGAAGCTAGCAGAGCAGCTGTTGCTGGCTTGTCACAACGGTGACTTTCGTGGCAACAAGACTGTGCATGCCAGCCTGACGAAAGACTTGAGGTTCAATCAAAAATGCACGCCGTGCCCATTGGTTGTCCCCGTGGAAAGCGGGCTGACGGCTACTTTACCGGCTGTTTCAGAACACGTAAAGAAGCATAAAGCATTTTCGCGTGACGTGGTGTCAATAGATTGCTTCTTGGACGATGTGCTGGTGCTGAGCTCTATAGCTAAACCTAGGCGCCTCACAGCGCGAGGTAGCGATGGAAAGTCTTACATGCTGCTCATCAAACCAAAGGACGACCTTCGCACAGATCAGCGACTAATGGAATTCAACGGGATTATCAACCGTTCGCTAAAGCGAGATGCAGAATCCAGCAAGCGACAGCTGTATATACGGACCTACGCCGTCGTGCCCCTCAATGAAGAGTGTGGTATCATTGAATGGGTGCCAGGGATTAAGACGATGCGAGATATCTTGATCGGTCTCTATGCCTCACAGAAGATACACCCAGACTATAACTCTCTTAGACAGCTGATGGAGGAAGCATCGACGTCTGAGAGCAAGATTGGTCTGTTCACGAATGATGTGCTGGGACGATTCCCTCCCGTGCTTCCATTGTGGTTCATCCAGCAATTCCCCAATCCCTCAGCTTGGTTCAGCGCACGTCTAAGATACACGCGGTCATGTGCTGTCATGTCCATGGTTGGCACAATCCTCGGGCTAGGGGATCGACACGGAGAAAACGTAAATTTGGAAGAAGGCAGCGGAGGGATATTTCACGTCGATTTCAACTGCCTATTTGACAAGGGCCTCACATTTCAAAAGCCAGAGCGCGTTCCCTTCCGCTTGACCCACAACATGGTTGCAGCAATGGGCATCTACGGCTACGAAGGCCCGTTTCGAAAGTCGTCTGAGCTGACGCTGAGCATTCTCCGACAGCAAGAGGAAACACTGGTGACCATTTTGGAGGCATTCGTCTATGATCCCACGCTAGACTTGCAAAAGGACAAGGGAAAGTCGAAGAGAGATGTCGGAGTGAGGCTGCAGCCGCAGAGCGTGGTGGACAGTATCAAGAGGAAGGTCAAGGGACTGTTGCCGAACGAGAGCATTCCCCTGGGCGTCGAGGGACAAGTGGAGGAGCTGATAAAGCAGGCGGTCAACCCAAGGAATTTGGCAGCCATGTACATTGGATGGTGCCCGTTTCTGTGAAGCAGGCAGATGGATGCAAGATGATTTTTGTTTGTACACGTATGACTTGACGAGGAGTTTTATTTTGGCCCAGTGTGAAAAGGGAGAAGCAAATATGCAACTTTTGGCAATGTGTAAATAAGACACTTACTTTGTTCAAGTTTTGCCTGGTATTCCCTTGGACGAAATGCAGATTGTCACTATGAGCTGTCAGTGGTAATTTAGTTAGCGAATGCGCTGTGGTAGAAACACTCAATCTTTCAGCTTATACCAAGAATTACAATGTGCAGCTTACACCAGATTGAATGATATTCCATTTTATTGAATCTTCCTTTATTTTCTTACATTTCATTTTTGAAATCCGTTCAACTTCTCTTTTTATTGTATTCACCCCCTTTTCACCAGCCAATCTACTGTGCCGCTGCAAAGAGGCCCAATGTTGCATCAACTGTTTCGTTAGTGGTGTGAAGCGCTGGAAGCGAGCTGAAGTCAAAGTTAGTTGCCTGCCTGCCTGCCTGCCAAGTTTCCTTTTTTTTTTCTGGGACGCGACGCGCTACCCCCCATAATATTTCAGATAACAGGCAGCTTTCCCCGTCTTTTTCCTTTTCACATTCTCTTTTTTCTCTTCAGCTCAGCATCAGGAGATACTTGTTCTTTTTTTCAGTTGTTTCCATCACACTTGCTGCTACTTCGATTATTGTGCAGCATCTTGTTCACTTTATTTTACCATTCTAATAACCTCCAATTCTTTTCGTCCGTTTGCCGCGACCGCTGTATAATTGTGTTATAGCGCAGCAGTGGCACGGGCTAGCCACCGACTTTTTTTCTGTGGTCGCATTTCCATCCGCATTTCTGGCCTGACTGGCACTTTGCAGGAAACGCCGTTGCTACAGATATTACATTCTGTTTTCTTCACCTCATAAGATTCGGCACGCTCAGACGATATCCGTCTTACTGCAAAATGCCTCAGTATCGTATCGGTATGTCATTTTTATGTTGTTTCTTGTACTGCTCTTGGGGCTTGTCTTCTTTCTTTCCTCCCTCGTTTCCTGCTTTGCCACCCATACATGGCAGTTTCTAGGGCGCTGTAGCCTTGCAATCATATGCGCAAGTCAATGCTAAATTCGATGCTCCATTTTAGAAATCTCGCCCAACAATCGTGCTGGCTGTCACGAGGGCGCGTGCAAAAAAGAGGCCGTGAAGATCCTAAAGGGCGAAATCAGATTCGGTAGTTGGGTTGAGATCAAAGAACATGGATCTTGGTCCTGGAAGCACTGGTGCGCTACTCTCAACGGGAACTTTTATTCTTATAGACACCTGACCAGGCAGTCATGAAACAGGGGATGTGTGTCTGGTCGTCAAATTGAAGGTCTCCAGGAATCGTGCGGCGGAGACCCCGACAATTACGACTTTGATGCCATTGACGGCTATGATGAACTAGAGTGAGTAACGACTGTGGTTCACACAACATTAAAGGTGCAATAAACGGGGGCTAATACGACTTGTAGGGATGACGAGATCAAGGAGAAGATTCAGCGCTGCATCAAGCAAGGCCATATTGATCCGGAGGACTTCAAGGGTGTAAGTCTCTTTTGCCTTTTACGCTTCGTATCACGCTACCATGACCTGACAACTTGTAGGACCCAGAGAAGAACAAGCTAGGTGAAAAGGGCATCTTCCTTAGCGCCAAACAGAAGGCTGCCAAGGAGAAGGCCGCGGCAGAGGTATGTTCGAGTCCAGCGTGTATAACGATCGCTGTTGTTTACACTTTGTAGGCTGCCGATGACGACGAAGCTCCCGCCAAAAAGTCTGGCAAGGGGGGTCGCAAGAAGGTCGCCAACGATGCCGATGATGGACCGAAGGCTAAGAAAGCTGGGAAGCCCAAGAAGGTCGAGGCAGACGAGGAGGAGCCCAAGGCCAAGTCCAAGTCCAGGGCTAAAGCTAAGAGCGCAAGCGAAGGAGACGCTGAAGAGCCTGTTGCGACCAAGAAGCTTCCCAAGAGAGGCTCAAAGGCAAAGCCTGTCAAGCCCGAAGAGGAGACGGTGGACGAAGATGAGAGTCAGGAGAAGGAAGATGTTGCTCCTGTCAAAACTACACGCGGACGAAAGGCATCGGCCCCCAAGGCTAAGACTGAAACTGGAACTCCAGATGAAGATGAAGGCGCTGAGATGGCAGCTCCAGCCTCTGCCCCCAGGGGCCGCAAGCGCGCATCCATGTCCCAGTCTGGCGATAAGGACGAGGAGGCCACCAAGCCCGCTGCCAAGAGGGGACGCAAATCGAGCGTCGCGGCCGCGAAAGCTGCCCCTGAGGATGAAGAGGCGAAGGCGGCGCCCAAGGCTCGGGGAAGAGGCCGTCCTCGCAAATCTGACGTCGCAGCGAACTGAAATGTTGATTGCTGTCACTCGAAGAACTTTTTTTCGCAGCAAGTGTACGAGACGGTGGAGTTTACGATTATGCTGGGAAGGCGATGCTCTGTTGACTGACAAGATGTGATACCGGATGATTTGGAAGCAATATGATGGAGGCTGACGTCCAGAGGGATTGAGATATACTATCATTCCTTCGATCTTTTTTTTCTAATTTCTCTCCACGCATGACTCTAATTATGAGAAGGGGGAGAACTGCTTTGATACATGGGACATGGGAATGAGACTTGTAGGCATAGACTGCTAGTTTGCGCCGGCTGTCTTGTGATTAGCAATACAAGTCGTCAATGAATTCTCTTACCAGTGGAAGTATATTTGTAATGGTCAGAAAAAGCATACATCTATGTGGCTCCTGCATGTCTCGTCTTACATTGTGCCATTGGGGCCCTTTATGCTACATGAGGCTCTCTGACCTGGAGCTGGAGCTGGAGCTGGAGCTGTCAATAGCTGGAGCTGTTAATAGCTGGAGCTTGCTTCTAGCAGCGGTTCTAGCGCCTCATCCATCATTAGCGCGTGCCGACGTCATCAGGCACGCTGCGGCTTAGGCCCGCCACCCCGCAATGCTCTATACGAAATGCAGCTCCAGCGCTGGTTGCCAACTCTCCATTTACATTGAGCTTTTGCCATCTCAGATACACGGTGCAAACCCAGCTGGATCCAAACATCAGGCAGATACCAGCGATATCACTCACACAGCCGCCATGTCGTCCAACACAAATCCCGATCCCGCCGCCACTGCGCCGGCCTTCATCCCCCTCGAAGCCAATCCTCAGCTGCTCACGACGCTCATCCACAAGCTCGGCGTGTCGCCCGCGCTGCAGATGCACGATGTCTACTCCCTGACCGATCCAGACATGCTCGCCTTTATTCCGCGCCCGGCTCTGGCACTTCTACTGGTGTTCCCGATATCAGCCGTGTACGAGAGCCACAGGATGGCAGAGGATAGCTTGGCGACCGAGTACAACGGCACGGGGGACAAGGAGCCGGTGCTGTGGTGGAAGCAGACGATTCGAAATGCGTGTGGACTGATGGGGCTGCTACACGCGGTGACAAATGGACCTGCAAGGGAGTTTATCAGTATGTTGTTGTCGTTCTTGTGTTGAGGCTCTAGAATGTCTCTTTAGATCCTTTCGAGTTTCAAGCTAACAGCAATGATAATCGCAGCCGAGGGATCTACACTCGACGACATCATCAAGAGGAGCACCCCCCTCCACGCCGCCGACCGCGCCAGGGTAATCGAGCAAACACCCGCCCTGGCCGACGCACACAAGGCCGCCGCCACCGAAGGAGACACTCCTGCTCCCGACGCCCAAGACGACGTGGACCTGCACTACGTGTGCTTTGTCAAGGGCAACGATGGTAATCTGTGGGAGCTCGACGGACGGAGAAAGGGGCCCATCAACAGAGGGCCTCTGAACGGTGATGAGGATGTGCTGAGCGAGAAGGGACTGAATCTGGGGGTGTTGAAGTTTTTAGAGAGGGAGGGAGGGGATTTGCGGTTTAGTGCTGTGGCCCTGGCTGGGACGTTGGATTAAGTGAGATGAGAAAGGAGGGAAGCGTTTTTGAGGTTGGTTGTTGGATCTCTGCCTTTTCAAGGGAGGTAAGAGGGTGTAATTTGTTTTTTAAAAGATGGATAATCTCGCATCTGTTGCAATCAAGGAATATGGGGCTGGTTAACCCATGGATATATGAGCAGCGTTGTGCAAAAGGGGGAGAGAGATTTGGGCTACTTGTGATTCGAAGCATCCTTCCATTCATCTAGTGCTTGGCCAATGGCATCGGACAGGTCGTCCATTATGGCATCAGATTTCTCCTTTGCGTCAACATCTTTCTCATGGCTTGCACAAGGACCTTGTGCTTCTTTATCACGGCTGGTACTAGGCTTTTCCGCGACATTGGAGCGACGTTGGGCTTTTTGCTTCTGCTTTGCAGCCTCATGCAGAGGGAAATTACAAGATGCGGCATCGCCATGACTGCCTGTATAGTGATGCCCTCGACCGGGATTACGAACTGGAATAGGAGGAGCTTCTACTGGTATTGCTGCTGATGAAGCTGAAGTCGATACTGGTGCTGGTGGTCTATTTGGCAGGGGGCTGAGGCCAAGATGAATGCGAAGGCGCATGTAAGCTCGCCTTTCGCCATCTTGGACCTGTTTGAGTGCTTTGTCTATATATGATGGATCGGACATGATGTAGAAATGCGACATGTTCCAAAAGTTATGAAATCATATCTGGCTGAGGAATGGGTTCTACTTTCCTGATATTGGAGGATTAGCAAGGGGTTAACTGGGAGTTGAACATGTGCGCTGCGGCATGGTTTTTATTCTTTTTCTAAATGCGTGAATCACGATCTGAATGCTGTTTTTAAAAGGTTAATTTCACTGATGTTGAGATTCTCGATTTGATAATGGTTTTGGATAGATATATGGGATGCTGACTGCAGCGCGATGGATGGAGAATAACAGTCCAGGAGCACTTGAACAAGACAGCAATTAAGAGATGCAAGGCAATGGCAATTCACTGCAGCTAAAAATAGATTGATGAATAAGAAAGAAAAAGATTAAGAGAATGAAATTATTTTTCGTAGAATTGTTTGTCTAAAAAGAAGCACAAAATGCTCAAGGCAATTGAGGCTCAATCACAGCCCCTACCAAAAAAAAAAAAAAAAAAAAAAATCCAACAGGCCATTTTATTTGGCGTTGTAATAAGCATACAACTAGCACTCAACCATTGCCGTTTTAGGGCGCGCCTTTCGGAACAAATTGCCGTCTAAGCGGCGCAAAAAGTAAAGATGCCAAGACGAACCAGACAGGCATGTTGCTGCTGAGCTGACGTCACGTTATTGCTTGTTTCTTCGTTTGCCAAGAACGCTTTTACCGACATGTCAACATTTTGCCAGTTGTTTGCGGTTTTTTGCCCGTCGCTCGGAAAATCGATGATGCAAGTCTACGCTGTGTTTGAGGTGAGCGTTACTTTTTTAAGGTGAGAAGATCACTGGGGAACGGTGGATAGGGTCGGTGGATATGGGGGAAATCCATTTCATACAGTGAGTGGTTCAAAAGACAAAAAAGTATCAGCTCCACAGAAGTGGCATCATGGTTACGTTAAAGACTATTGATATACATGACGTCAAATAGAAGTTAGTTTCAATCGAACAGAAAGATATAAGAAAGCCGAGTATTTCATTCTCTCATCATCAGATTATCCTAAACATTCAAATCATTCGCAAAACAAATCTCATATCCAACACACAATGCCTCGCCAAGGAGACGGTTCAAGCGACAACGGCCCTTTTGAGGAAGCCACTCACAACGTTGCCCACGGCGTCACTTCCGAAGATGTAAGTCACATCACATGTCATTTTTTTTCTTCTTTACCCCAACTTTTGAATTCAAGCAACATGTATCAAACAAACCTTAACAAAAAGTACACTAACGAACAATCTTTTGGTAGAAATCAAAGGACAAGACTGCGCCCCTGCCAGAGGGCCTGCATGAAAAGGGCGCCGGGCTGCAAGACGTAAACGCCAGCGGGGGACAGAGCCAGGGCATCAAGCAGGGCCCCAACGTTGGCCAGGGCGGACGAGGAAGCTCCAATTGAGCTGGGATCGAGATTGGAAAAATGAAGAATAATGTCTGATGAAATGTATAATATGTACAAACAATTGAAAACACAATGATTTGAATAAAGCAAAAGATGCAGGCTTGTTTTGTGAAAAAGATGCAGAAATAACCAAGAACAACCCCAAGAGACTCTCTATATATGCCCAACCAACCAGTACAATACCATAACGGCGTACATTATTTATTATTTACACGTATCGTTTTTCAAGTGCCATTGCGGGGTTTATGTTTATCCCCTTCCCATAATAATAAATCATAAAACAAAGCAAAAAAATCTATTCCGTTAAGCTCTTATTCCACCGCTGGAAAAACTGGTCCTTCCAGGTCGGCATGCATCGAACGGTATCCGGCGGGCCCGTCCAATCAATCAAGTCGTCGCGCGGGTCCTGTTCCGCAACAATGTCCGACACGAAACCCTTGTCTTGCTTGATCCGCTTGCCGTTCTTGTCCGTGTACTCGAGGTTGACGCTCGGCACGACCGCAATCTTGCCGTAGCCGCGCCACCACATGTCCTTGCAGAACAGCACCGGCTCGCCCTGGAAGCACTCGCCCGTCTTGTGGTAGTTTGTGCGGAAATGAAGGCCCTCGACAATGGGCTTTGCGCTAAAGACCGTGGCGCCGTTCCAGCAGGCAAACACCTGGAAGGGGCGCAGCTCATCAAAGCGGGACCTCGTGTCCGGCGCGTTCCAAAAGAGGTTTTGCGCCTCACCCCAGTTGCCGTTGGCCGGGATGTGGAAGAACGAGTCGCCGTTGATGCCGCGCGCGATCCAGACGTCGTAAAAGTTGGGCTCGTCGCCGGGGTACGTCCAGTCCATGGCGCAGGTCATGTCGGCGTTGAGCTCCTGCTTCTGCAGGATCAGCTCGAGAATGTCTTCGGCGCAGGCAGCCACGTCGTTGAGGAAGACGACGCTGGCGTCGTCGGCGATGGGGATTGACTGCTCAAAAATCGGCTCCAGGGGCATGTTGCGCAGCTTTGCAAGCTTGGCGATGCGATCACCCTCGGCGGACTTGACGGTCGAAGAGTTGTAGATGTAAGTGACGCCCAGCGCCTCGAGGCTGGGGCGTAGGGCGGCGAGTATGTCTCCAGTGCCGTCGGGAGAGTCTCCCTCTACAATGGAGAGGGCACATGAGCGAGGGCCGAGAAATTGCATGGCCTCGATGATGCTGCCCATGAGGCGGGGGAGGAGATCGATGCAATTTCGCAAATCAAGGGCGAAGAAGTACCGGATCTCAGAGGCCGGACTGTTGAGTGAGCGAGGAGCAGGAGTGGCCGTTGGCTTTGATGACGATGACGATGACGATGACTTGGACGCCGATAGTAATTTAGACACCGATACAGGTGAAGATGACGAGGATGGAGATGAACGTGAAGACGACGAGGGTGAAGCGGGACGAGCAGGAGGAGAGGATGGTGCCGGCCGCCCTGATGACTTCTTCTTCTGTTTGTTTTTCAACGTCTTATATCGTGTAGCGTTGATAGCAGGGCACTCGAGGCGAGGTGTCAATCTCGAGTCTGGCTTCACATGGTAGATGGCCTCGAGATACTCGGTGATGTTGGCCGATGAAAGAACGGCGCCTAACCGGTCAGTGTCTTTTCTCTCTAGACTTATACCTCGCATCCATCTGCTTTGAGGGGATTGATCTTTTCTTACCATCTCCCACCACCTGTTGAGCGAGCTGCTTCAATGGTATCGGCTGTCTCTGAGAGCTCGGGAACCAAGACAGACGATCTCGCCCAAGATACAGACTTGCCAGCACCAGGAGGAAGATGAAGGGAGCCGCCGCCAGGGGCAGCCTTCTACTGCGCATTTCGAACCACAGTACTGAGTAGTACCTAAAGTATACTGAGAAACGAAATGAACGAAGCAGAGAGAGGTCCGGGATACCCTCAGGCTTCTCAGTGCACCAACAGGCACGAGTGTCGTGATAGCGTGGCAAAGGCTATTGGACGGAAAGTCAAAGTCAAAGGCTTGGCGGGATGGTCTGAATGGGAGTGAGAGAAAAGAGAAAGTGAGAAAAAAACACGAGGGAGAGAGAGACAGCAAAAGCCACTCAAATCCCCCCAGAGTCCAGCCACAGGAGCTGACGAGAGGCTGTGTAAGTAATAGTGTGATTATGCTGCTGAAAGACAACGCAATTCGGGTATCGCCTCAATCCATCAGCGGCGGTGGGTCGAAAAAGCTCAGCGCGCTGCTTGCCTCCGACGTTGCGGATAGTACAGTACTGGTAGCTCGAAATAGTGGTAATATTTGTTTTTCGCAAGCGCTTATTGTCTCTGCAGAGCATTGGCCTGTTTTGTTTTAAACAACGAGGGTGGGCTAGCAAACGGATACGCCGGGCTGATACGAGAATTATATGTCGAGTCTCAGCCAAAAGGTACCAGAGACCCGAACCCAACGCATCCCAGATTCTTCCTCCAATCCGGCATCCGACAAGGGAGCTGCCCGAACGCTGGAATATCACGCAGCATGTGTATGTAGCAGTGGCTGCGAGACACGGTGTGACAGCGTCTCGCTTCCCATGGCCTCGCATAGGAGGATCACGAGAGAGAAAAAAAAGACGTCTTGTTATTTTCTCCTCCTCCCATGTTTCCCTCCCCCGCCTCCCTGCGTCCCTGTCTCTCGGCCCTCTCTCTTTCTGGCATCTTTCGTTTCTCGGACCTGGACTTTTGTACACTGCGAGTGCTGCTAGCCCGAAAATCCTTCGACGCTGCCTGCCAGACTCTCTCGGGATACGAGATCTTGCTCAAAGCCATTGGCCGCGGCGACAATGACAGGGCTCGTGCCATTGCCTTGGACCCCACTGGTCAAGCCGAAACGTCTCCAGTCGACGCCATCCATCAGGCTAGCATGGGAGCATGATGGCCGGGCTTTAAAAGCCTAGCTCGCTCTGCATGCATCGACAAAGCAAAGGGCAAGGGTCCTTCTTATCTTTTCGGCTTAGTAACCGACTAACATGAACATCGCGAGCTGGCCTTTGTTTCTCGTGGAGGGGCGGCCGCGGCCTGTGCCTAATGTTGAAAGCGGGAAGAAGAAAGGAAATTTTAGAGCGTGTACAGTGCCCCGTCAAACTCGTATAGCCTGTTGCTTCTCTTTCTGATTGCTTGTATGCCACTAGGCAAGTGTCGGTGCTTCGGGCAACAAAACAGAAGATGAAAGACGATGATCAGGGCGACATTGTCCTGGCCTATCGTTTTGCTTTTTCTAGCGGCCTGCCGCTGCCGGACAAGGTTCGTTTCGTGTTGTTTTTGTCTTTTGTTGGCGCTGAATTATAATCTGTAAGGGCAGAAAGCCTACCCAACACTCAAGACAGCGGCGGCGAATAGCATGGCGACATTGCTCCCCTTTTTTCCAACCGGCGTTGGAGCCCAGAAGCGGCTGGCTGCGACCGTGTCTGAGATCTCCTTTTTTCCTTGTCCCTGTTCCTGGCTTGCCATGATCGTAGCATCGGACGCTTTGCGAGGCTAGCCCAGGAGGGGAAGATACCAAGTGCACGTTTATACGAAGTACGGCTGAGTGGGTGTGGAGACCTTGTAGATTCTAGACGTGGAAGCCACTTATGCCCGTGGAGGTGTGGAAACTTATTCCGAAGATGGGCGCTTAGAAGTTGGGGTAGCGTCTATAAGCTTGAATAAGCCACGCCTCATTCAATCAGTTAATCGAGAGATTGATTGGTCTGGTGGTCTAGTGGTATGATTCTCGCTTAGGGTACACCCTACAGCTTGCTTGCGAGAGGTCCCGGGTTCAATCCCCGGCCAGACCCTTATTTTTCTTTTTTTCCCTTTTTTACTCGATCCGACGATAAGACACCACCCACACCATTTTTAACCATTTTTTAGCCTGTCCGCGTATAAGTGAGGGTGTGGACACAAACACAACCAGGTCCTACCCAATACGAATTTTTGCTTCTTGTTTTGGAATGGCATGCAGATATCTAATTTCTCAATTTGATTTTGGCTAGATAGCCATAAATAGACGGATAGCGCGTTGTTGACTCATCTATTCGTTGCTATTGGCTATTCAATTGTGTGCTTCTCGCCATGCATTTCGTATTAACCAACGGCTGACTATCCTGACGGAGAATTTAATCAGTCAATTCCGACTCCATCCAGCTACAGCGAATTAATGAATACGAAGAGCTACTGTCACCATCATTTCCTTTGCCCTACTAGTAAGTAGACAGTTACATGTACCCTTCCCAACTTGGCAGTTTCTGTAAAGTAGCAATAGAGCAAATCCTTTTCCATAATTTCTTATCCGTATTTCTCCGTGTCTCGTAAAAAAACTTCATCTCAATCTCCTTCGCCTATTGACCGAGGTGCTTCTGCCCCCAGATATGAAGTAACGACGCCCTGTTGCTCTTCGGGGACGCGCCTGGCTCTGATTCTGAGCCTGAGCCTCTCTCACTCCATTCCCATCGTCGCCAGAAACATTTGCCGCCCTAGGAGATGGACTCTGTCGCCCAGCTCTGGCAGCCACAGTTGGGTTAGCAGCCGTGTTGGAGGCCGCAGCCGCGTTCGCCCCTCTCTGAAGATCTTCCAATACGCGAGCCCACGAGCTCAGATGCCGCACAGGCTGCTCTCCTTGGCGGAGCTGTCTCGTCGTGGAAACGATTCGATCCACAAGGCCCCGAAAGGAAGGCGTTTCAGCAGCAGCGCTGTGAGCGTTATCGTTGCCGCCGCTGATGATGCTGTTGGTGCTTCGAAAGGTAACGTGGTTGGCATTTCGCCGGTCCCTCTGTGGCGTTTCGTTACGTCCGCGATGCTGCTCACGCTGAAAGGGGTGGTGATGGACTTGGACAGACTAGATCGTTTTTGACGTTAGCATGACTACCAATCAGGCGTCTTTGAAATTGACAATCAGAAAATAAACGAGAAACGACAAGAGACAACAGCCGCCATCAAGAAAAAAGCATAAGCAGGACAAGAGTCACTTACAACTCCCTCCGCAGCGCTCGCAACGTTCGTATACCGATTCCCAAATCTCCGACCCATACGACTCCTTCGCTCCCTCTCCCGTCTTCTCGCCCAACACGCCGAACAGTCACTCCAATAACCTTCCTCTTCATCCTCCACCACCTCTGCCTCTTCGATAACAATCTCGTCGTCATCGGATTCATAATCTCCTTCTTCGCCATCATCATCATCGCTGTACTCCTCGCAGGAGCAGCTCGACGCACAGCTCGAGCAGCAGCAAGTCGAGCCCGAGTACTCCGACTCAGACTCTCGTTCCTCTGAGACGAGCACGTAGCCTGCCCTCATGAGGCGGTCTCTTAGGGGTCGAAGAGAGGAAAACACTGCGTGATTGGGATTCCTCGTGTTGCTAGCCATGTTTTTTTGTGCTCAAAACGAGTAATAGAATATTGAAAAGTGTAGTACAAGTTTCCAAGTAAGCGATAAAGCAAGTATATCAATATATATTGTTCTTTAAGGGTTTTGTTCTGTTTCCCCTTTCTTTTGGAGAGGTCCAACAGTCGTGAGGTAGTGGAGGTTTATAAAGCTTGCCGGTAGACTATCACTCCACCCAGGCCGAATCGCGAGCATCTATCGAGGAACAATCAACCTCTAAATACTCATCGACCCGGCATTGTTGCAATTATGTGTCCCGAAAGCAATCAATCACTAATTCCGATGCCGCCAAATGTTTGCGTCGCACTTCCAACTCAGGCTTCGGCAGCATACACTAGAACACGTACTACAAGTGGCACCGGATGGCTCAAGTCAGGCGTTTTGTAACGAGCGACACCCATTCACACACTATATTATACTATACGCACTATACGTACTAATTGTAAAACCAATCACAGTCCTGCTGTTACCTCTCCTCGTCTCTCATTAACTAATATCGTACCAATTATATACTGTAACATAACCATCCCCTAGCCGTGAACGATAGCATCCAATATGATACAGAATTAGCAGCTGGTCATAAACACTGCCTGTCCTCCCTCTTATGCTGATACCCAATTACACAAAGGCTGTACCACAAACCTATCACAAAAACGCCATTGTTCATCCATAATTTCGCTTCTCCTTCATACACCCCCCTCAGACGTTATTCACACTCAAGTCGCCCTATAAGAAGCCTTTGGTCATACTAGGAGCTCTGTTCAGGCTGCTGTTTCTTTGAGGAACGTCAATCAGCGTTGAGTCTTCTCCTTCGTTCCCCACTCTCCATGTAACGCCTCTGCCACGAACGCTTCCCACTCCGCCCTTTTCTGTTCGGAGGCCTTTCCACCCCTCCAGCTCTCGCTCTAGGCGGTGGCACTTCTCCTTCTCTTCGCGCAGTTCGCGCTCAGCGCGTCGTGCCGAGAGCTGGTTTGTGGATTCTGACGCCTGCAGCTCATCAATTGTCTTGAGAAGCTTGTCGACTCTGTCGCGCATGCGGTTCACGTCGTCAGAGAGCTGCATGTTTTGCTTGTCTTTACGTTCGACTTGCGTCTGCAGGTCTTTCACAGTACGGTCCACATTTCGAACAGAACGCTGGGACTTGTTCTTTTCCTCCTCGTGGCTATCCAGCTGTGATTCAAGCTAAGATATAGTTAGTATATTAAAAATCTTTGTTATTGGATGACAAGGAGAACTGAGGAAAACGCTTACCTCTTGGATGCGTTTGTGCAAAAATTTGATGTCCTGGCTGCCGCTTGAGTAGCCCTTGGTCTCCAGGTCTACAAGCCTGAGCTGTGCCTCGCTCAGATTCTTCTCCAGCGTAGTCTTTTGTTTCTGCAAAGTCGCACTGATTTCACGCTCGCCCGCAATGTCTTTCTGGACCTCGGTGACTAGTGCCTCAGCACGTCGCATCTTCTCCACTGCGGCGAGAGCAATATCCTCTTGCCGGGCAAGGCTAGACTTGAGATTGAGAATTTCCTTGTCCATGCCTGCTGCATCGCGAAGCGATGGGCTTCCGCCCTTGACCAGCTCGTCAAAGCCTGCCTTGGCTTCTTCGAGGCGGGCCTCAACGCCCTTCTTCTCCCGAATGAGAAGATCGCGCTCGGTAGTGATCTCGTCCACACTTGACCGTAGAGTCCGCACCTGTGATAAGAGGGAAACAATCTTGCTCTGTGCCTCGTTATGAGCGCCGACGGCCTCATCACGAGATGATGCAACATCAACCAACGTGGATTCCAATCGCGCCTTTTCTTTTGACCAAGTGGAGCTGTTCAGCACCTCATCATCCCACTTGGACCGTAGCTCATCGAGTTCGTCCCGAAGCCTTGTAATCTCTGCCTGCTTGAACAGCTTCTCTTCTCGAGCGAGGTCAAGCTCTTTGGCAAGCGTGGCAAACTCGGTCTGATACTTCTTGCGCGTTTGCTCCATGCTGGATTCTTTATCTTCAATCTCCATGGCCCTTTGGTTGCGATAGTCTTCCAACTCATGCTGAAGACGCCTCCTAGCTTGCGTGGCGGCGTCAAGGTCAGTCGACAGGTCCTCTACCCTTCCTTCAAGACGATGGTTCTGGCCCTGCAGGTCTTCAACCAGTGCATCCATCCTTTGCCTCTCAGACATGACCTCGGCGTATGTGTCTTCCGCCTCTTTGGCTTGTGATTTGGCAAACTGTTCTGCTCTAGTTGCTTTCAGAACAGCAATCTCTGCCTGCTCAAGCTTGCTGAAATATTCGTCGGCTCGGCCTCTGTACATTTCCAAGCTTGAAGAGACGTCAGCGAGCCTAGATGTCTCCGCATCAAGTCGGATTTGGAGGTCGGTGAATTCCTGTAATAGCTGGCTTCGGCTTTGTGCTTCCTGCTCGCGTGCAGCAGTCATCTCCTGAAGGTCAGACTTTGAATCGCGGAGCTCAACTTCCAGGTTCGCCCGCTCGTGACGCATCTTGTCGAAATGGACCTTCACTTCAGTTAATTCTGCGAGGGCATCTTTGTGGCTATGTAAAAGGGACCTGCGCGCTTCTTCTTGGCTGTTAAAGATATCCAGCAGCTCCTCATGAGATCGCGTCTGGATGTCCCGCAAAGAAAGCTCCCCAGCTTGCATACTCTTCTCCAATGCTGCCACCTTTGCAACCGAATCATCCAACATATCATGCAAACGATTGTTGGCCTTTTCAAGCTTCTGCACACGCAATATTGAAGCCTCATCTTCATATGCGTCATCAGATGATGAATTCCGATCCAGTTGGCTCTGAAGCTGTCGATTCCGCACTTGGGCTAGCTGCAGCTGACTTTGGAGGTTTTCGATTTCGGCCTTGAGTTCAAACCCATTTCTGATATCGGAAGCGCCAAAAGATCTTTCAGAGCGTGATGAGTCCTGAGAGTTGGGGTCTTGGAAGCGTCGAGCGCTAGCCAATCCATTCAAGCTAGGATGCAGGCCTGCTTTGGTTGTCTTCTTCAGGCCATTGGAGTCTTGAAAGGGGGCTTCGTTTGGATGGATTTCACCAAGCCCCGGACGAGTGGGACTCTCGTTTCTTAAAGCCCTCATCTCGGTCAACTGGCTTTCCGCATTGGTCCTGGCCACAGTTTGAACTCGCAATTTCTGCTGTAGCTCCTCAACCATGCGAACAAGATCAAAGTTTTTGAGCATAGCTTTCTCGCTGTTGGAATTTGTCTGCGGCATTTGAACCTCGGGGTCAACCATTTTGAGTGCCTTGAGCATCTGAGCTCTCATATCTTCCAGCTCTTTGTCCCGTGAGTCTATTGATGACTGCAACGTGCGGACCGTCGACTGTGTTTGATTCCGGAGCTGTTTCTCGGATTCAATTGTTCGATTGGCTTCCGCCAGTTGAACGGAAAAGTTAGAAGAGGCCTTCTCTGCCGTCCTACTAGCCTTCGCCTCTCTGGCAACCTCGTGGTTTAAATCTTCCAGGTTGAGATGAAGTTTCTCCAGCTTCTTCTCCAAAGTTGCAATGTTAAGCTGGGCATCGCCTAGCTGCTTGTTGAGCTTTGTGTTGTGATCTTCTAGCTTGGCTTTCTCGCCTCGGAGAGATATGAGCTGGCTTCGACTTGCTTCTGTTGCGCGAGAGCTGGATCTGGCAATTTCAAGACCCTTCTGTTGCAACTTATTGAGTAATGTTTTGTTGTCGTTTTCAGATGCCGCCAGCCGGCTCCTTATTGTATTGAGCTCCCGCTCCATTCTCTCCTTGGCTTGGTCATTTTTCAATCCAAATTCTCCAGATGTAAGAATCAGCTTGTTTAGATCTTCGACTTGGCGGTTCAGCTTGTTGCATTCCTCCTCAAACCAGCGCAAGCGTTCTTGAGCAGCTTCAAGGTCTTTGCGGAGGCTACTTTCTCTCTCTCTCGCAGCTTTTGAAGCTTGGCGCTCGCCGGCCATTTCAGCTTGCAAGCGAGCCTCTTCGGCCTCCGATTTTGCCATGCGAAGTTTTCGGATCTCATCCCTAGCGTCGTCACGCTCTTTCTCAATTGCAGCCCGGGCTTCTACAGTCCGCCTCAAAGTATCTTGCTGAACATACATCTCTTTTTCAATGATAATCTTTGCGTCATTCAGGCGATCAAACTCATCTTTGAGCGCTTGGTACTTGTGCTCTCCAAGCAGCAGTACGTCATCTCGGGATTGTCGCTCTCTGCTCAATTCCATCTTCGTCTGATAGAGCTCATCCTGAACATCCTTGATTTGAGACTCGAGGACTTTTCGGTTCTTCTCAGCTTGTGCGTCTTCAGACAGCCTAGTTTCGAGTAAAACCTTGGCATCTTGGGCCTCGCGTTCTAACTGCATCTGCTTGGATTTCAATGCCACAAGTTCTGCTTGAACATCACGGAACTTTGCAGCATTTTTCTCCATATCCTCTGTAAGAGCTCTTTTCTGTTCCTCGAGGCTTCGACGTTCAGCCTCTGACTGCCTTTTGTCATCACGCAGCAATGCCAGTTCGCTCTCCTTCGACCGGACAAGATCTTCGTAATCTGTTGAAGTCTTGGAGAGCTCGGCAAGCTGTTCATGTACTTCTTGATTCTCTCGAGCCAGTCGAGTCTCTCGCACTTTGGCTGCATCGAGATCTTTCTGCGCTGTGAATAACTTGACCTCAAGATCCTGGTCGATCTTGAGCAACTTGTCTTCCAGATCCTTGGTTTTTCGATCTTTTAGCGCTAATTGACTTTGGAGCATCTTGATTTCGCCTTCCATGGCAGCTTCCTTGTCACTATGCTCGGATTGCTTTTGAGTGAGATCGTTGATAGCAGTCTCCAGCTCCGCTGCTCTAGCCGACAAGCGTGTCTTTTCCTCTTCCAGCCTAGAGATGAGAGAAGCAGCCTGTTCCAGCTGTGCACGGTATTTTTCGACATCTTGCTCAGCTTTGTTCTTTGCTTCCATAAGGCTGTCCAGCTGGTCTTCCAGTCTCTCTTGGTCTTCTAGTGCGCCTGCTAACTTTTCCTCCAATTCATCCTCGCGGTCCTGGAGACGCATAAAGATCTCTTCCTTGTCCAAAGCAAGAGCTCGCTCACTCTCCAGGGTTTTTTGGATGCGAGTAATCTCAGCTTGGCAATTTCTTCTTTCATCTTCTAGCTTCTGCCGACTTTCCAGCTCCAGTCGCATCTTTTCGCTCAGGTCTTTAATCATGGCATCCCGCTTCTTCACCTCCGCAGCAGTTCTAGTGGCGCCGAGGAGAGGCCTCATCTTTACAATGAGCTGCCACCATGGGTTCCCTACAAGGTCGAGGTATACGTGAAAGTTCCTTTGGATGATTCTGGTGGCCTCGGTGCGGAAAAGTCTCTTGTGTGCTGCTCGTCGACAAACGTATCCACGGGCAACAGATTGAAACCGTGCCATAATCTGTGTAATTAGAGCATCTCGCTGCTCTTCCAGCTCAGCTAGAAGACCAGCTCGGAAGAAAACTTTTGTGAGACCGACGCGATACATGGTCTTGTCGAGATTAAGCCTCTCGAGCATTAAAGAAGCCACGACTTGACCGTCTGAATGGCCCTTGGGAATGTCCGGGCACAAAACTTCGTATCGCTGTCTGAATTCGGTAAAAGGTAATCGATTAGGGAAGCCAGTTCTTGCTATCCGAATACCTTCTAGCACACCGTTACATCGGAGCTGATCCAAGACAAGCAGCTTGTCAAACAGCTTTGGCCGCTTCTTGTAGTTGGGCAGTATACAGCGAACAAAGTGAGGGTGCGTAGATTGAAGCTGAGACATCAAGTTGTGGAGCTGTTCTTTGTGTCTCTGGGCCACAGTTCTGAATAAGCCCTTCTTCACACGACTCCTTCGCCCACCGTGATCATCCGAATCAGCACAGTCTACAAACAGATTTGCAATGTGCTTATCCGTTGAAGCTGCTAGCAATTGCGTGATGTTATTGTTCAAGGGGTCTTTGTTCTTTTCGAGCCAGTCTTCGGTGGAGTATTCAACTTCAGCAGCGTAGTGTGTAAGGATAAAGCCTTGGCCCAGTCGAGAGGGGCGATATTTCGTAGACTTCTTGTTCCATAAAGTATTCAACTTCTCCGTAAAAGATTTATCAGTGGCTTTGGGCATAACACAGTCTTCGTCCAGGCATGAGAAGATACCAATTGGATTTGGCAATTCAATGAGATCAATAGTCGGCTGCAGATCGCGGCCAAAGTCAATGAACTGCCACTCAATTTGCTCGCGAGCATACTCTTCTTGCTCAAGAACAAACATGTGATGGTTGAAAAATTGCTGAAGCTTTTCGTTTGAGTAATTGATAAGCAGTTGCTCGAAGCTGTTCTTTTCAAAAATTTCGAACCCAGCAATGTCGAGAACACCAATGAATCGAGAGTCTTCTAAGCCCATGCCAGTCCGATCAAGCTGTTGATTGATCCGAGTGACAAGGTCACTAAAACCTCGCTCGTATATACCCTTTGCAAGAGCATCGAGGCCGAGGCGAACCTGCTCAGGGGTTTGAACTTTTTCAACCCACTCACGTCCGGCTTTCACTTTGGGATGCAATAGACCTTTAAGAAATGGCTCAAGAGGCACGCCAAGGAGGCTGCAAACTTTTGCAGCCTGCAATTTGGCATCTGAAGCCAGCCTAGCTTGATCTGCGCTCCGACTTTCCTTCACGACGTCAATGTTTCCCAGGTGCAATACCGCGGCAATGGTTCGAAGAACAGATATTTGATCCTCATCAGAGAATCCCATGATGTCAAAAGCCTCTAGCAATGCTCCCCATTCTTCTTGGTCAGATACTCCAGCCACGCTGTCATGGCCATTGCGCGTATATGCAAAATCTCCAATGTCTAGGCCGTCCAGAAGAAGATCTTTTCTCAATTTTGAATCTGCTCCTTTCAACAGTTGGTAGAATATATGGTAGTTTCGCTCTTGCGGGTTGACCCTAACCACTCTAGACTTCTCTAGTAGATACCAATCGATAAACGCTCCAGTAATAGCACCCTCTCGACTGAATTCAATTCGGATAAACTTGCCGAAACGCGAAGAATTGTTATTTCTCACGGTCTGAGCATTTCCAAACGCTTCTAAAATAGGGTTGGCGCGGAGAATTTGCTCAGAGAGGTTCGTGTGTCGGGCTTGGCTCCTTATTGGAGACTCTGACTGAGCAACAGCAGCCAGATATTGAATAACTTTCTTTGTATTCTCCGTTTTTCCAGCACCAGATTCACCAGTGACTAGAATACTTTGGTTGTGGCCTTCTCCAACAAGGTTGCGAAACGCTTCATCAGCCATGGCGAAGACGTGAGGCTTTGTATCATCGCGACTCCGACCTTTGTACATGTTGATATAATCGTTCGAGTAGATCGGCAAGGGGCAGTAAGGATTGACGGTAACCAGAAACAAGCCTGAATAAGTGTAGATCAGATCCGATTGGTATCTTGTATGTAGGTTGTGAACGACCGACGCCTCATTCAGATGGGTCAACTCGGCCATATCGTTTGCCTTGTCGAATTTGGCGGGGTTCACTTTATCAACGCTCTCAGCATCAACTTCCCGTTGCTATATTCGTATCAGCATTAGCCCACCCGTTTCAAACCAGGACGAAGAAGCAACTCACAGTTCCATTATCGGTCTGCACCAAGATCTTATTATCCTCCAGTTCCTCAATCACCCAGCCTTTCACGAAAGCTTCCTCTGGGTCCTTAAGCCACACATATCGCTTTCCCGAAAAGTCATTCTCGCCTTCAATGCTTTTGACAGCATCATGATTCTGTCTTAAATCTTCCTCCTCCTTGATGAAAGAGGGAGCAAAGGTACTTGTATTCGAGCTCATCCCTGCACGCGAGTCGGCTCGATGGTGTCTCGATACAATGCCGGCCGGAGCAATCGCGGTTCCAAAAGAGCTGCTGGATCGAGGCCGGGTTGTCGAGGCGGTAGAGGCTGTCGATGCCGTGGAGGCTGTCGAGGGCGGTGTCGACACGCTTGGCGAGATCGTCGGTGAGGCGAAGAGAACTGATTTCGGCCTTCCAGAGGAGGGCATTGCTTGGGATGGAGAGGCGTTCCTCGCAAACGGATTGCTCCGTCGCGGCGCCGAACCGTTGGGGTTGAATGCCATTGTTGATTTCAAGGCTAACTCATAACGATATGCCGTAGCGGGGGGTATTAGGCGCTGATGTTGATCGGTTGGTGCTCTTCGCTAGCGAAACAATAGCCTGGCAAGAGAAAGGCAACTTCGCAGCTAAAAGAAGAAGAAGAAAACAATGGTACAAGAAAGATGCACAGGCACTTCCGCCAAAATTAAAGCATCAGATATAAACACAATGAGGATCGATGGTGCGGTGACACCTGGGGGAGCTTCTCCGTATTGGAGCTTACAGCACCCTGGTTGCTGGGGAGAGACCCCGCGAAAGTAAACAGAACCGCGCCACGTGACTTTCAATCGCGATAGCAGCGCTCGATGCCCTAGTCCTAGTGCAGCATGGCGCGATTTTCTCGTCCAAAGCTAGCAGACGTCTTTGGCCAAACGAGATTGCCCTTTTATCCCACATGGCAATCATCGCATCCAACTTCGTTCGCGCTGCAATCAACGATAGGCTGGACTCGTGTGCGAGAAACTGCTTCGACCCGTTTCACTACTTGGTGTTACATTAATTCCGAAGCTCCCCTTCCGTACGGCTTACACGCCTCTCGAGTTCCGCCACCATCAGCGTAGCCCTGCGTTCGATAATCTTTTCCTGCCCTCAACAGCGATATCGACCCCCAAAGCAAAATATAACCAAGCTTGTGGACAGGCTGCTGGCGTCACTCCTACATATATTGGCAATTACCAGCAAAGTCTACAGCTCGTAAACGACGGTGTCTACTATCCTGTGAGCCTGGGCTCGCTGTCTCTTTGGCCTAGCATGGCTCAATCAGGCTATGGGTACGACCCATTACATAGCTACCATCCGCAAACCCCGTACGCGCATCAGCCATACCCGCCTTATACTACTCCTGCTCTCAGCTATCCAAATCCTGTGGTACGAACCGTGGTGCACAACGAACCGGCTCCCGGAGACCCATATAATCCTCACAATGCGATTCCTGGACTGGGTCTGGGTTATTCACAAAATGCCATGCAGTGGCAAGGTCCTTGGCCAAACCAGCAATCCCCGTTTGGACAAGAGCCACTTGCTACGACCGAAGTAAATAGGCCCGAGCAGCACACGGATATAAGTGAGGAGGGGGAAGTTAGCGAAGGCGGGCTCGAGGATGCTTACGAGCCAAGAGATGTTGAGATTTTTCCCAAGCCATCGTATATGAATAGAAGCGCACAGAATGCTGCGGGGTTTAACGATGTCCCGCCAGCCTCCTTTCCTGCTAGTACGTCCTTGTATCACCTCAGTGACTAACATTTGGCCTTTCATTAACTAGATACTAGGTCGAGATCGCTCAGGTTCATATTCTCCCTACCTCTCTCCTCATGAAATGGATCATCCAGCTACGATTGCATCTATTAATGGTGAGTACGATGAACATTGAGCATTATACGCTTATTTCACCTACTAATATATGTATATAACACTAGAATGTCAACTGAACCAGATCACTGCTATGGCTTCGTCACAAACATCTCCCAAAGCAAACGGAGCGAGTCATACAATACCCAATTCATCCCAAGTGAAGAGCGTTGGTGCTACACGCAAACAAGCGCAAGATGCCATCCGACGGCTTTGGACATTAAATGTGCGATATCAAAATTATGTTGACGAGGGGATAGACGAGACACTCTTGGGTAGTCTATTCGAGGAGCTAGGGTTCGAAATGGGCGCATCACATAGTTCAACGACTGTTCAATCCAGCCTTAGCAGAAGAACAGTATCAGAGACGAAGACAAAGGATGAGCCTGGGCGTACCGACGGCATAGCCCAACAAACCGAGACCGAAAAGAGTGCTGGAAGTGCACCAGCAAAGGACGTTTCAGAATCGCGCAAAGACCGTATTGCGCGACTCCTCGCTGCGAAAAATTCCAAGTCGAATATTGCAGCCGCGACCGCGTCTTCATCATCTACTCCAGCTCCTTCTCTTGCGCCAGCCTCGAAAACGCAAACTGAGAAATCAAAGCTTTTATATAAGAAGATGGAAGCTTTGCGAAAAGCTCGCGAACTCGAGGCGCGAGGCCGAAAGCGTTCTCACCCAGACGAGCTTCCTCTTCAGAGTCACCAAGCAAATAACAACGCCGATAATTCTACAGCCACCAATTCCCACGATATGGCTGCCAGTGGCTTGCATCGTACCCCACCAGAGCATATGTCTGGTGAAATTTCAAGCCCCAGTGGACAGCTGCCTCCGTCAATTCCTGGGCTTTTCCTATCTTCTACGCCACAGCCCCCCCATGCTACACAAGTCTTGAACTTGGAGCGCCCAGCTTCTACGAGCTTGGTTGACTCTAATCCGAGACCATTTAAGCGTCCGTTTGGTCATGTGAGAAGGCCTCGCCCGTTCCTCATTGATGTTAGCGACGATGAGGATGATGCCGAAATGGATCTTGACTCTCCTGAGCAGAGAACATTGCAACTGGCTACGAAAGAGGCAGTACCGCCGTCACTGCAAACTACTCTTTCGTTTCGAAGCGCTCCATCATTTGGTGACAATGCGGCGGCAGCTCACCAGTACTCGAGTCCCATGGCAACCCCTCCCGGTGCCAGCAGCGACAATTCTGCAACAAGAGACAACTTGGATAACATGACCAAGAAGATTGAAGCTATGAAGAAAAGAATCGCCGAGGCCGAGGCTCGTAAGAAAGCAAAGCAGTCGCGCTTGAATTCACCAGCCCTTCCTGCGCTTAATAATGAATCACTTAACAGCAGTTTCGAGGCCATTATTCCGAGCCAGGACATGGCTGTTCACGTACCCTCGACTAGCATCGAAGTCCAACAACTGTCTCGCTCAACGCCCCCAATGTCGAATTCCTCTCCGATGGCGCCGTCTCGATCATCTGAAGCGAGTCCTCAAAGTGGAAACGAACGCCGCAGTCGATCCGTTGCAGCTAGTGAACGCCTTCCACTCGTTGAAGCCCGGCGTCGGGAACAGCAGCTGAAGTTGAAGCTCTTGCGAGCCCAGGTTGAGAATATGCAGCGAGAGATACAAATGACGATGGAAGAGGAAGAGAAGCTGAGGATTGATGTCAATGCGGACTCGGATAGCGAAGAGACGCATGAACAACAAGGTAAGCCTAATCTCCTGGTTCTAATAAGGACATTTTTTTTTTGTGGAATACTAATAGGTTCTTTCCAATAAAGCCCCGTCTCCATCCAAGGTTTTGAGTCCTTCGTCACCACTGACAGACTCAATGGATATTGCAAGCATATCTCCTCAGAGCAATAATGCCACTCAACGAAGCAGACAAGATACGCCACTCCCAAGAGAAGAGTCTCAAGATGAGCAGCAGCCTAGTCTGCTCGTTGCCAACCAAGCAGAACATAATCCATTAGGCGTTGAGTCTAATGGTGTCATTGAAGCCGTTGATTACGCTTCTCATCTACCAAACGTCGAGGCGAATACGATAATTGAAGACGTTGATGACGCTGAAAGAGAGACCATCCAAGACGCCATGTCGACACAAGACGATATCAACGCCACTGCTACAGCATCCGTAGAGGAAGCCCGAGATATGGTCATGTCGGAAGCTGCAGACTCCAGCAATCATGCTTCTGAAGAAGAATCGGATGGCTACGAGCCTCCAGATGTTGAGCTATCCAGCCCTTCGAAAAAGTCGTCGCGGGCATCAACACCGTTCAGTCCAGCGCCAGCTGGCTTGGATTCGATGCCCGACACAAATGCCGATAGCTTACAAGATAGCACGACAGGTGCCATCGCCTCACAGCAGATCTCTACCGTGCAACCGGATATAGCTTCTGAAAGTGGAAGAGAAGTAGACGTTGCCCTGCATTTTGATGGCCGATCAACATATCTAATAGGTGGCCAGGTTGACCCAGTAAGTGAGGCACCGGTGGCACCGGCTTCTGATGCCCCGAAGACCGCCTTTGTGCCGTATGAGTCGCCCCTTCGATACTTTCACGCATATCGCTTCCATCCCGAGTATTCTCAATCCATATCCGGTGGCCTTCGCTCTTTAACCTACAGCAATAAAATAGACGTGAAGCAGGAAGTATGCCCGGATGAGTTAGCCAATCAAAGTTGTCCAAGGGGTAGCGAATGCGATTATCAACATTTCGAGAATATGCAAGCTCCGGGTATGTATATCTCGGAGCTAGGCGCTTCTACTCTCGCGAGCTGTTGTGTGAAGCACGCTGACTGAAAACAATGAACTAGATGATCAAATCCTACTCCAGCTCGGCGCGCACGAGGAGTTTGGGGAGCAAGAGAAACAGCAGTATATCAACGGGCTACGCAATCTCTTGACAGACTTTCGCACCCGCAAGGTCAAAGACTTCCAGACTATCAGCCAGGGCATCATTGACTACCGAGCCCAATTTCTCGGAGACAGAACCAAGATTCTCCCCCTAGGCGGCGTTGCGATTTGACGTGCATACCCCTTTTCTCCCGCCCCTAGGTGCCCTTTTTCGTAACTCTAACCTTTCCTTACACTTATCTATTTTGCGTAAGAGACTTCAGCCATCACATCCATTTCACAAGTTAAGTTGGCAATAACTCAGCGTTGTATCCAATGCCTTTACCCATGGGAAACCAACCATGGTTTGAATGCTTGCATCTTTGCTTGACATTGAAATGTCCATTTGCATCGAATTGCGATGCACTATTTAGAACAGACATGGTTTGATCCATGTCATATACCCTTTCCTTTTCTACTACTTCTTTTAGTTAGCCTCCTATATTCGAGGCATCTGATGATTATCCAAGAAGAATTTGAGCCGTGGAGCGTGGCGCGTACGAGAAAGAGTTGGAACAAGACGGTTGAGAATAATGATCATTTTATTCGTATTGCTACCTATGCAGGCTATTAGGCTCCCATGTATAATGGGACATTCGTAGCGATGCTGTTGAGCAAAGGCTAGCGTTGAATTGATTGCACTTTTTTTTTAACAGACCGTGTCATCTTGATGGTACGTTTGGTATAAAAGATGATATGTATAATTAATGGAATATCAATGTTATTGTTGCTACGGATAGGTATACTTTAAATGATGCGTTTATGAACAGACATTCAAATGCAGCTCCCGATCAGAATGCGCCTGGGATATCAACTCGTACAGTTTCGAAAAAAAAATTATATAAATAAAAGGACGCCATTATAGCGCTGCCATGGCTTGAAAAAGAAAAGAAGAAGAAAGTATATCTGATCGGCGCTCACTCATCTCGCTTGCTATCGGCCATTTCGCCGTTTGAAAGATTCGCCACGGGACCGCTCCCTCTCCGAACACCAACTCCCTTCAACTTCTCAACAGGCTGCTGGATTTCTTCGGTCTTCTTTGCCGCTTCTTTTTCAGACGCAATCTGCACGCGTTGTTCCCGCGCGCGGTGCTGATGGCTCTTGGCATCTTCTCCCGAAGACGCAGTAATAGAAGCGTCGCTCTCGCTGCCCCCGCGCAGGTGGGAGGGCACGTAGGCGGATCCAGCGAGGCTTTCGTGTCGGACGATTTGATACCTGTCGTACTCTTCTACGGTGTGCTCTGCGTCGGTGAAGCTGTTCAGGGCATCGAATACGTGCTGGAACACCTGGGTGTCTACATCGCGAGCCCAGAGGAAATCGAGGTGTTCGTAGTGCGGAATTTCAGTCGCAACGGTCTGTCGCGGAAGCTCTTTCAACATGGATTTGATGTCAACTAGGGAATCGCTGCCGCCGTAAACGAGGACAACAGGCGTTTTGATGTTGCGGGTGGGGTATTTGGCGACTTTTGAGTACTTGCTCGAGGAAGCGACGCTCATGGGCTGGTAGACGTCGTCGTCGTACATCTGGAAGCATTTGTTGCGGATGATCTGGAACCAATGGACAACACTCTTTGTGCTCGTGAAAGAGTAGAGGTGAGGGTATGCAGCAAGCTTCTGGCTCGCAGAGATGTTTTTGGTCTTCCATCCGAATAGGAATGACAGGCCCATGTCGATGAGGCGGGAGAACAGTGGCGGGTATATGAGCGCCTCCCACATGGTGGCGGAGCTGAGAATGGATCGTCTGCCAAACATGAGATACAGGACCGACGGCGAGGCCTTGACGAGGGAGTCGACGACGCCATTTGACAGTCCGGCGGGAGCCATGGCGGGCGCAAGGGCAATGAAAACGTTCACCTGGTGATTTAGCTTGGGGTGGATGGCCAGGGTGGCGAATGCCTGAGCGGTGCCCTGCGAGAAGCCAATGTACGAAAGGCTCTCCTGTCCGGTGGTTTCGAGGATGTATTCGATGCTGTTTGGGATGTCGTAGAAGGCAAATTCGTCAATAGAGAAGTCCCAGAATTTGACCGACGTAGGCGAGCTGTAGATGGACTTCTTGGAGTATTTGTTGCCGCGGTTGTTTCCAAACTGAGCTGGTTAGCAAAAGTTCTTGGCCCAGTTTGAACATGTACTGCTACTCACCCAAACATCAAATCCCCTTTCCACAAGCTCAAACGGCAAGCATCTCTGCTCATCCGTCAAACAGACCCAGACCTCGGAATTCATGAGCAGGCCGTGGTGCATATAGACGACTCGCTTCTTGGTGCTCTTGGGTCCACAGTTGACTTTGAGATTTTCCTCGCCTCGTCGCCACTGCAGGCGGTGCAGGCCGAGCAGAAAGCCATCCTTTGTCTGGACTATGTGCTCTTCTGCTTCGTATCCCCATAATTGACAGAGCTCGACAAAGTCGGACGCATCGCGCACGGACGTGGAAATGGCTGGAAAGAAAGGAGTGTGTAAGCTTAAGAATAATGCTTATCCGGAGGCTATTCGATATATACGGCACAAGAACGAACATTTTTTCTTATCTTCCGCTTTCTGCTGCGCCGGCGAAGAGAATATCTTGAAGAGTTGCCGCGAGGCTCGATAGAGAAAGTTGACAAGAAACGAGGCTAGATGTGTATATAGGGGGTCAGCAGGTTGCTTTGTCTTTCATCTCACAGGGCCGTACTGACGCAATGCTAGAGTAAAGACTCGGATGATCGCTTCGAGACTGACGAGGAAGAAAGAAACAACAATCGAAATGTACTCGGTGCTGTAAAAGGCCATGGCGAATCAGTAAAAAGTGGCGGTATAAAGAGCCCGATTACACGGCAAGATATACATACGCGTGCAGCCTACCGATGAAGGGGAGAGGCATTGCGACGGGAGAAGCGAGGTTTCTTGCTATGGAGACCGTTCCATTATCGTTCTCGTGTTCACAAGGAAAAATTGTGAAGAAGGAAAAGGCAGAAGAAGCGAAATTGGAAAAGACATGGCAGATATGCTTCCAGGGTCTTTAGTCTAAGGGGATCGCGGTGATGTCACATGTAAATCTCCCCAAAGGGTCAGGTGGGCCCTCGATGGTGGCGCGCCAGTGGCCCAATTGGCGGCTTACCCTGGAAAAAGTCCGGGGCAGGCGAGCGACGAGATGGGCCAATCATGGAGTTTGTGCGCAGAGGGGAAAAGCGATGACTGGCGTGCTTGATTTGCATGATCAGCATGTGTAGCGTCAAAGTGTGAGTTGGCAAGTTGTTGGTGCTCATGTGGTTTGTTGTTCGTTGCTAGTAGACGCTTGGGCCGTCATTGACAGCGGAAGAGTGGCACTCTAACGTCTTGGACAGGCCATGGCTTACAAGATGCACGAGTTGTTAAACAATTTTCTTTTGTTTCTTGCTGAACTCATCACCATTAGACTTATAAACGAGTGTAAATTGACAGTAAAACTATGTTACAAAGAATAGGGCTAGATCAGACGAAACTTGCATGTCCCGTCTCATTAATAATGCACCGATCATGGCAGTGGGGCGTCAGAAACTGGTCAAATCAGAGCCTCGATCCTAGCGCCATCCTCAACCCACCAATCACCGCCAATCTTTAGAAGCTCAATCGAACGACTTTTCCGAAAAGCAGCATCAGAAGCCCAGAAGCCACCACCAACTTGACGCTCGAGACAAGGCCGCGACAGCTCATTAACTACTGTATATACACACTTGCACTCGCACATATACCCAATATGCCGTCGTGTCAGGAATTGCGTATGCTTGCCCCTCACCCAATCAGCCAGGACGAGATCCATGCTCTCTCTTAAAACCAAGAGAAGGAGAACACAAAAGATGGAAATTGCTAACAATTCCCAACAGGAGACGCCCTCGCTCAATGCCTCCAGGAATCAGACTGCGTCATGGTCTACCGCAACAAGGCCACCGACTGCCTCCGCGATCCCCTCTACTCGACACTCCCAACCAAGTGCCAACAGCTCAAGAGGGGATATGGCGAATGCAAGCGCGGCCTGGTCGACATGCGCAAGCGTTTCCGCGGACACGTGCCGGTGGAATACCGCAACGTGGAGTCGTCTGATGGGAAGAGCTACCAGCTGTATGCGGGCAAATCTGCGTTTGGCGGCGGCGTCAAGGAGACGGATGGCAACGAGCCGATTCCAAAGGACTGGAGGGAGATTGAGAATGAAAAGTACCGATTGGAGCAGCAGCAGCAGCTCTCCCAGGACAAGAAATAAATAAGGAGAGGAACTGAGGAGGAGATTAAAAGCAAGTAAAAAGCGATTATGGTTCATGGCATGGCGTTATGGCGTTGATTTGGAAGCGGAAAAGACAAGACTTTGCATGATTTGAGTCTCATCTCCGATGCTTACAAGATGGATTTAAGGATTTCTCGCATGGATAGATTTGAGGTAGCTGCTCTTGTTCGATTTGAAGAGGATGAGACACGCTCTTCGGACGAGCCTATGTTCGGGTATAGACTTGTACTTGTATTATAAGGTAGGCGGGCATTGGTGGAATCCTGTACGATATATGTATATTAGCAGCAGAAAAAGTCCTTCTCACATCACAGCAACGTTGGCAACCTGAGCATAATATTTCCAGGAAATAATTAGTTTTCAGGATAGTAAACGGCCAATTCGTATGGCATCAATCTGCAGCGTAAAGAGATTTGGATTGCAGGCTGTCCACTTTTACTCCGCCTTTATACAAGGCCACAAGGCAGGTAGTCATCTCGAACTCGCAGAATCCCATCCGAATAAGCCCATGGTTTGCATCAGGTTGTGCTCTCTTTTAACCTCCTTAGATGCTCTGCTGTTTTCAAGTGTCGATGGTTCTAACTTGTCTCGTCACCATCATATCAGACTTGGACTAGCTTGGCTTGCCAAGTTGCGAACAATCGCCGAGTTTACTGCTTCATCTCAAGAGGTGGGCCTAAAGTTCTTTCATGAGGTCTGAAATGAGCAAGTGGAGCTGGCGAGGGGCAGAGACCTAACCTATACGTTGACATGAAAATGTGTATTTCGTTATCTGGGGTTCGGAAAATTGATTACTCACGAAAACAAGCCTCCATTAATCGAAGTTATGATATATCATGCCACAGCCTCTTTTATATTTTCTTTTCTAAATTAACCATCTTCGTGGAAGTTTTTCTCAGCATTTGGATAACAACTTAGACTTATCAAGCAATACTAATACACTTGGAAGAGTCCCTAGACACCCAATGAAAACTTGATCGTCTACAAACATCATCTCTTTCTCACTCTCCTCATATATCCGATCCCCAAACAACAATAGTCTTCGAGGACCTCCATATCACATCTCAAAACCAGCATGCAATTACAGCAACAGTCCAGACAATTCCACGTAATGCTGCGCTCGGATCGGCGCCCGCCAACCGCCGTCCCACGTGCGTCCCCAGATGCCGATATCCGTTCAGAACAGCACTAATCAAAGCCATCAAACACGCGTATTTCAACACGCAGAGAAGGGGAAAAAAAGGGAGACAAGATTCATGGCTCTTTACAGCCCTACATACTCTGCAGTATCGGTAAATATCGACATCAAATCAGTCACCTTATTCAGTAGCCTATTGTTCACCATCTTCAGCTCAAATCCCTATACAGAGCAGACTACAGTATCGCAGCACGCGCTCCATATCAGCCCCAACACCACCATGGTCCCCTGCACTTTCAACTTCAATAGTCGTACCCGCTCCCCTCCTCCCCCTGGCCCTGACTCGCCCTTAATCGCCTAGCTGCCCAGGCCGATAAACCCCAAGAGCTCGAGCGACAAGTCCCAGAAGAGGTCTTAGGGTCTTGGCATTCCCGCCGTTGTCGTCATCAAACCTGCCCAAAACACCCCCGTTGCGGCGCCTACACGGCTTAGACGGCAGATTTGTCCTGTAGCTAACATCCTGTACTGTACAGTACCATACACACGTACATGCGGCAGATGGGCAGATTAGTATGGGGGATTTTGCTTTTCTGCTTGTGAGAGATGCAAGGCAAACCCTGCAGAAGGCGACGCGTAATGTAGTTACACTTTGCGTGTATATTTGGACTAAAATAGAAGTCGCTAACGTGACCAGGCTGAAGGTGGAAAAAACCAAAATGAAGGAAGCTTCCCCTTTAATAGATGGTCAATATCTGTTAATACCTCGAGCTAGTATTGCCTATTTACCCTTTTATCTTGTTCTTTTCATCTTTTTTTTTGCTCCCCTCCATTTCCTCCCTTCAACAACATCGGCCGTGTCTCTCATCGGCCTTCGTTGCCGCTCACTATACCCTCCCTTTTCTCCAGCCGTTCCACCTGTATACTCCTTCATGGCTTCAGTTCCTCGGTGAAGAATACTTTCTCTCCTCCATTACCGTGCCGAAATAGCTCTAGTACAAACAGACGTAGAAAAACACCACCCACAAAACAAGCCAGCGGGAACGGGCCAAAATCGCCACACCCGCCCGCCATGGCGCAACCACAGCAACGCCGGCGAATCCTCTTCATCGCGGCCCTTTTCTTCTTCATCGCCAGCGCCCTCTTATGCGTCACGCGACTCTACAACATGTCCTTTATCCGCGAATCCAAGGACAACAGCAACAACAAGCCTCTGCCTGTCCTGCCGCCGCGGCCTGCCCACCACGTCGAAATCACCGACGCCGATCGGCCCATGACTTATGGCACTTTCCGGCGTCCCAGCATGGACGGCCTCACGCTCATGGCTAACCTGTCCGATGAACTCGTCCCTACCTTTGAGAATAAGCGGCGCCTTATTATTGTGGGCGACATCCACGGCATGGACGCCTCCCTCGAGACGCTGCTCAAAAAAGTCGACTTCAACACCAACAAGGACCACCTCATTGCCGCCGGCGACATGATCAACAAGGGCCCCGACTCAGCTGGCGTCATCTCCCGCCTCATGAGCCTCAACGCCAGTGCCGTCCGCGGCAACCACGAAGACCGCATCCTGCTCTCCCTCGCAGAGGCCGAGAACCTCAGCGGCGTCAGCAAGGACCTCGCATCACCGCATGAAGAAGACCGCCGCGGCCAGACCGAGTTCCTCGCCACGGGCCGCAAGCTGAAGAAGGAACACGTCGAGTGGCTCTCCAAGCTGCCCGTCATCCTCGCCGTCGAGCCGCTCAACATGTTCATCGTCCACGCGGGCCTCGTCCCGGGCGTCAAGCCCGAGCTGCAGGACCCGTGGGCCGTCATGAACATGCGCACCTTGATCTACCCTCGCGAAAAGTTGCGCGGTAAAGGCGGCAGAAAGTCAAGTCGCAGCGACGACGACGACGACGACGACAACGAGGAAGAAGCAGCAGCAGCAGAAGCACCGCCCCCCGAAGAAGAGGAAGAAGGCGAAACTCTCGAATCCATCCAGCAAAAAGACGCCTACACAGACCGCGACACAATCATCCCCATCGAAGGCCGCGACGGCGAAAAGTGGTCCAACGCATGGAACCACTTCCAGAAGCGCCTCAAGAAATCCCATCGCCACACCGTCGTCTACGGCCACGACGCCAAGAGGGGCTTCCGCGAGGACAAGTACTCGATCGGGCTCGACTCTGGCTGCGTTCGGGGAGGTGCCCTGACGGCGATGGTGGTGGAGGGCAAAGAAGGGTCCAAGAAGGGGTTTACGCATACGATTGTTCAGGTGCATTGCAAGGAGCCTTGAAGCGGAATTTTTCGGTTTCCTTTTCTGAGTTTTTATTAAAGAGAAATGCTTTAATCTTGTTTTAAAGGGCTATTGGGATCCAACATGCTGTTGTGGATTAAAGAAAAAAGAGGTTTCTTTGGTTATGGACTTGTCATCTCTTGCCAGATTGGGACTCACATATACTCGAGAATGGGGATGAAGGATGAGGGATGGGGGATCTGGATCTGGATTTGGATTTGGATTTGGATCTTGGATTCAGCAAACAGCAACGGCAGCATTATCGGCGTTTTGTTCTTTCTTCCTAACTTGCATTTATGAGAATGATGGCAAGATTTAGATACCACATCGAGTTGTGTTTAGGGAATATCAAAGTGACGGATAGTATATAGCTCTTGTACAATATAATAAACAATGTGCGATACAAGCTATACCATTTGTAACGCGTTTCATCAAGCATCAACAAGTTTTCCCAATTTTTTTTTTCATTTGCTAAATTTCTACAAGAGCTTTTTCAAAAGGCATAGATAACAAACATAAAGGGAATCGTGGGTCTCCATATTCACATTTTGAAAGACCTTTTTCATACGTTCTTATCAACAGCCCAAAAAATCAAACCAAAAAAACCCAATTTTGCCTCCTAGCGGCTTTATTTACGCAGACAGCTTCTGCTTGAGGATGTCCTTGAGGGTGACGGCATCGGCGGCAAACTTGCTGATACCCTCGCGCAGCTTCTCGACGGCCATCTGGTCCTCGTTGAAGTCGAATCGGAAGAGGGCCTCGTCGTTGATGTAGGACTTCTTCTCGAGGTTCAGAGAAGAGGCGCCGGCAGCGTCCAGCTTCTTGGGGACGGCCTCGTTGGAGTTGAGGAGCTCCTCGAGCAGGTTGGGCTAAACAAGGGCAGCATGTTAGTCATGTATAAAACAAGTTCGAAAATGGGATTGATTGTGAGTTCTTACGGAAATGGTCAGGTAGTCGCAGCCAGCGAGCTCAGTGATCTCGCCAGTGTTTCGGAAAGAAGCTCCCATGACAATGGTCTTGTAGCCAAACTTCTTGTAGTAGTTGTAGATGTTCTTGACGGAGGCGACACCGGGGTCCTCCTCCTTCTTGTACTCCTTCTTGGTGCTGGCCTTGAACCAGTCAAGGATGCGGCCGACGAAGGGAGAGATGAGGAAAGCACCGGCCTCGGCGGCGGCGATGGCCTGGGTCTGGGAGAACATGAGGGTCAGGTTGCAGTTGATGCCGTGGTCACGCTGGAGGATCTCGGCGGCCTTGATGCCCTCCCAGGTGGAGGCAATCTTGATCAGGATACGCTCCTTGGGGATACCCTGCTCCTTGTAGAGCTATATTTCACAGAGAAGAGAGAAATGGTTAGTCTTCTTTTCCGGCTCTGATCTAGAGAATTGCTTGTCGAGCCTTACCTGGATGATGTGCAGAGCCTTGTTGACAGACTCCTTGGTGTCGAAGGAGAATCGAGCGTCGACCTCGGTGGAGACCTTGCCGGGGATGATGGAGAGAATCTCACGGCCGAACTCGACCAGCAGGCGATCGAGAGCGTGGTCGACCTGGCTGTCAATGTCGCCACCCTCCTTCTTGCCGTAGGCGATGGCGGCATCTATCAGCTTGGCGTACTCGGGCTTCTTGGAGGCGGCCAGGATGAGAGAAGGGTTGGTGGTGGCATCCTGAGGCTTGTACTTGCCAATGGCTGTTGAAAAGCATTCTTGTTAGCTTCTTGTTCTGATGGAACAATTCCTTGGGGGGGGGGAAGGGGAAGGCAGGGCACTGCATATAGCAGCTTGCAAAAGCAATGCCCGGGTATTTCATCGACGAGAGCAATACTAACCAGCAAAGTCACCTATGAAAGAAACGGTTAGTCGAGCTGGAACAAATCGCGGTTGGGCGGATGGTGCGGGAATAATTACCAGTGTCAGAAACGACAACCTGTTTGTCGCCAAAAAGTCAATTGTCAGTACATGTTGCAGGCAGTTACTCAGGAATAGCATTGCGAGTTATTGCGGCTCCCCCAAACGTGGACGAAGCAGCATTGCCGGTCGACAACTTTGAGAGCAACACCCGAGCCGGGCGCCGAAGCTCCCAACAGCTGCTTCGCCCCTCGCTTGGAGGGGTAGGTATTGTGGTTTGATTTTGGCGGGGTAGAGAGAAGGGGAGGGAACATACGGTGCCAGAGGCCTTGAGCTGTTCAAGAGAGCTGGACATATTGAATGTGAATTGGTGTGATTAAAAAGTTAGAAGGATAATGCAGTCGACGGGACAGAGGCGATTGTGGTGTTGGGAGAAGGAGAGTTTGGAGGGACTGGCTGCGACGAGATATATTGGATACTTGTACTCGCTGCCGGCATCTGGTTGCTACAGCCAGCTCCGGCGCCAGTTTCGCCCCCCTTGGGTGCACGGAGTGGGGGTGCCATTAAGTCATAGTGGCCCTGCGGCCTTGCCTTAGCAATTACCTCAGGCAGTCTTAGTCACGCAAAGTTCCGCCAAAGTTCCCAGCAGCTGCCGGGCCTGGATCCAGCCAGTCAAGACGAGCCGGCCAGTGGCATGCGCCGTTGGTTCGCGGGCCTTGGCCGCTATTTTGCCGGGCTATAGGCATTCATACTTGCGCTTCTAGGTACCTAGGTATGTAATGCAGGCCTAAAAGTTGTTGAACCGGTCACCGGGGGCCTCTCAACGGGTCGCCTCCTCTGCGGCTCCACCTACCGCCGGAACTTTGGGAACCTTTTTGCAAGGCGCCAATTGGCAGACGCTTGCTGGAACTCCGTGGAATACGCGGGAACCTCGCGGGCCGCCCGTTGCGCCTCGGAGCTGGGGGCTGCAAGGCTGCTGGCGACGGTGCAGCATGATGTGATGAGCATGACATGCTCGGCGGTGCTGCATTGCTCACATAGATGGAAACCGGCCTCGCCCGGCTGCGCGTGTCCTGGTCGGGTCGCTTTCTTTTAATAAGTTATGAGACGCAGCTGACCAACAGGATGCAGTTTGAGTCCCCCGGACCCTTTCCGCCGTGTCCGCTTGTAATTGCTTCGTCAGGATATCGTTTCTTCCCGTCAAGGGATCAACGACGATATCATCATCATGTGCACCTGGCTCGGCTCTTTCCGATAGCTTGACCCACCACTGTCTCGTTCGCCTCTCAATGTCAAAATTATGTGTTCCAGCCAGATTCTCCTAGCTTGAAGAAAATTCCAAAGGTCGTCCTGGATTGATATAACAAGATACTTTTTTTTTTGATAAACCATCTTCTTTGTACTGACGTATCGTCGGGAATGCAATTTCTCGCTTTATGCTATGTAAACTATAAAAAGAAAGAAAATCCCTAGTTGAAAGAACCTCCCCTCCTTTTTACCCCCAAACATTTTTTTATATCTTCCGTTGCCCATTTAGTCTTCCGTGATATCGCCATACTCCCACATACCCTGCCTGTCCTGCTTTGCCTGGCCCTCGACTTCCCGCAGGTGCTTCAGGCACGACTCAAAAGCCTTGCTACGCTCCCATGCCTTGAGCTTCTTGGGCACCATGCCGTATCCGCTGACTACAATCTCCTTATTGATGGAGTCATTGGGTCCGGGCAGAGAGCCATCTCCCTTGGTGTCATAGAGCGTGATGTAGCTAATGTTCTCCTTGCTGTCGATAAGATCAAAGTTGGCAACCAGGCGCTTACCCTCAGTCAGCTCATAGATCAAGCCGATAGCATCCTCAAAGTAGTGCGCGGCGGTGGGCAGCTGCACAAACGACAGCGATGCATCGATGGCTTGGGCCTTGAGCTTCTGGACACCAAACTTGGTCTGGTCCAAGGACCGTAGGCTGGACCAAGCAATCTTCTCGCTGTTGCCGTAGTCCACATACACAACCTCTGCCTGCTTGGCTGTGCGGTCATTGGCTCGGACTCGCGCACGGTACCACTGGCCATCGGCTGAGAACTTGGCAGACACGAATTCTCCAGTCTTGGGAGCGTCTGCGAGGGGCTTGCTGTTCTTGGAATCGATGTGGAACTTTCGGAATTCGCTCATCAGAGATTCCAAAGCTGCTGTGCCCTTTCCAATCTCTTGAATCTTGAGTCTTCCGTTTCCATCAATGTTGGTAATGATAACGTCTCGGTAATCAGCCGGCTTCTTGTCCAGCGTGACTTCCGCCTCGGGAGCGCCGTTCTCCTCAGCACCCTCATCGGCATTTTCCTCCTCTTGTGAAGGGTCATAGTCATGCCACAAACCATTCCTGGCCTCCTTTGCCTTCTTCTCGGCCGCGAAAAGCTCGACAGAGTTTCCTGACTTCTCGGCAGAGTAGGCGTGTACTGAGGCCAAGCCCTCTTCAATAAGGACCTTGGCAAAGTTTTCACGGCCAATGTACAGTTCGCCGATGAATCCACCGACCTTGTCCATATCATGAATATTCACCTCGCAGTCCCTCTGGTTGCAGCGTCGGTTGGCCAGGTCGAGAGCCTCCTTGCCGAAAGGCTCGCCACCTTGTCCATCAGCACGAGGGGCTCTTGGGGCGCGGATACCACCCAGAACCAAGGTAAGCTTGACGTTCTCGCGGGGAATAAGGATGGTGAATCGAGAACCGGCCTTGCAAAAGTCAACAATAGCAGGCACTCTCTTCTGACGCTGTAGTGTAGCAAGCATAATCTTGGCTTTCTGAGTGTTTTCTGAGAGATCCAGGTACTGCTTAGCCTTTTGAGGCTTTCCAGACCACATGCCCTTCGTCTCCTCCTTGGCCTTCTCTTGAGCCACAAGAAGCTCGTCGTAGTTGGGTGCCCTATCGGTATCATCTTTCCTGTGTCTAATGACAGAAGCCCAGCCAGCTTCTACCAGCGCAAGACCAATGTTCTTGCCCTTTTCCGTAATTGTGGCCACGTCTCTGGCCTCGAAGCCTTCGGATGGGGGCTTGGTTCCATCAACGCTGACCTTGACGTGCTTTCCAATCAATTTTGATCTCAGGAATTCCTTTGCCTCGTCTCTGAAGGGGCTCTCGGAGGGCTCGTTGGTTCGAGGCCCACGGATGCTGCTGAAGCTGATCCTCTTCTCTGCGCTGTCGCCCTTGGCCTTGACCAGAATGGTATCGGCACCAATGATCTTGGTGACGGTCATCTCCTTGTCTCCAGTCTCTGCCTTGACAACGTGATGCTTGTGTAGGCGAATCTTTTGGGACTGAGCCTTCTTCTCGGCGGCTCTCAGAGGAGCCATCTTCTCTCCTAGCATGGTAGAATGGAAGTCATTGCACCTGGCCAATCCCTCCTGGAGCAGGAAATCGGCAATGTTGCCTCGGGGGTGAATGACATTGGCAATGAGCTGTCCCTGAGCGCTAGCACCAACAATCTCAACCTTGACCTGGCGCTGGAGCAACCTTGTCTCGACGAATGCTTTGGCCTCGTTTCCATACTCCTCGGCAGGCTGTGTGGCACCGGAAGAAGGAAGCGTGCGCTCGGTGGATGGAGTTCGAACACCGGCAAGGAGAGTCAGTGGCTGCACATGCTTCTTATCAGAAAGCAACAAGCGAACCAGCAATCGGTCACCGCTCAGCACTCTCTCGACAATACCGTCTACGGTCTTGCCTTTCCACTGTGTCAGGAATTCAGGGCCGCCCAGGTCGTTCTGAACCTCGATGGTGCCGTTGACGCCTGACCACAGACCCTTGGAGCTGGACTTGGCCTCAGATTCAAGGGATCGAAGCGTCTCGAGCCTATCGAGAAGCTCTTCAGATTCCTCCTTGCGGCCTGCATCCTCGCGGACCTTTAGCCAGCCAGCCTTGATAAGTTCATCGGGAAGCAGAGTTCCATCTTTGAGCTGAGCTGTACCAAACTCTCGGCCGGTCGTGGGAATGGTGTAGAGGACTGTGCATTGGACAGGCTTGCCAACAACGAGATTTCGAAGATATTCGCGCGATTGGAAAGCAAAAGGCTCGTCCCCCTCTCGCTTCAGGTGAGGGGCCGAAACATATGCCAGGGAGAACGTGCGTTCGGCCGTGGGGTTGTTGGGGCTGGTCAGGATCAAGGTGTCGCCGCTCAAGACACTCTTGACGTTGCCGATAAAGGTCTTCGACATGATGGGCCAGTAAGGTGAAGACAAGGGGAAACCTAATTGGAGTAGGGGTTTTGATTAGCCAAGGCTGAATGCTTCGAAGAGAGGTGGCTTGATTGTGTGGTTTTGCCATGGTTTAGATGTTTCAAGCAGAGATGGGGAAATGAGCAGCAATTTGCTGCGAGTAGGATAGGAGCCTGGAGCCATTGAAGCGAAGCTGCATGTAGACTGCAATTGAGTCGTCCAAAGGGACTGGACTGGCAGAACAGAGCAGAACTGATGTCACCACCAGGCGGAGAAAGAGGCACAACAGTTGGGAATAGCAGTGGCATGACTGCGGGCATGGCTTGGGGGTTCCCAACATACCTGAGCGGAGGACCGAAGAAGAGATGGGATTGTGTTTGAGGGTCTACCAAGCCGAATCTAAGCTTGGAAAGATGAATTGAGCAACAAAAGAGCAGATTGCAGAGCTGATGGAGGAAGCAGCTTTGTCGTGTGCCTTTGGGCAAGGTGTCAAGTCTCTTAGTGCCGAGTACCTCTCCTAGGCCGCGGCCTTGAAAGCTACAGGTGGCTTCACTGTGGGACAGGGGCCTTTTGCGTGCTATGGCCCCGAAATAGACAACTAAGCCAAATCGGAGGCGCGGGGCAGAAAGGTTGGTGGCGCAAGGGGCGCTGGCAAGGAGGGGCACAATGAAATTGCCTATACCGAGCTGTGGGCAGCCAGATTGTGTTACACAGCATGCAAAGGCGCTGGCCAGGACAATGTGCTCATAGGATGGGCCATGTGGTTTTCAAGTACGAACCACTGCAGCTGTCCGCGCTATAGATGGATAGATGATGTACTTGCACGTAAATGGGATGGAAGCAGCAGCACGAGGCAGTCCCTTTGTGGTGTAATTGCGCCGATAATACATTCGTTTTTACCCCTCCATGGTCAGCTATCACAGCTATTCAAAGGATAGAATTGCTTTACGAGATGCGAATGACATAGCAAGGCACGGCGGTTTTTTAACTTGTTTTATTTGTTTGTTTACCTGTTTACTACATTTTACCTAGCCGGGGGCAAGTTCCATTCAGTTGCCATACAAATTGTTTCCATCTTCTAGAAGCTTAGGTGAAGCGCATAGCAGCTACAGTGCTTTGGCGAGCTTAGGCGGAGATACCAATGACACCTGTGTAACAACCCTACGTCAGCAATTGGACATTTACAGCAATCTGAGATCAGGAGGCAAGATGATACATACCGCAAGCAGGTCGGGGACCAGCGTTACCGGTCTTGAGGGACTCCTCGTTGTCACCCTTGCCGAGATCGTCGGTGCCGGCGTGGACAACAACAGTGCGCTAAATATGAGTCGTTAGCACGATTTGCCATCCAGAAAACACTGCAGAGATGGAGGTTGCTTACGCCAATGACGCTGTTGGGGCCAATCAGCTGGACAAGCTTGTCGGTGATGGTGCCCTTGGCATTGCCCTGAGCATCAGTCTCGATGTTGCCGAGGTCACCAACGTGACGGGCCTCATCAGAGGGAGAACCGTGGGTCTTGTTGAAGGGGTTGACTGCCGAGCAACTTTGGTAAGCAAAACCCTTCTTTCGCCCAACACTCCAGCGTATCAGATCAACTCACAGTGAGGGCCGGCAGAGGTGCAGCCGTTGGTGTTGTCGCCAAAGGTGTGGATGTGGAAGCCACGCTTGGCGTTGGCGTCATTGCCGGTGATGTCGTAGGTGATGGTGGTAGGGGCACCCTCCGAGTCCTGCTCGAAGATGACGGTGCCGGAGACCTTTGCGTCTCCTCGGAGGATAGTAACTGTAGATCGCCGTTAGCAGAGGGTCTCTTAGCAGTTCGTCGGGCTGCGATGCGATCGCGCCGCGGCCATCAAGGGACACGCTTGCGCCGGCAGCATCTTCCAATAGGAAGAAGAAGCAGAGCCAGATTGTCTTGTCTATCAAGGTTGCGGCGCGGCCCGCTGGTCTAATGAAGCCGTTTGAGCTGATAAAGAGGGAAAAAAACCCCCTCAAACCAGCTCGGGATGAGCACAGCATGGCCCCTCCGCTGGGCCAGCGACGACTATATAAAGCCGAGCACGGCGCTGCTTCTGGGAGCTTGTATCTGGGGATCGGGTGATTCCTTACCAGCCTTGACCATTGTGGCGGTTGGATTTTTACAATTGTTTTTGTACGAGAAAAAGACGGCGAGAAAATGACGATGATGAAGAGGTGGAGAGGACAGAGTTTGGAGAGGCTCGAGCCAGCTAAAAGAGAATCGAAACCGTTCGCCGCTCCGGAGTTACGAACGCAGCTCGTTTCAAGGGTGGGGTTTTGCTATCGATGTGCTTCTGCCCAGCAGCCTGCCAATAACTCTCCAGCAGGCTTCAGGCAATGGACATTGGGCCTAGCTACAGGACCATGATTAAGCTTGGTGAGGGGGAGAGGTCTTCGTGGGAGCTCTGGGCAGCTCCATTTTGCCCCGCAGCGTCATTGTCGTCATCCTGACTTGCGGAAAGGCGACCTCTCATGTCACTCGAAGCCCGCAACGCTAGGGCATTGATGGCTGACAAATGACGACAAAGCGAAGCAATTCCGCATCGCTGCTGCGGCCAATGTGCTTGTATAAGCCGAGGCTGGGTGCCGATGGAGGAGGAGGTCATTGAGAGGCCTGAACTCGCAGAGCTGCGAATGGCGATTGCCCCTCTGGTAGCTTCCATCGCCGTGATTGGTGGGAGAGAAAGGTGTATGACTAAGGCTGCCTTTCTCGTAAGAGGTGAATCTTGATGTTGATGTAAACGTGATTGCCCTCTCTAACCAACGAACCTTTGAGTAACAGCAGCCAATGTTGCACATTACGGCAATTATTTCACACGGCATTACTCTGCGACACCGTTGAGGTCAGCAGCTCATCATCTGTTCAACTAATTACGCTCACCTCTCCATCTGTGTATCCCGAATCAGGCTGGCAACAAGGACAGCTCCCGAGGTGACTGGATTTATCCGCTCCTAACTTCACCATAGGATGATATACTCGTCTTGTTATTGATATTGATTGTAAGATCTGACTATATTGCTTGGGGGAAGTGTCCTGTTCCAATACATAATCTCAGAATGGTAAACCACGGTCATCATCGAATGGGTAGCGACACAGTGATTACCTAGGTACTAGTACAGCTGTAAATGCCCTTTTAACTTGTACTTCTACGCAACGATCTTGGAGACAGAAGTTGAAAGATCATGGTAAGCTTACAATCAGAGCCCAATTCTTTTCATAAGATTGAGCTCTCAGCTACTAGACCACTTCCACGAGACAGATTAGCTTAGATACATGTAATTTGATTGTATGGAAGAATGCTGAAACCTGAGCGATTCGTGGCGTCCACTGATGCTGAAACTAGCAAGAGGTCATATGAACAAGTGGGTTTTTATTTTTTACTTGGAATGCTAGATTGCAAACAGAAGCCTCACAGAAAAAAAAAAACACTGACAAGCTGTGGATTACTATCGCTTGCTCCAATGTGGTGATATGATTACCAAAACATAATGCCTCTGCTTGCCAACTTCTTGATTTTACACGCCTGGTGCCGACCATCATTCCATTTCCGTTTAGAGCCATGATAACCTCCTGGTAGCCAACCTGTTAAATTTAGCATTTAGCGTTTATGGGAAGCAACATAGGCCTGCCGATCCGCGATGGGTCGACGGTTGGTTCAGTACATCGATTCCAATCTAATATTAGAGAAGACGGGGAATCGGCATCCGGAACCGCCCCGATTTTCCAAGCTTGTAAGCTGATATCAGCGTGCTTTGCCTTGATCGGAAGGCCTTTGCAGCCGAATAATTTATCTAAATATAAATATCTCAATACATTCATCAATGAAATCATTGACATCTCTTTATTCATGTAATATCCTCTTTTGCCGGCTGCTCGACGTATACGGCGCGCCGGCAGCGAATTTCGGCACGGAGCCGACCGGGTGGGGCCAAGGGACCACTGAACCCCAGCCAGTTTTTCCACTCAGAGAACTCGGGCATAAAGGCTGGCAAAGCTATAGTGCGTAATGTGACGAAGTGATGGATTATGAAGTTGATAATCATCTTTGACCATCAACAGCATTGTAAGCTGTACGCTTATGGCGGTCCAAGGTAACACAAAAGCTCACCGATGTAATTGGTGTCTTACAAAAACAAGGGATAACGGTGAGGCCGACAATAGGGTATGATCATAAGGAGGCTGTGTGCACGACACCTTTGATTCGCAGGGCCTGATTGTGCTGTCTGCCAAGGAGTGCGAAGAAAAATAGGGACTGCAAAATAGAAATGCACATGCAAGTTTAAAATATAAACACCATTTTATAAGAGAAAAGGTTATTTAGTACCTTGAATATATCATTTAGCACTAGATCTTAAATATAGCTTAGTAACGGCAGTAATAGCAGTAGTAGCAGTAGTACGGATAGCAACAGTAAGTGTTATTATGGTGTGTAAAATTAAGAAATGTGTGTTGATTATCCAAGGATTCCCTCTTCTTCTTCGCACCCCTTGTCTGCCTATCGCTCTACCCAAGATGAGGCGTCGGTGGCGAACGTGGCAGTGGTGGTTGCACAATGGCGTTGCAATGTGCCCAAGGAGGAGTCTTGAAGCGTTCTATCAGCTTCGCTCTCTATCATACCTATGCAGGGGACAGCTACCTACTATGAAGGTAGTAGGAGAAAAGTAAAACCCGTCAGTAGTGGATTACAAGTTTGACAACTCTGTTTTTAGAAGCAGAAGAACAATTTTCACGTTCAGATTAACTGCTAGCCCCTTCCCGGCGTCGTGGATAGTTTCCATCCTCTAGGCAAGGTAGCATCCTTGTATTGCCTGTGCACCCCTCCTCAGAGCTCATGGCCCCTGCAATGGCGTGTTTTGCGGTTTCAACCAAGTTTCGACGCCATGCTAATTGATTAAAGAGGGAGGGAGGCCTTTTTCTTGTTGACTGCTGGCCCTGTTTGGAGCCCAGAGAGGCACACCCACAAAACCCATTTTCAGCCAACCTGAAGCTGGCAATTTGGCAATTGGATGAAGTGAACACTGCCCTGCTTCATGCGGCCTACTTCCGTGTATACAGACGAGAGCCGCGCTGATCCTCATCAGCCCCTCGTATATACGAGGAAAGAGTACGAGGCACAGTACCAATTACTCCGCGGAAACACCAAAGGACGCCCGAAACATTGCAAGTTACTGAGACGGCCAAGCACGGAGACCGAGATTGGGGCCGGCGAGTCTTCGTATTGATGTCTGGTTCGTTACTTGTGCGCCCTCCACGTGCCATTGCCGTCGGTGGGTGCGACCTCATACGGCGATATTCAGCGACGGCGAGGCTATGCGCGATAGCCTTTCAATCTCTTTTGCGATTCACTCCTTATATGCGTTCAAGGTACATGTAATAAGCGATGCCTAATTTCAGTAGATCTGCAGATGTGAGATTGCCGGCAATGATGGCAGCTGAAAGCTAGCGCATTTTTGCTTTGACTTCATCAAATGGTTTTATGTCCTCGGTGCTTGGCTTCCATGGGATCAAATCAACATGTCTTTTTTCAGGGACCTCTCACAGTCTATACGCGGCCTAGTGCTCCCCCAATTTCTTAGCGCCTATTCTAAAATAGTGTAGTAGGCATTGGCATTTGATGCTTTCATGTTGCATTGGCAGATAGGTAGGTACTAGACCTCCAAGTACTATAATGCGGTGGCAAGAAACCGCGGCGCTCTTTAACAGCAGCAAGACGCAGTGGCTTCTCACTGCCACTGGGTTTCAGGCCCTGGATCCGTAGCCCCGCCAGCGCCTCCCCCAGCGCCTCTTTGGGCTTATTGGCACCTAATTTCCAGCGCAAGCGCACACACACGCACACAGCCAAAGTGAAGTGACCTCAACAGACAGATACGCATGGGCGTAAGCCTCCTCTTTTTCGAGGCTTGATCGAAGCTCCAATCTCCCGCCGAACGGCTGACTGGCGTTGAACGGGTTCCTTGTTTGTGCTGCGTCTGTTTTAGACCTATTTTTATTTCGACCCGACTCTATTTTCCGACTTGCGCCGTGCGTCTGATTGCGAGTCTGGACCTGGGGTTTACTGCGAGAGACGTCAACGCATACAGCGACAGGAAGCCGTCCTGGCCTCCGGGCAAACTCCACTGCGAAGCTGTCCTGTCAGCCTTTCGGGCACAACGGAGGGGATTTTCTCGGCCAAGCACACCAGGAGCTAAGCCTTCGACTCCAAGCAGCCTAGCGGTTGACGAGCCCATTGTCTTTTGTCTCCCTTGATGCCGCCCAATGCGACTCAGGCCTCCGTCGCTCGCTCAACACCGTTATCGCGATAAAGTTGTCCCGTGAGGCTCGTCTCAGACAGCCCACCCGGCAAAAAGGCGTCAGCTGCTGCATACCAGTCTCGCGAGTCGTCGCTAGCCGCTGACTCGTTTCCGCCGGCCACCTCAACACCAAAGCATGTCCTTTCGCAACAACGAAGGACGCCGGTACGGACACGTCCCGCCCGTCCAGTATCCCGTCGCCGGCCAGCCCGCCGAGCAATCCAACATGGCCCGCCAGGCGAGCTTCAACCACGGCGACGACGGCACCTACTACGAGGGCCATCCCCAGGACCAGTACGGCGGCGCCTTAACACACGCCCATCGCCCGTCGGCCAGCGTTGGCGACGACGAGCTCTTCATATCGACCCAGCCAAACTACCCGCCCGCCCGCCCGGCGTCCAGCAACACCGCAATGTCTGGCTACGCCCACCAGTACCAACACGAGCAGCCGCCGCCGACGCCCTCGCACGCTGCCTACAACCCTCAGTCGTTTGCGCCGCCCTCCAACTTCCACCGGTCGCAGTCGACCAATGTGCCCTACGTTCACCAGCAGACCATGTCGACACGATACAATGCGACCCCGATCAGCTCAAACAGCGCCTACAGCAGCCCCTCGCCGAACAACTACGCTGCCCCTCAGACATACAACCCCGCCGCCTATGCTTCTGCGGCGCCGCAGCGATATCCCACGTATCATGGGCATAGCAGCAGCAGCGGCCATGACCAGTCCTATGGTGCTGGCGCTGGCGCTGGGCAGGCATCGCCGTCCTTCCCGCCCCAGTCCCCAGGCGTGCCATATCCGACGCAGTCTCCAACCAGAAACGCCTCGTACCATATGCCCACCAGTCCATCGTCGTTTGCCGTCACTGGCTCTCAATCTCAGTCTTCGGCTTATGCCTCTCCGACCTACAGCACTGGGCAGTATCAGGGATATGGCTCCAACGGCGGCAGTCCGAGCCCTGCTGCTTATTCAAACTCTCAGGCCCCATATCCAACCACCTCTCAGATGCCCTCCTATCCTGTAAACGATGGCGCCTACTTTAATCGAACTGGGCGATCAGACTCACAGGGCTCGTCTTCGCTGGCATCGCCATACATGCAGCCACTTGGATCTCCTGGAGTAGTCAGGCATCCAACCAATGCCCCGTTGCCCAATCGACCAATGGCCGATCTGCCCGAGGAGGCTACCCCCTGGGATGCAAACGGTCGCCCGCTTCCCCAGCCCCATCCGTACCGTGATGATGAGCCATACGACCAAGAAAGCATCATGCAAGAAATCGAAGCTGAACTGGGAAGGACGGATGCCCGGCCACTCCCCTCGCCGCTCCCTGCCAACGGCCAGATGACGCTTCCTCACCGACCATCGAGCAGTACAGCGACGCAAGCTGTCTATGACGATGGGGATGATTCCGACGACTTGGAGGGAGCTGCCGGCGTACTGGCCATGCAGCAGGCCGAACTCGAGGAAAGGCGATTCAGCGGAAGTAGCTTCATATACAACGAGGCGCCAACTATTGCGCATCCACCTCAGTCCAACCCACTCCCCCCGCCGCCTGAAGAGCAAGATCATAGCAGTGACAGTGACTATGGAGGGTTTATGGACCTGGGAGGTCTCAGCGGTGGCTATGCAGGTACACTTACTTACGGAGATGGGATCGGAAACTACACGGGCTCTTCCTTGTCTCAAGGATCTCCTCGACCTTTGCCAACACCAGGTCACAGCCGACCTGCCGAAGTAGACTACGGTGATACGGGCGGCTTACAGGCGCCCCGTGCCAAGCGACTCAGCTTCGACGA